CTAAATACCTACTTTAGGGTTCTTAAGTGTAACCTTTACTTATATACTCTAGCTATAATATTAGAAGGAGTATATAGCTAATTATAGTTATCTATTAGTACTACTATAAGGCGCCCTTACTATAGCTAGTACCTTACTAAATCCTTACCCTTATTACCTAATAATTAATATTAGGTAAACTACACCTACTAAGGCTAAGGCTGTTATTAATAGTTTAGTAATAACTATAGTAGTAGTAATTTTTATAATAGTAATAATAATAATAGTAGCTATAATACTAAAAAGTGCTATATTTACTATAAGCCTAGCTACTAGTTAATAAAGCATACTACTAATAAAAGATATAAAGTATACTAGTAATTTAAAAGTAACTATTATATTAAAAATACTTTACTAACTATATATAACACCTTCCTTACTAGCTATAAAGGCACCTATCTATAAAAAAAAAATAAAGATAGTAATAATAATAAGGATCTTTAGTAGTATCTCTAAGAGGCCTACTTTATTATTAGTAATAATAAAGAATAAGATAATAGTGTATTTTACACCTTAACTATATTCTTTAGTAGCACTAAAGTAGATAGTAACGCACTTACTACTAACCTTACTAACTAAGCTATTTATTACTAATTAATAAAAATTAACCCTAATAGCACCTCTACTAAGTTACCTAGTACCTTTATACTAAATTATTACTTATTAGCTACCTTTTAAGGTATTTTACTAGATACAGGCGTAGTAAGTTACTTAACTATAGGCTACTTATAAGCTATTACACTATAGTAAATTTAACTATCTATAACTATTAACACTATAGCTATAGGTAAAGTAAAGATTAGGTTTAGTAATAGTAATACTATTACTTTATAAGGTATTATTATAGTAAAGACTCCCCTTAGGTATATTACCTTTTATATAATACCTACTAATACACTTTTCCTACTTTACTTAGCTAATATAGATTAGCTATTAATTTAATTTAATAATCTTATAAATACTTTTTAATAAGGTAAACTTATAGTACTAGTTATATAAAAATAGGGCTACCTATAAATACTACTTAGCCTACTTAAGTAAAGCCTTATAAGTTATTACCTAACTAACGTTAAGCTATACTGCCTTTATTAATAGTTTAGCTATTTATTAATTTACTAGCTATATAAGGTCCTTTATAAGGCTAGCTATAAGGTTAAAATAAAAGTAATTAAACACTTAATAAAGTACTATTATTATTACTAGATCTATAAAAAGACTTCTTCTTAATTCTAATTTACCTTATATAATAACTATTTATTTAATTATAAAGTTATTACTAATATTATATACCTTAATAGTAACCTTATACTTTATATTATTAATACTACTACTGCCTTTAATATAGCCTACTTTCTTTATAATATTTTAGTAAAAACTATATAGGAGGCACTATGTTACTACTAGATTAACGTCTACTAAGGACCTCTAGATTAGATTATTACTAACATAAGGTAGAACTTTATTTTAACTAAATTTTTATATAAAGCCTATATAATAGGCGTTAAAGTTAAGATTATCCTTATTAAAGCGTATTATAGCGTTAAGAAGGTTAAGAGATACTATACTATACTCTAATAGGTATATAAGATAATCTAAAAAGAATACCTATCTATTAACTATAAAGTAGTACTTTAAAGCGCTACTAAAGTAGTTAATAATACTACTAGCCTAAATAGCTTTATACCTACTTTATTAGTATTTAGCGCCTACCTTTATATAACTACTAACTTTACCTTTTTACTTAAGATAATCTAACGTGTAATAGCTATCTATAAGGTAACTAAAGATCTTTATAAATATAATATAACGTAGTAAATTAATAAGGCTTTTACTACCTATAACAGCCTAGATACCTCTATAATAAAGGATCTGCCTTTAGGTAGTAACGTCTACGTTTAGTATAAAAAAGGAGGTTAGTTTAGCCTATATAAATTACTTACTACTTAAGGTAAAGACTTTACTATTAATATTAATAGCCCTTATGTTTTTTAATCTATATTAGTTAAGCTATACTATATAGTAGATAATAAAGAAAAAGGCTTAGCTAAGTAACGTCCCCTATTTATCTTAAATAATAATAGTAATTATAGTAATAAGCCTACTAAAAATACTATTATTATTATAACTAGTTTAAGGTAGTAGCTATATACTAATAATCTTACTATTATATAACCTTAATAAGCTAGAAAAATCCTTATAAGATACACTTTACTATAAGAGACTAACGTACTTTATACTACCTTCCTCTTAGTAAAAAAAGAAGCCTATTAAACCCTTATAATCTAACTATATAAAAAAGGCGTTATTATAGCACCTAGTAAACTATTTAAGTAATTAGTAGCTACTAAGATTAATAGCCTTATTATATAAGGCGTCTTTAAATTTACTATAATTAACTAACTTTAGCTATATAAGTAAATTTTTAAATTATAAATTATAAATAAGGTAAAAGGCACTAATAAGAGGCCCTATAAGAAATTACGCCTTATTATTTAAGGCTATACTAATAATAGTAAGGAGGCTATTTTTACTTAGTTACTTATTATCTAGTAAGCTAGCTAGTAGCTTATCTTTATACTAGCCTCTTCCTTTTTTATTAATAGTAAAGTTATATAGCTATATAATATTATATAGGCCTATATTTAATCTACTTCCTACCTTAACTATACTATTTATACTAAACTTTTAGCCTAAATCTGTTATAAGTACCTTAATAATACTATTATAAAGGTTATTAAGCCTCTATATAGGATTACTAAGGTAGGTATATACTAGTAGGCTACTTATAACTATTACTATAAGGAGAATCTCTAGATAGTCTTTACTATATATAACCCCTACTTTCTCTTATTATCTAGTAAAAATCTACACTTTATACTTATTAGTATATAAATAGATAATACTATTAGCCTAATAGACCTTTTATTTTCTAACTAAAAGAATAAGGAACTAACTAAAGTAAAATTTACTATAAAGGATAAGTTATTCCTTACTATTAACTAACTACTTATCTTTAATAGTAAGATTATTATAGTTATATTTACTATATATACTTCTATTATACTTTACTAGAAAAAGTAAGAAGTAAAACTATAATTAATTAATATAAAGTTACTTATAGCTAGCTAAGATTTTATTTAGTAATAAGCGTAAGGAGTATATATTACCTCTATTTACTAACCTAAAGTATACTATAATTTTTTTATTATAGCCTAATATAAGGAGCTAGATAATAAGGTAATTAAAGACCTTAACTATTAACTATAATAGTAAATAAGCTTACTTAACTATAGTCTATAATTTATCCCTTTAGATCTTATATTAGCTAAGCTATTTATATTTATAAATAGATTATTTACTAATAATTATAATATAACTTTATAGTTAGGATTTATTATCTTTTTTATAAATAAGGAAGTTAATAATAACTAAGCTAAATTTCTCCTTTATAGTAATATTCTTTATTTCTTATCTATAAAGTCTAAATAAGTTACCTAAAGCGTCCTTATATCTAAAGTGTATAAAATAGTTATAAGCGTTAATATAGCTTACGCCCTCTCTATAACTATTATAATAATTATAAAAAAACTTAATATCTTATTAATCCTAACTATTATATATATAGACTTATATTTACTTTATAAATACCTAGTTAAGCTAGAAACTATAAGGGAGAAGCGTCTTATAATTAATATTATATTACTAAGATAGTCTTATAAGTAATATAAGCTTTATAAAGTCTAATAGATTACTAGATCTAATAATCTAGCTAATAGATTTATAAAAGTATCCTTAAATTAAGCACTTAAGGGCCTAGTTATAAATAATAAAGCTAAGATATATATAGAGGGTTAGGTTATTTAGGCGTAATAAATTATAATAAGTATATAGTAAAAAATAAATTATAGGTTATATAACTAACTAGACTATAATAGTAGTAGTTAAATCTAACTAATATAAGAATATACCTCTAATAGCTATAGCTAAAAAGAAACGCCTTTAAAAAAGTTAGTATAAGCTTATACTATCTATAAAAAAAAATAAAGGATATAAAAATATATAGTATATAACTATAAGAAGTATAATACTTTTAGAGTTTTAATTTTTATTACGTTTTTAAGGCTTTTAAGGGTAATTTAGATAGCTAGGGCACTAGTAACTTTTACTATAAAAAAAAAGTTACTAGTGTTAGTATATAGTAGGTATGCTTTAGGGGAGGTAGTTATATAATATTTATATAACACACTGCCTCCCTTAGCAGTATCTACCTTACTACTAGTATACTACCTAAAAGTCTAGATTCACTTTATAACTAACTAATATAATAAGTAACTATATTCTGTATTATAATTTATTACGTAATCTATAGGATATCTCTCTTATGTGATTTAACTAATAAATACTTTTAGGCTTTTAATTTTTATTACGTTTTTAAGCTTTTTAGCTACTAGGCAGTATCTAGGCTATTTATAGCGATTTTCCTTTACTTTAGAAAGTTGCTAGTGTCAGGATATTTAACTATTTAATAGTAGAGCCAATCTATAGTCACGTGATTTACCATCACGTGACTCACCTTAGCAGCTCACTTACACCACCACAAATATCTACAGCAACAACTTCTTCTTCTTTTTCAATCTATCTTAACAAGCAACTAGTAGTTAATCAAACTATTACTGCTTTACAATCGCAATCCCTATAATACCAACAAGATGTGTGTGACACCATCCGCCTCGCTTAGAGCCTCAAGGAGCGCCTCGAGAGATCCGCTGCAATCATCAATGGCCAGGCTTAAGGCCGGGTTCTAGAGAGTTCCTTGGAGCCGAGGGATGTGGCTACGGCTTTGAACGACAGGCCCGCCAGCCCCGCCAAGTTAAGATGTAACGTGTTAGCGTAGGCCAGCCGGAGTAGGGGAGAAGCGGATAAGCCTTGGAGCCCGTCGGGCCTGGCTCGTAACCGCTCGGTCAGTCTGGCCTGGAAGCTGTGAAGGTCGATGCACGCCCGGTGAGCATGAGCGACGTCTCGTCCGCCGTCATGCGCAGCCTCGCGAAGAATGAGGTCGATGATGGGTTCGAGATGCCCGTCGTCTTGCGTGGGGGGTTGCACAGAAGCCGAACCACGGCCTGGACGCTCGACGGACACTGGCCAGATGTCTGCCGCGATAGATTGTTAGCATGTTGAAGTTTTTCAAGGTTTTTTTTATTCTAGGGTCTAGGGGCAGGGAGAGGGCCTAGATAGGGGTTTCTCGCGGTTAAGTGCGTGTCTCGCCACGACACGGTGCTGTTTCAAGCGAGCCAAGGGCAGCGAGGACTCGTGGGGGCCGAATCTTGTCATGAAGCCGGAGGCAGCCATGGGGGTGCGGGAGGGCGACCTCTCCAGCTCGGGGGGTGGGAGGCCGGGCGAGGGGCAGGTCCTCGACGTAATCCCAGACGGGCCCAATGTCAGCAGCCGTATAGCGTACGGCGGGGGCGACGAAGCCGTAGCGCACGTCGTCCAGGTCGGATATGTCGAGGACGACCAGGCCGTACTCGAGCTTGTCGGCGCGGAAGACGCACGCCAGGGGCTGCTCCTGGACGTCCCCGTACCCCGTGTGGTAGAGGTCGTCGCCGGTCAGGGCCAGCCGCAGACAGGTCGAGGTGAAGGGGAACCCACACGGGTCGGGTCGGCAGGGCCGCTCGGGGCGGTCGGGTTTGCCGGTGCGTTCTGACCAGTGGCCCTTGTACTGCATCTCGAAGGGGGGCTGCGGGGCGTCGGGGACGTCGACCTCGGCGGTGTAGGCGCGGCCGGGGGTTCCTTGGCGGCACCATGCCAGGGCGAGGGCGCGCTCGGCTTCCAGGGCGGTACGGTTTGCGGGATGGGTCAGGATGGCGACGGCCCGGGCCGCGTCGTCGAGGAGGGCGTGGCGGACGCGTTGGCCGGGGGCATGGTTGCCGTGGGCCGGGGCGTGGCCGTGTCCCTGGCGGTAGGTGATGGCGAGGGGGCGGCAGCTGGCGGTGTCTATGTCGGCGACGACGCAGAAGAGCAAGGACCGCGGGCAGGTTGTTACGATGGCACGGGGCGTCGTGTCTGGCGGGAGTCAGTTGTGACTATTACTTGGGGTGGCTTCGAGTTGCCAGGGTACAGTACATACGGTCGTCAGGCGGGGGCATGTGCGCCATCTCACGATGCCGACTCGTAAGCCTGAGGTCTTGGACGACTGCCTTAGATGGAGGTTGTCCCTTGTTCGCCCGTCAAATCGCCCGTCCGGTCGCTTGGCAATAGTTGTAAGTGCTCAGGGGAATGGGCAGCCCTAACAAGTCGGACATTGAGGCTGTGTGTATTCGTACTTGGTCAAGGAGTGTGAGCTGCTCGTATAAGGCCTGCCGCTATACAGTTGACCGGACGTACTAGGGATGATGCCCCACGGTTTAAAGTACGCGATAATCTGCCAACGTGAAGGTGTCAAATGTAGCAGAATGACACAGGATGCAGCACGCTACATAAAAACCGCAGTGAATTTACTGGAGGCTTGATGATAGATTACTTTACCCCTAGGGTAGATTAGGCTAATTAAAAGGCCGAGATTAGTCCAGCCCTCGTGACATACTACCGAGCCATGCCATCTCCCTGGCAAGCTGACCTGACGGGGCGCGGCCTCTGCCCGACCATCAACGACCTTTCTTCTCAGACCTAGTCCCGTCACCCCGTTCTCTGTCGCACCGCCCACAGCGTGCTCTTGGGCCCCCAACTCCCCGTTGGGATGTCGCGTCTCGAGCCCTGCGGTCCGGGCACGGACGGCGACCCGACAAGGAGGTACGTCAGGCGACAGCCGGGCGGGTCCTGCCCCTTGATCCCCGACCCGGCTCCGGGCTCCGGCTCCGGCGGGGGCAACGGCCAAACCGACTCCTTCACCTCGGGCCCCCAGCCGTCGCCAACTTTCGCGGCCGCTGGTGCCTGCGGCGGTACGTTCTGTGAGGGCTTCTGGTGCAACCCGCGCCCGACGAGCGTGCCCCCCGACGAGCGTGCCCCCCGACTACCACGACCCCAAGGACCCCAACAGCAGTGGATCGTCCGCCTCGACCCGGACCATCTCGGACCCCCCAGAGGACACGTTTGAACCCTCGTCGCCGGCTTCGCCTCCGGCCCCGCCGCCGACGTCGTTTGATGGAAACTTGAAGGTCGAGGGTTTGATTTATCGGACAATCCGAGGCGATCTGTGTCCCGCTCAATGTCGAAAGCTATTACTTCGGTAGAGATGGTGAGGAAACCTCAAGCATTTGTAGTGGGGTTGTCACGACGCACATCTCGATGACAGAACTCTTGGCAAGATCTTGAATCTACAAGTATTAACTACATGGGGTGGGTGAAGGAAGCTCAATGACAAAATGGATTTCTCCACCTAAATAAGGGAGAAATAATGTTCCGTGCATTTGCCCCTTGATGATAGCCGATCGGCGAGGGTAATGCCAGAAGATGGCAATAGACAACACAATCAATCGAGCAAATAAACAAGGTTAATCGCTGCCGTATTACGTACTTCAACAGAATTATAACTATATCTACACACTTCAACATGTTGTCCCTTGGTTAAGGGAACAAAAGCAAAAAACATATAACACCAGGTATTCGCTGATCGTCACCGACTCAACTACTAATCCGGCCCTCATTGGCTTATCTATGGGAGAGCGGACGGGATCCCGAGTTTTCCAATGGGTATGGTCGTATGTGAAATATTGTGGAGATAAATTTAACTATATTAGACTGTTGTAGCAACAAATGCATGTAGATGGGCGGCGGTGTGCACCTGCTCTCTCCTAATCTAGAAATAAGATGGCTTTTTGACAGAACAGCTGTAGAATCTTCAATAGAACAGATATAAGACGTAGACCCTAAGTTTCAGACTATTTAACAACTCTCTTAGCGACAAAGGGTATTCAAACCATATAATGCTTTGCTTAACGCTTGACACACAAAGATTCATGAGCCAGCGGAAATCTGGCTCACGCCCAGGCGCATGAAATAACTGTTATTCCGGGAATGACTTTCTGAGAAACTACTTCAAACTACTCCGAGTTCCCAAAGCCCCAATACAGATAGAGGGTCGCGGTAGCGGTTTCTCTCTTGGAGGTGGAGGCAGTAGGGCCATGGCCACGCCGCTGCGGAAGAGGTTGTGTGTTGTGCTCCAGAAGAAGCGGAGCTGGCCGTCCCGAAAGGCCAGGCGGTAGTCGCCGATGGATACGGCGACGCTTTGCGCAAGGATGAGGACGTCCTTCTCTGAAGGGTCGGGCAAAGACTGCGAAGGACACTCTAGCCACTCTATCACTCTCCGCCTCATGCCGTCCCTCCAAGCAACGATGTCGACCGACGCGCCGTTCTGTGGCGGTTCCGGGTTTCAAGCATCTCGGACTCGAGCCTGCGGTGCTTAATCAAGTGTAGTGCCGGAGCCCGGCTGCCGCCGACACCTTCCGAGAGCTCTCGCAGCGGCGTGTGGATGGCTTCGTCGGGGATAGTGAACGGCCTGCCTATTATGACGCAGAGGTTTCTATCCAGCAGGTTTCTCTTCAACGTGTAGAATGCCCAGAACATCCACCGGCGCTTGTTGAGTTGACGGCGGTCGAGCTTCGCGGCGACAGCATACACTCATCATGAAGATTCAGCTCAACGACCAGCCGCGACGCGAGACCTAGGAAATGTCATGCCCTGCTAGGATCCGAGACAAAGCAGGTATACTGTGTCACGGGGAGCAGATTGCAAACTTGCTGGAGATGGCCGGTGTAGATGACGGCCGTGTTCAAAGTATGCATCGACCAATCTGACAGCCGCGTCTCGCTCTGACAAGGCAGCCTCCGCCGCATTGGGTAGCGCATCCGGTAACGAGCGATGGTCGCTTGGTCTGGATGCCTGCGAAGCACCTCTGATGGGCTCGGCTAGCAACGAGCGAAGCAGTGACTGGCCGATTGGCGTCGTTAACGTGTTGTAAAAAGCATCTGTTTCCAAGCTTTGGAACGCAACCCGGTCCACGGGGTCTCTTGATAGAGAGCCGCCGTCGCCACTTGAAGAAGCGAGCTCTGTAAAAGGCGATTGGGAATTGAGGGCTCCGCGGTTGGCAAGCTGAGACTCGAGGTAAGCTACCCGATCCTCAAGACTCTCTATGTAAGTGAACCATCCATCCTTGTTATTGTTGTTCGAGTCTCTCTTGTGGTTCTGCTGGACACCGAGGAAATCGACCTTCGAGGGGTTACGCGTCCGTCAATTTCAAGGCTCACACACTTAACACCAGCTCGTTCGCAATTGAAACAAGCAGGTATGTTCTGGTCACGTCGTTGCTTACGAGACCGGCACCGCATACAAGCCGTCACGATCGTCTTTCTCACTCTAGACCCTCCGCCCTCGCACTCCCGTGACGCCATGACTCGCAAGATCGCGGCGGCGTGCTCAAACACGCCAGGCCCTGCGGCCTTTGCTCCGAATCTCGGACCAATCTGAGGGGGGGAGGGGCCGACTGGCGATATGGTCCAAACTCGGTACCAAAGCGAAGGCCCTTTCTCGACTCAGGATGGACAGACAGGGCTAGTATGGTTGGTTCACACACGACGTTGTTTCTCCAGCCCCGTTGGAGGGAAAGGAGTCGCTGGGCTGATAACGGGAGGTAGATAATGCGCCCGACTCCGCAACTCTTTTGGAAACCGGCCAATCGACTTCACCGGTTCCCATTCACGACGTCGCCGAGCTTGAAGGTTACTTGTGTATTTCAAAGTTGCTAACGTATTGCTGCACAAACGGCATCAGACGGAAGACCGACCAGCAGTGTGCCCCGTCTGGTCTCAGGCCGAGCCGGTCATGTTCGGCCAAAGATCCAAAGCCTACGCGTCTGTCCTCGCAAGTCCAAGTGGTTGGATCCGGGGTAACCGCCGCACACCAATTCGACAAAGCAAGCCGGTCCGGTGACGGAGCGTGAGTCAAATCGCCCAAGGCACCGCACGCGTGGAGGCATTGGGGAAGGGGGAAGGCCTGCCAAGACTTCTTGGAGTTTCCTAGCTTTGGTGGTCCGGCACGTCCCGCTGACGATCGAGATAGTCTTGGGGAAGGCTGCTCTCAAACCTTTCCACCAGGTCCTGGTGGCCATGAAGCAGCGCCTTAACGGTCTCGTGCAGGCTCGCCAGACTCCCGTCGGTGTCTTCGGTTCCTTGCGCGGTCGTCGTGTAGAAGCCGCTGAGAACCTTGATGAAAGCCGCGTAGACATCCGGCTCGGATCCCTCGAAGCGCTTCTGCGATTCCACGTTAGAAGGTGGGCCAGAGATTGTAACGCGATGGCTGCTGGCCAGGGAGTTGGGGATAGCGACCGACTTTCACGTCTTCCAGGAAACTCCAATTTTCTTGAAACATGCTGGACCCGGCCTGGCCTTCGACTGGATTGGAGACGATATCCGGGGGTTCCGACATGGGTGGTATGCTGTAACGAGTCCTTGGTCAGGATTAAACGAGTTTATTATGGCGGTATCGTCTTCAGAGACAGGTAGAGATGCGCAGACAGAGAAGCATCAGCAGGATCTGCTTCTCATCGGAAGTTGGTTGCAAGGCATCATACCCTTCTTATATGGGCGACTCCGCACTGGGCTCACATTTCCGGCCACAGATCCGTTCCGTCAGCCCATGCCATGCGTATGGTGGCAAAGCCTACTCGGCCGTGGATCCTCCAGATACAAGATAAAATGTAAAAAAAAAAGTTCTTGGCGCACATGGTGTTATGTAATAAAATGACGGCAGCCTGTTGGGAACAAGCACGATTGAGCGGCACAGCTACGGATACCTACCTCTAGTGCTTAGAGCCCCCCCCCCCCCTCCGATGCCCCCTTACGCCTCGGCCAGCAAATCCCTTAAAGCGCGTGCGATGACCTTGGTCGCCCGCCTCAGGTCCTCGAGTCGAAGCCGCTCGTCGGCCCGCTTGGCGCAGGACTCCAGCACCGTCCGCGGGCCGGCGCCGTACACGACGCCGGGAACCCCAGCCTCGGCGTACAGCCGCACGTCGGTGTAGAGCGGGGTGCCCGTCGCCGGGACCGGCTCGCCGAAGACGTCCTCCCCGTGCGTCTGGATCGCCTCCACCAGCGGCCTGTTGCCGGGGACCGGCCGCATCGCGTTCGCGAGCAGCAGGCGGCGGACGTCGACGGAGATGCCGGGCGCAACCGCCGCCGTGGCTATGGTCCGCCGGATCTCGGCCTCTACCGCGACAGGGTCCTCCTCGGGGATCATGCGGCGGTCGAGCTTGAACGCCACTGTGCCTGGCACGACGTTGGTGTTGGTGCCGCCCTCGATGCGGCCGACGTTGAGGTACGGGTGCGTGATGCCCGCCACCGCCGAGCTCACCCGCCGGTACCCCGCATTCAGCGCGTACAGCGCGTTGAGGATCGCCACGGCGCCCTGCAGCGCGTCGACGCCGGTGTCCGGGATCGCCGCGTGGGCCTGGTTCCCGCGGACGGTGACCTCCATCTGCAGACAGCCGTTGTGGGCCGTGACGACCTCGTACGAGAAGCCCGCGGCGATGACGAGGTCGGGCCTCGTCAGACCCTCGCGCAACAGCCAGCCGGGGCCGAGCTCGCCGCCAAACTCCTCGTCGTAGGTGAAGTGCAACTCGACGGTGCCGCGCAGCGGGGCTCCGAGGGCCTCGAGCGCGCGGACGGCGAAGGTGAAGGTCGCGAAGTCGCTCTTGCTGACGGCGGCGGCCCGGCCGTAGAGCACACCGTCCTCGACGACAGCGGCGTACGGATCACGAGTCCAGCCGTCGCCCGGCGGCACCACGTCGCCGTGGGCGTTGAGGGCCACCGTACGGCCGCCGCCGCCGCCGTCGCCGTACCGACGGCGCACGATCAAGTTCGTGATGGACTCCATGCCGTACGCGCGGACCTCCGCCTCGGGCACGGGGTGGCGCTCGGCGTCGAAGCCGAAGCCCTGCAGCAGCTCCGCGGTGCGCTCCGCGTGCGGCGCGTTGTTGCCAGAAGGCGTGTCGGTGGGCACTTGCACCAACGCCTGGAGGAAGCCTACCTCCTCGTCGAAGTGGGCGTCGACCCAGGCATCGAGGCGCTGGTGGTCAGTGGGAGCGGCGGAGGTGGTCATGTTTGCTTTGCTCTCTGAATCCCGGTTGGTTTCTTATGAGAGAGACAGAGATATAGGGGGAGGAGGGAGGGAGACAGAGAGAAACGGAAAGAGAGAGGGGGGGGGGGAGGGGAAGAGAGAGAGAAAGAGAGAGAGAGAGGGCATGTAAACTTTGAGGGCATCTCGGCTTGGGCCGGGGCCCACCCCACACCGGGTTCCGGATCCGCGCCGATCTCGCAGCCAGTCCCCCCCCTGAATATGACTCGGTCTCCGGCATCCTTGCTTGTGAGAAAGAAAACCGCTCGTTCAAAAGCTTACTGGGTCCTCCTGAGTTATAACCGTACCCCGTCGACGATCAGCCCATTGAAATCCAAAATAAGATGCCATTTGAAACCACGTTACGCCCGGAACCATGGCAATTGCGCCCATGGTTCAAGGCTCACAGGCTACATCGCACACTGCGCCTAGATATACGGGCACGGTTTCGAACGAGAGCAATTCCCCTTGGTATTTGTAACTTGAAGTGCGCCTTAGGATGCAAGTTTATATTTCAGAAAACAAAACGCCGCGCCGAGAATGCTGCCCTGGTGCCCGATTCTATCCCTCCTCCACCGTGTCGAATGAGACGCGCGTAAAGTCATGACTTGTTTTTGTTGCTTCATTTCTGGATATCCCAATAGTGAAAAAGAAAATGTTCTCTAGCGTGAAGAATGCGCACTCCCACCCACCCAACCGGGTTGCCCGATTCCGAAATCTCATGCCCGCCCATGTTCTACTTTATAAAACCTGCTTTCCGTTTGGTCAAGTATTCCATCTTTCAAAAGTACTGCACTGATATAGGAAAGAAGGAATCAGATTGTGAGCTGGACAGCCCCGTCTTAAACGACGTGCTTGACGCCGTTGGTTTGCTTGGCGGCCGCGAGCTGCTCCTTGATGACCTGGTCGAGGCATCCGGCGCTTGCGGCGACGAGACCAAGGTAGGGTCTCTGTTCTGGTGTCAGTTCACGAGGCCTAGTAGATAGGGGCCAATGGGACATACGCTGGGGTTGAGGACCTTGGACTGGTACTCGGCGTGGAACTGGGTGCCGACAAAGTACGGGTGGTCCTTGATCTCAAAGATCTCCATACGCTCGCCAGTCTCGTCCTTGCCAACAAAGTGGAGGCCGGTCTCGGTGAGCTTGTCGATGAAGGCCGGGTTGGCCTCGTAGCGGTGGCGGTGTCTCTCCTCCACGGAGTCGACCTCGCCGTACAGGGAGCGCAGCTTGGACCACTCGCTTCCGGGCTGGAACTCGGTCGGGCGGAGACCCAGGCGCATGGTGCCTCCGAGCTTGTCGCGGTTGATCTCGGGCATGTAGATGACGACCTTGTCCTCGGCCGAGGCGTCAAACTCCTCCGACGTGGCTTTGGGGAGGTTGAGGAAGTCACGGGCGTGCTGAATGATGGCGGTCTGGAATCCAAGGCAGACCTGTCGAGTGTTAGGTATGTGGCGGTGGAGGGAGGGGGGTGGCGGGCAAACTTACGCCAAGAAAAGGGGTACCGTTCTCGCGGGCCCACTTGGAAACCTTCATCATACCCTCAGTGCCTCTGTTGCCGAACCCACCCGGAACAATGATACCGGAGGCGGTGCAGACATCATGCCACGCCTTGTGGTACTGGGCCTGGTCCTGAGACTTGGCCTGGGGCTCAAGGTGCTCAGCATCCACCCAGCAGATGTTGAGCTTCTTGCGCAAGTGCATGGCCGAGTGCTCCAAGGCCTTGACGGTGGACAGATAAGCATCCTGCGACTTGACGTACTTGCCGACGAGCGCAATGTTGATCTCGCCGTCGGTGGGCCGGCTGACAACAGACGCCCACGTCTTCCAGAGCGCCTCGCCCTCTGCGATGCGAGCCTGGGGAATGTGCAGGGCGTCGAGGTTAACGGCCTTGCGCAGCCATGGGATGAGGTTCTGCTCCTCCAAGAGGAGAGGAACCTGGTAGATGGTGGGCATATCGCGGACGACGAGGACTTGGGGCACGTCGACCTGGCAGAGGAGGGCAATCTTCTTGACCGTGGCCTCCATGAGAGGCTGCTCGCAACGGCAAGCAATCTGGATGTGTCAGCAGGCTCTGGATCAGTGGATTTCGAAGCGACATACCATATCAGGGACAAGACCGTAACTGCGAACAGTCTTCACTGCATGCTGTGTGGGCTTCGTCTTCTGCTCGCCGTGGATGGTGGGAACGTAGGAGACGTGGATCTGGATGAAATTGCCGCTTCCTGCTCGGTGACGCACTGCTCTGGGGTCAGTAACGGCGTCGTCGAGGGGTAATTCAAGTCAACGTACATTGAGTCAATGCCTCGACGTAGGGCATCTATCACAGGTCAGCGGATGCAAGATGAAAGGCGCTCAAAGTCAAGTCGGGTTCAAGATATACGCACACTCTCGATATCACCAACTGTGCCTCTGTCCATCCATGTTAGCGCCTGATCTCATTCGTTCCAAGCGTAAAAGATTCCATAATGAATAACCGCCATGAAGGGTAACACTGCGGGCGGAACCCCGAAAGAGGTCGGAGACTGGGATAACATACCCAAGCTCGATGATGCAGACATCAGGCTCTTCGCCCGAATCGTCCGTGGGGATCTTTGCAACGCGCTCAATCCAGTCCTGGATGGCATCGGTAACGTGGGGGACGCTTGAAATCCATCAGCAAAACACTCGATGACAGCGGTCTGTCAATGGTTCGTAACATACACCTGTACCGTCTTTCCGAGGTAATCGCCGCGGCGCTCTTTGTCGATGACGTGCCTGTACACCTTGCCGGTGGTGATGTTGTGCTCACCCGTCAGACGGATGGCGAGGTAGCGCTCGTAATTGCCCAGGTCTGTGTACGAGCCTCGGTGTCAGAGACTTGCGAATGATTGGATGTAAAGATGACGACGACTGAGATCCCCGCCAACACGCACCGGGGCGGGGATGTCTTTATTTTTCTTCTTCTCTCAAGAGTCTGTTGCCCGACGGAGGTTCACCTACCAAGATCGACCTCCATGCCATCTTGCAACTATTGGTGGTCAGCATCTTCTGTTTAAGTCATGGGCTTAGATAGCGTCCTGGCTCCATTGCCATCTCAGTTCATGGGGGATTAGAGAGGCAGAGAGAATGGAGACGAGAGAGGCACTTGCACCCCCTTTCCAGTACAGCATCAAAAAGTGCGGGCAGCAAGTTACGAACCACAAAGCATTCGCCGTGCTCGGCGGGGGCCATAAGACCAGCATCAACCTGCATTTCGTCATCAGTCACAGGCACAATGTGAATGCGAGGAGGGTCTTCTTCACTCACCGACAGGTACGGGTCGATCTTGATGCTAGTAACACGCAGTCCCAGGGTCTTGAGGAGCTATTCATGGGGGAAAGAAAGGAATCCGTCAGTATTGTCTGCATCGTCAAAGGGCTGGCTGCATGGGCTGTTTCGTCATCCGCCATCACCCCGCCAAATTCCCCAAGGCTCGGGTTTCGGTAGATAAGGAAATTTTAACAGGGGTTAGGATACACACCAGACCCGTGGACGAGGCGATGATGCCCTTGCCCACTCCCGAGATGACACCGCCTGAGACGAGAACGTAACGCATGATGACTGGTCTTTTGCAAAAAATAAATAAATAAATAAGCGTCGGAGAGAGGGAGGCTGTCTGTCGGTGGCGTTCAACTCTTGCTTGATAGAGGGGAGGGGGAGGGAAGAAAGGGAGTCAAGACACAAAGGGCGGGACGCGACGCGGTCGGAAGTAAAGAAATTTTTGGTTATCGATAAACGCATGAATAGGCAGGCATAGGCAGCTGGTGGCACCTTCCCAGGGTGTGGCCAGTGGGCTCGGTCGTGTAAAGTGGATTTGAGCCACACTCAGATGCTTGCACCAGCCACATTTACTTACTCACCCGCTGTGCGCCTCACCGAGGTCACCGAAGGAGGCATATGTTTACATTGGGAGGTTATGGACCGCAACATCACGGTTTAAACTTACAGACATGTACTCTATATACAGGAGCTTCAAGTATAGGTAGGCTTCAAATTATTGTTTTATAGCTTTCAAAGTCAAGCGTACCCGCAGCAACCTTTTCGAATTGTATTTAGATGTAGTTATCTGACGTTAGTCATATAATGACAGTGGAAATGTTATATTTGAAAAATCGCGGACTAATTTCTTGTCTTACTGACTCCTACTATCAAAGCAACATTTCAACTGTTCTCGAGACCCTTGAGGACAAACCATCTATTATTTAATGGGAAGATGAGGAAGAGCCCACGTCGGATGGCGAGTCGCTGTCGTCGCTAGCCTTGGCAGGCATCTATTGCCTCACGAGACTTCTTTAGAGACCAGAGGAGAAAGATGGCACAAATGAGAAGAAGCATAGCAAGAACGGCAGAGCAAATCTTGGAACTGAACTTCATGGTGTCGTTAGTGGCAGTGTTTCCCATATCGGGTGCCTGTTTCATAAAAAAAGCCAGCCTTCGCCGTCGTTTCCAGTATCAGCCATGGCAGGCACATGCAGCTCCGTTGATGAATCTAGGTGAGTTTTCATCTGAAACTATTCAGAATGTGAATGGCATGGATAGCTTCTCAATCAGTGGCTGTTTCTCCACAGCAGCAGCCCATGTGCAGCTCGTGGCCAGTTGCTGATAGGCAGGCTATGGCCGCCCAGTGAGGGCTAATAGATCAACAACGAACGGTGATCTCCAGGCATGTGACGGTCGTTCAAACACTGAAAATCACGTATAGATGAAGGCGATTTGCAGCGAGAGGCGTTTTGGCGGACAACGAGACTCGTCTTGCTCTGCGGGGCTGACGATGGACGGGATGCCCGGCCCGAAGCTGCGATAACCTCATTTATGACGAAATGACTTCACGCTTTTGGCCCGAATAGCCGCCTTCTCTTCGAGGCTTACAATGTTGCGGTGCGAGTATCACGACGCCATGAAAAACCAAGTCCGGAACTGAGAGACGCCATCAAGGTCAAACCGCTAGGCTTGCCACTACGTTGCAAACCAACATCACAATTGGAAGCCCAGGGGGTGTTGAGCGAAACCAACAACAAACATCAGGCATGCATGTTGACGGCGGCGTGGAAGGCCAGTGCCCCACAGAAGTAGTGGAGACGACGTTTGCGCCAAGCACCTACTACCTAGGTACGTAGGTAGCTAGGTATGCAAAGTTCCACTTAAGCCGGCCCAGTGCAGACTGGTCACGGGGCGGTACTGCAGGGCTCGTAACGGGACGGTGATACAGGAGGGAAGGGATAGGATAGGATGGAGGAGGGTATGGGGACGGACGAGGACTGAGGAGAAGGGAGTGCGCATGTGTGTTTAAAGCACGACTTGACCAAGTTTGCCTCGGAATCATGTATATGAATGTGATGGAGCGCAGCTTTTCTCAGGATCAGCAGCCGTAAAACCCGGTTATAGGTACTCTGGCCATGGTCCACCAGCACCTCCACGCGAGGGCCTGATGTGAGACGGAATATATCTGCAGTCTCGTGGCAATAGCCCGCCATGTCAGAGGCAGGGAATCCGTATGGTGTACATAGTGGGCAGAGATTTCGTTATGGCCTGCCAAACCCTGCTCGGGCGAAACTCAACTTGGCTCCACGGCTCTTTGAAGCAAAATACTGATGGATGCATGCATGTACGATGGCGGTCGAACCGATAGCTCGCAACACCAACAGAAAAAAACACTCCAAGCGACGCCCAATTGTGTCGTCTGGCAACCGGCCACGGTTTTCCTGGTGAGGGAGACGAGCGCGAGAAGGCTGTATCTGGCTCGATTGACGAGTGTCGGTGTGATCCAAGGCCGATCCATGTTGGTGAACAAGTAGATGGTAGTTGCCCATCCACGTCTCGTCTCTCATCCCATCATCTCCTGGATGGGGCCATCGCTGGGTTTGGTATCATCCACGGATGGAGCCACCCTCCCCGGCCAGTACTCTGAGGCACGGCAATGCCAAATTGGGTGGGTAGTCGAGGGAGCACAACAAGACGATGGATACACGGCGTGGGAATTCAGGCAGATGAAGGTGGTGAAGCATATCCATTCCTTGCACCCGGGAGAGTGAGACATGAAAAGGTAAAACATGAGGATAGATGTGAGAAGTATGAGGAGGATGCGAAGCCACCGCCATCCCGGAGAGTGCGTAGCAGAAACAAGATGTGCCCAGTCCAGGCCAGGGCAGACAAGCAGTCTGGCGATTGCAGCCAGTCAGCTAACACTCGGCCAGCGTGGCAAAGCCGTGCGGTGCATCGTGGACAGGGGTTTAGATTGGACTAGGTTGAGGGTGGGTGTGGGTATCTTTTGTTTCCCCCCCCGAGGGCGTATGAGGTTGGGAGGACGGCGGGGAAACGAGGCCGGAGAAGGCGACGAGATGAGATGAGGAATTTGCATTTTGCTCGAGGGTACGGATATGTTTTTCATAATAACGTAAAACGGGGGGGTTGAGTGATGGGGGGTTTTAGAAAAGGGGGCACCCGTGGATATTGCTTCAGGGCCAAGGGTGAATACAGCGAAGGCCCCCGAGTTTGACCTGCGAGGAAGACGACTGAATACCTAATACCTACTGTACGTCGGGACGTTTTCTGGAGTAACTTGGGCACGTGGGTTGCACGGACGGACTGAAGGATGACGGGAAGAGAACGACACCCGCCGTGTGTCGTGTGTCGGATGCCGAACTATGCTGCTAGGTGGCGAGCACGAGGATCATGCCAAAGGGGTTGAGTAAGTCAAAGGGAAGAGAAAAGCGAGAAAAGCTAGAGGGAAAGAGAGAGCCAGCCATCCATGGACGGGTGCGGTGCGCGCCCGCTCGTGAATGGGGGGGGGGGGGGGGGGGGGGGGGTCAATTGAAGCGTCTATCAAAACGCTGGTCATGATGGGCGATTTCCACGCAAAAAAAGAGACATACCCTTTTTTGTCGGTTCCCTGGTGGAGACTCGCCGCCATTCGAGCCTACTTACCTACAATATCTACCTTTGATAGAAAGCATGTATGTACCTATGTACAGTGCTACTTGAGGAAGGTGGGAACTGCCCACTGAGCCGTATTATTATATTGTCTCTGCCATGACATCGACGCGGAAAGGATGGCGGTAACCTTTGTGGAAGGGGCAGGAGCCTTTCATTCCCACAATCAGAAAACAGCTTTGCCAGCGACTTCCCAACCTCGACGTCGCACTCATTCAGCTTTTCCCAACGAAGCAAAAAAAAAACAACAACCAGGCACCAGGCAAGGGTACTGATCATCTCCCCCACACGAGCATGAGCAAAGGGAAGGAGGGAAGGGACAGAACGCGGATGGTGTGGAAGAAGGAAGGGCCCGGCTCTTCTCATCATCGAGGGGTACCTGCCGTTATGCTGGTGTTGGCGTTGGCGTTGGCGCTGGCGCTGTCGCTGTCGCTGGGAAGGGACGGATGGGACCGATGGCACACTGTGAAAGGTAGGTGCAGCGGGAACGGGAGGTACATCCTAAATGTACTTTATTCACATAAATCGCCCAACCTGCCCCCCGTTCCCTTTTCCTCTACTCCTTCTCTCTCATTTTCCCTCACCTCCTTCTCTGCTGACTTCACTTTTGCTGTTATTGCTCCCTGCAAGTTGTGGTCTTTTTGCGAGTCTGCGTTGCCGCTCGCCCGCGGCCCCTTTCGCTGCCGACTACTGCATTCACTGACCTGGAAACGGCAGCCCCTCTGGGCCGTCTGGGCCTTCGGTACCGTTTTCACACCGTTAAGAGCTCTTGTAAGTGCTACCAATTCGAATACTCGCCCTTTCCAAAAAAAAAACACTGCCGTCGTGGGACTCAATTGTCCAAGAGCGAGAGAATCTCGCCACATTGTCTGCTCTCCCAGAGGCGTCACGACCAGAGCAGAGAGAGAGCGAGGGAAGGCAAGGAAGGGGAGGGGAAAAGGGCGAAAGATGAGCCAAATCCAAGCCAATCAACCTGGAAACCCAAGCACCACCACAACAACACGACAGACACCAAAGCAACATGCGAATGCAGGCACGAGTGAAAGCCTCTTCCAGGACCAGCCATGCGGGCCGTGGCCTTTACGGGGTCGGCACCGGGCTAGGCCAAACTACGCCAGACATGGGATCCCACCAAAGAAAGTAACGACAAAAACCGAGTGAAGCCCGGACCCTACACCCCAAAGTACGCTTTACTGCGCACGCTACGGAACATCGACCTGCCTTACCGCGGCACTATCGCAGTAAGAAAAACAGCCCACCAGCAATTGCACTAGTTGGCATTGCTTGCTTCCACACAACCATTTGACCACTCATTATCTCATTTCTGCCGGCCGACGAGAAGGGGGGGAAGCTGAGGACACAGCTGCCCACAGTCAATGATGACCAAAACATGGTATGGTGTGTCACCAGAAAGGGTGCGCCTTTACCGCCGCTTTGGCTTCTTTTGGGCTCTATGGGCGGGGCACCCTGCAGCAATTAACCGTGAGCGACGAACGACAGCGGCAGCCTTTGGATGCACCATTTATTTCTCGCACAACGTACGGCCACCTGCGCGACACTGCACCTATCTGCATTTTCTTCCCTTGAGCAATCTGCTGCGACGGACATGATTGCTTCGCTCCTCTGGGCCCGCCATCTATTCTTCCCCAGACGCTGGCACTGGGCAGGGCCTCCCCACTTACACCGGCGGCCATCTGGCTCACCCCCCTCTCCCGGGGATGGTGGTGACGGGGAAACCCTCAACCACGCGCCATGGGGGAGCCATGGCGGACTGCGAAGTGCAGTTGGACTGCTCGCCAAGTTTTACTGAGTGAGCTGAGCGCGGTACCAGACTTCGCCGGATATTTCACATTGGCAGTGCCCTGACCATTACGCTGTTATATCCTACCGACCACCAAACCTGCTAGGCTTCCATCTTCCTGTTTCTTTGCATCACTGGTCGGGTCACGCACCTCGTCTTCTGCGGCTGCCATTATCATCTGCCCCGTTATTTCCCCGGCATTAGGAATATCTTCCTGCACCCTCTTTTCTGGCTGCAAGTTGCAGTCTTCAAGCTTCTTGGCGGATATGTACCCTACTGTCATGGTCCAAGCGGACAAGATTGTTACACATCCTAAGCTGCCGTCTTTGTTTCAGAGACAGCGGCCACGTGCCAAGACGAAGCTGGATTTGATGCAGAGCCGACCCGAGGATCCTCCTCTGAGCGAGGACATGCTGCCATTTTCACCACAAGCTACGGAAGTCATCGGGGTGTCTCTTGGTTGAGCGGCCGCGCCATTGTCGTAGTCACCTGGGTGATATTTGGCCTCAAGGAATCTAGTGTGCCACTGAAAACGTGGCCACGATGTGAAGAGAAGGTTCTCGATCCTATTGGGCCGTCATCTGTGACACCGAGGAATTGGGATACTGTTTGGGACTTTGGGAGATGCAATGCACTCAAGGCTGAAAACGAGGTCACACGAGATTGGCAAGGAAAGCGTGCCAAAGAAAGACGCAGCAGGAAGACGGAACGGAAGCCGTGAAACGACTAGGAAACTCTGGGAATAACGACAAGCATAAAAGATACGCGGCGACCGACGTAGACGATGAAGCCGGACGATGTTATCAGCAAGGCAACGATTGGTGGGCAGCAAAGTGGCACTCAGTCTGGGGAGAGGAGAGAGGATGGCCGGTATGGAAATGGTAAAGAGTGGGTACTTATATGATAGTAGACCAGGCGACTCTGAGAGATGCTGCTAACATCAGATTGGTGGCTGCCTATCATGTCACTAACCTAGTCACGTGATTGGCTATGGATAGGGAGCTCTAGGCCCCCGGGGCCATACGAAGCCCGTGCCACACTAGTCCATAAACGGATAGACTTCAAGTCTTTGAGCATCTTCTGGGGCTGGGCGATGAAACCAGTGGAGCGCGTCGACATCAGCACCGCCCCCCCGGGGAACCGACTCTGCTGATTTGCCAGGCAGCCAGACAGACAGCGACCGACCGACTGATACCCAGGGACACACAGCTGCGGTGGGAATAGGACACACTCACATTTCCACTTACTCTCATACTCAGTTTCGCATTCGCAGGAGAGACTCGCCAACCCACCCACCACCCTCTGTCATTCCGACAAGCTCGAGTTGTAAGCCAGCCACGATATCGTGCAGCAAGCCAGCCAGAGGGTCAGCAAGAGAAAGTGTGTTTGTGTGCGCGCGCGCGTGTTTGTGAGCGTGTCTTGCGCATCGACCCAGACAGACGAAGAGACTGGCCAGCCTGATTCCGATTCGGGTGGCCTTGCAGTTGTCCGTTGCTTCGAGAGTGGCAGTCGTTAGGTAAGACCTGGCCGTTTTTTTCCCCTTCCTTTTTCCCCCTAATATTCTTGTCGGCGGTTTTTTTTTCGTTGCATTTGGCGCTGATTCGCCCCCCCCCCCCCATCGCTTGCTTTGCTTTGCTTTGCTTTGCTTTGCTTTGCCTGCCTGTCGTGTCCTGTCTTCCTCTGCCGCCAACCCGAAAGTCGTACCCTTTTTTTATTTTGTGTTTTAATTCTCTACAATCCTCGCACCCCCATCCCAATCAAACCCCCCCTGGGCCACCGATAGAGTTGGTAGGTCTTATTTCAACCGTCTCGTGACCGTTGTTTGATGCAATGACGCCGTGTTCTTGATGGCTGATGGCCGTTGGTGTGCGTTGCTGTTGATGCCCTCTGATCGCGCAAGTTCGCGATTTTTTTTTTCTGGCGCTGCAGGCTTTCGGCATCATATTCGCCCCCCCCTTTGCCTTTGTCTCCCCGTTGTATTCATTGCCTTGCGTTCCCCCATCCAGCCAACCCACCCATTCATCCATCCATCCATCCATCCTGTGTCAGGCTAGAGCCTCAACTGAAATCTTAGCTTGCAAGACGCATCTCGCTCGGCGGCGCTGCCCGTCTGTCCGTCCGTCTTGTTGGTTGTTGATTTTGTTCTTGCGTCGCGCTTCTCCTGGATGGACCGACCTGACCCTGTCTCTCTCTCTCTCTCTCTCCCTCTTTCCCTAACATTTCCCTTGGACTTTTTTATTATTATCTTATTGTTATTATTTTTTATTTCGCATTTCTTCCTCGCCCCTTCCCATGTCAGTCAGTCAGGCAGTGTCAGTCCAGTCCAGTCCCTGTCCCCTTGCGCTCGCCGCCTTCCTCCGCCGGCCTTCGTCGCCCCCCTTCCCTTCCCCAAAGGACCCAGTCAAAGCCCGGTCCTCCTTGCCTGCGCAGCCCTTCCGTCCATCCGTTCCTCCCTCTCTTTCTCTCGCTCTTTCTCTCCCACCTTCCGCCCGGCGCCAATACCCCCAGCCAGCCAGCCAGCCCAAAACTCCCCTCAGCGCAGCGCACCTCTTAGCCAAGCCAAAAGCGGCTGGTCCACTTGCTGATTTTCGCACGCACCCGCTACTCGTTCGTTCGCTCGCTCGCTCGCTCCCCCCCCCCAGCACCACGCACCACGCACGACGCACCACGTCCACACACACAACCGCGACGCGCGACAAGTCTGCATCGCGATAACCCGCCGCCGTGTCACTTGCCATCTCATTCGTCTACTGCTCCATCTCAATGGACATTGGCTCATTTCGCTGCAGTCGCTAATTTTCTCAGTAATCGCTCGATGGGTCGCTTGAGCCGACCACAAACATGAGTACCTGGATGAACGAGTCCGCGGTCCCCAACCACAATGGAAACGCCTTCCCGCACATGAACGACCCGAACGCCGCCGGAGCCATGATGGATCCCTCAGCCTTCATGGGCAACCCTGCCCACTTCAACCCTGCCCAGTTTGCCAATCCTCAACAGGCGCAGCAAGCCCAGCAACAGCAGCAGCAGCAACAGATGGCCGCCATGCAAAATGGCCAAATGCGCAATGCATCGCCTTCATCCTTCCAGAACCCCGCCTATCAAACGAATCCCGTCATTCCATCCAAGCGACCTCGCCCGCGCGAAGATAGCCTTGCCGGCTCACCGCGACAGAATCCCGGCATGCTGCCGACCTCGCGCTCCGAAACCCCCCAGACCTTTCCCGGCTATCAACCCGCCGGGATGCCTCAGCAACCCCAAGGCCAACCCTCGCCCTATCCCCATCTACAACCCAACGGTTCCGCCAACGCGACGCCTTCGCCCATCATGGCGAACCAGCTACGCCCCGGCAGCGTGCCCCAGCGAGTTGCGACCGCGTCGCCGCATCCCTTCTCCCCCGGCGCGCAACAGTTCGCGCCCCAAGCCTCGCCGAACCCGTCCGAACATGGCACCCCCCAACCGAACCACTACATGCAGCAGCAGCAAAACATGCAGAACATGCCTCAGGGCTACAATCCCAACTTCAACCCCTCGCCCTCGCCCGCGCGACCGTCTCCGAACCCGAACGCGATGGCTGCCTCCGGCATGATGCCGCAGCAGATGCCGCAGCAGATGGGACAGATGCCCCAACACATGGGTCAGATGCCGAACCAGATGCTGCCCCCAAACATGCAACCCCGAAACCCCATGGAGCAGCAGCAGATGGCCGCCTACCAGGCGCGGCTGGCGAAACAATTACAACAGGGCACGATGCAAGGGATGCAGAACATGCAGAACATGCAGATGCAGAACATGCAAATGGCGGCCCAGATGCAGGCCCAGAACATGCCCCAAGGCCGTGGTATGATGCCGAAGCAGCCCATGCCCATGCCCAACGGCCAGATGCCCCCCGGCGCCATGCGGCCCCAGCCGCAACAACCACAACGGCCGATGCCCGGGTCCAATCCCGAATCCTTCATGAAGTCCCTCAACAACTTCATGGCAGCCAAGGGCCAACAACTTGACCCTAACCCGGCCATTGGCAACCGCCCCGTCAACCTTCTAACGCTGTTCCAATCAGTTCAGTCCAAGGGAGGTTACAAGCCTACGACTGCTGGCAACCAGTGGCCCAATGTTTCCAACAGCATTGGCTTCCATCCCGGTCAGATCCCCCAGGCGCCGCAGATGCTGAAGGAGATCTATGAGAGAAACCTGCTCCGCTTCGAGGAGGCTTGGGCAGCGCAGCAAAATCGACAGCGCATGATGCAACACCCCAATCAACCAGGCATGCCGGGCCAGCCAGGCCAACCCATGCCGCCCGGTGCCCAGTCCCAGTCGACTCCCACCAAGCAAATGTCCCCGCAAGCTCAGATGCCGCCCCAGCAGCAGATGATGCCGCAGGGCCCACCGAACATGCCTCCCCAAGTGCAGACTCCCGTCAAGCAAGGGTCATTCAGCGGCCCCTCTCCGTCCGTCAACGGCTTCCAGACCCCCCAGGCGCCTGGACCGCATACCCCGGGGCCCGGGCCGCAGGGCCACGCACGCAACAGCTTATCGCGGAGCGTCGAGCCGACACCGGGTCACCCCCAAGGCTTCCCTTCTGCCTCTCCGGCTTCCGTCAAAGGCGGCGGCATGCACCCCATGACCGCGCCTCCCGGCATGGAACAAAATCCCATGGCGGCCTCTATCAAACCACGCATGTTGCGGCTGGCTCATGAATCTGACGAGTATACGCCCAGCGCCCGCCCTCTTGAGACGTATGGCGGAATCAACGTCAGGGCTTTCGACTTGAAGGGTTTAGAACTGCAAGGCCTGAAGCCCGATGTTCCACCTCCCTACGAGCTCGGCTACGTCGATCTGCATGCCCTTACGCGGAGCTTGGAGTCCGGCATCCACGGTGAGGTTCGGCTTGCCCTCGACACCCTGGCGGCCGTTACAGCGACCCAACACCAGGCACTGCACATCCATCTGAAGTACTGCGAAGAACTCATCGAAGCACTTCTGGAGTGCGCCGAGGAACAGCTGGACCTGCTTGTGGAAAACACGGAGGAGGCCTCGGCCGATATCCAGCTGACCCCCTACGAGGACATCGCGCGTGCCTGCTGGGTCGACAAGATGGGCGTCAAGGAGCTGCCCAAGTTTGGATCCCTCGAGTACGAGCTTGACCGCGCCGTCGAGCGCTTCTCCTGCGTCATCACGATCCTCCGCAACCTGTCATTCCCCGAGGCCGTCAACGACAACCATCTCGTGCTTGGCGACGAGCTGGTGATCAAATTTCTTTGCGCCGTCATCAGGTACCTCGGCACCAGGAGCATGCTCTTCCGGACGAACGCGAACACGCTCGAGTTTATGAAAGACGCCGTTATCCTATTGTCCAATATCGCGGGTGCGGTTGAGATCCCCGGTCGAGAGCAGGCATTATGCCTCTTGCATTTCCTCCTGGCATTTGCGCCGGCGCCCGGACCGACATGTGTGGACGACAAGCTCTACTTCCCACCTTACCAGCCTGGCGTGCACACGTACACTTTCCACGCCGTGGACGCCTTGGCCAGGTTCTTGGCTAGAGACCAGCCAAACAGGACACACTACAAGATGCTCTTCCTCATGGATGCCAGCAGCAGTCCGCCGTACGATTTGCTGACGCGGTCATTTGCTCTCGCTACCACTGTGGTTCCCATACAATCACCCGAATCTGCAGTCGCTCACATCGAAGCGCCCGAAAGGTTCTTCCGGCTCGTCGAGGATCGCAAGCCGTGGTTGATGCAAGGGCTCTTGGCTGCAGATATCCTTGCCTCGCTGGCTCCAGGGTACGAGACGGGCGTTGCGAGGTCATGGCTTTCGAGCGGCAATGGGTTCGCGCGAGCCTTGTACCATTTTGTCCAAGTCTTGGAAGCACAGTTTGAACAGCCATGGCAAACACGCAGTGGGCAAGGCGACCCAGCGGGCCGGGACACGGGGCTCGTGTATATTGCGACGTCGGGCATTTCCACTTTGAGGAGGCTTGCAGAGAAGGCCCGTGATCCCAACGATCCCAAGTCATCCGTCCCCGCCGATTCGTTGCCTTCCGAGGAAAGCCTTTTCAAAATGATGTTGATGCGATCTCCGGAGTGGACAAAGGACGGCGTTATCAAGAACCTCGTAGCATACGCCTCGGCGGACTCTTGAAATTTTAGTCATTTACCCCTAGAGGCTTTTTGCATGGCATCTGCGGGCAGTTGGCGATTTCGCTGCCCTTCTTTTCAAAAAAAAAAAAAAAAGTCCGTCGTAGAAGCGGTTGCTGATACCAGATATGGATATGTTTCGATCGACGAGGCGTAGCCAGCCGAGTCTTGTGCCTGACGCCGACAGCGGTCACCTTTGAGAAGGGCGCAAATCTTGTACAAGTGTTGTAACCAAAAAAAAGACATTAGGCGAGTGGGGAGGGAGTTTACTGGGAGCATGGAGCGAGGCTGCTTGGCCAGGGAGCCATTCTTTCATAGGTGTATATATGACGCGGCAATGCAGAAATACCTCCACAGACTGTTTAAATACCAACACATGCCGGGTGCTGCGTTATTAAACCGAGTTGAGACAAATGTAACCTCGTGTGGATGTATGTCCAGTTTTCTTGGGTAATTGCGCGGCCCTTTTCTAGGACATGTAGTAGTACATTTCTTTTTCTCTTTTTCGCCATAGATCCGACCCTTTGTATTTGTACGGAGAAGTTTGCTCAGTCGGTGAGCCCGTCGTCCCCTTTGGACGAGAGAGCCACCTTTATGAAATCCGTCTCCCCTCCTCCTCCTCCTCCTCCGGTATGATACATTTTTTGTAATTATACACCCCTTTACTTCCACTCTAGGCTACCCAGCCCGGTCAATCCTACGCCGCCGTTGCGGTCGTCGACGGTTTTGCGACGGGGGCGGCAGTGCCCAGCGTGTTGCTTAGCCACGTCTTGACTTTTTCGACGTGGAAGCCCTGTGGAAAGAGAGAGAAGTGTTAGTCTAGAGGTAATTCCCAGCGAAAGGACAGAGGGTAGCACGGCGCCGAGGGGCGTCAGGGTGCCTTTTAGGAACTCCCTGGATCACAAGGGGAAGAAGGGGGAGGAGGTGTGTGTGGGGGGGGGGGAGACAGGCTACAGCGCGATGAAGTACCTTGATCTGGACGTGGCCCGTCACGGGGTTAAGCTTGACCTCGTCGGCGGGGAAGCCGGCCTCACGGGCAAGGTCCTGGGCGAAGGCCTTTTTGTTGCCCTCGATCTTCTTGACGAGGGTGAACTTGGAGGAGCCGGCAGCCTTGGTGCGGGCGTAGACGGGGTACTGGTTGCCGGCGGTCAGGCCGATGACGTACGGCCTCGCAGCCGGGGTCTGTGTCGTTGTTGTAGTCGTTGACGACGCCGAGGCGGCGGCAGTGTCTGTGGAAGAGAAGCGTATTGAGGGTAAGAAAGCGGATGTTCTGGTCGGGCGGAGGAGGGAGGAGAGGCTGCTCGGCCGGGCGACGACGGCGGCAGAAGTGAGTGCGGAGCGCATGCTTGAAAAGACTGGCGCTCGTTGTGCCTGAATATGGGTGTGTATGCGGGTTATCGGATGGGTGAGAGGGTGTTCAGGTCCTGAGGAGGGGTGGGAGCGAGGCTGAGGTCAGGGCTGCGGATAGCTTCTAGTCGTGTACAAAATGTTTCTTCGCTGCTCTGAAGGGGAGGATTCGCGCCGGCTGAAGCTCGGGGACGGTTTTCGCGTGCCGACGGGCCCGTGCGCTCGACTCTGCTGGGTCTCCCTCGTCCGTCCCCACTCCTGTTCCCTGGCAGGTAGAGCCTTGTATTATGTCAGCTCGTCTCATGCCAGCATGCCTTATGTCAGCAGCACGCCTAGGTGAATTTTAGGCGGAACGGGAAAACCCCGGCACGAAAAACCCCCCACCAATTCTGGTGTTTGGCGAAAATGGCCAAAACTCTTTACTGCCCCTCAGCGGAAAGAAAAGATTCGAGAGAGCCACAGAGTCGATTCGCGCAGCAAACCCCGAACCGGACGCAACCCCCTTCTCCCCCCCTTCCCCTCCAGGCGACGACTCTCGTACCTCGACTTTTGACGATCCGAATCCCCGAGATCGAAAAGAAGGAGTAACGACAGTTCCTCTTCTCAACATCCAGAATACACGCACCCCACCGCACACCACACACACACACAAACCCGCCCATCATGGAGGAAGTTTACGCCGCCCTCGGCGAGGAGAGCATCCTGCCCAAGCTCGCGTCGCAGCTGTCGCGCCACCTCGTCTTCCCCCTGATCGAGTTCGAGGCCGGCCGTGCCGAGGAGAAGGGCGACGACGCCGGCGCCCGCCAGATCCTCGCCGGCAAGATCAAGCTGCTCGAGGACACCAACATGGCCGACTACGTCGCCCAGCTGTACCAGGACCTGAACGGCGGCAGCGAGGCCCCCGCCGAGTACGCCAAGAAGCGCAACGAGGTCATCGCCCAGCTCGAGAAGTACGAGCAGGACACGGCCAAGATCTCAGAGCTCCTGACCCGCGAGGACGTCGTCGGCGCCCTGCGCAGCGACAAGGTTGCCAACTTGGAGTTCTTGAAGAAGGACCACGACGTACGTCTCCCCCCCGCCACCCTTCCACGCTTTGTCTTTTATCATCATGAAGGACGATTTGGCTAACGCGACCCCCTTCTCCCCCCTTCCAGGTCACCGTCGAAATGGTCAACGCGCTCTACGAGTTCGGCCAGTTCCAGTTCCGCTGCGGCAACTACGGCGCCGCCGCCGAGCTGCTATACCAGTTCCGCGTCCTGTCTACCGACAACGACCTCGTCGCATCGGCCACCTGGGGTAAGCTCGCGTCCGAGATCCTCACCACCAACTGGGACTCGGCCGTCGAGGAGATCTTGAAGGTCAAGGAAAGCATCGACAGCAAGCTCTTCAACAACCCGCGCGCCCAGCTCGACCACCGCACCATGCTCGTCCACTGGGCCCTGTTCCCCCTCTTCAACCACGAGGCCGCGCGCGAGCCCATCCTGGACCTCTTCTTCTCCGCCGCCTACATCAACACCATCCAGACCGCCTGCCCCTGGGTCCTGCGCTACCTCATCGCCGCCGTCATCACCGGCCGCTCCCGCACCCGCAACTCGTCCCTGCACCAGAAGCAGATGAAGGACGTCATCCGCTACGTCCGCCAGGAGGCCTACGAGTACTCGGACCCCATCACCGAGTTCGTCTCGGCCCTCTACGTCGCCCACGACTTCAACGCCGCCCGCGAGGCCCTCCGCAAGGCCGAGGAGGTCTGCCGCGCCGACTTCTTCCTCATGTCCTCCTCGGACGCCTTCGTCGACGCCGCCCGCCACCTCATCTGCGAGAGCTACTGCAAGATCTTCAGCCGCATGAACATCCGCGACCTGTCGGCCAAGCTCGGCCTCAACCCCGACGACGGCGAGAAGTGGATCGTCAACCTCATCCGCGAGACCCGCCTCGACGCAAAGATCGACTCCCAGGAGGGCACCGTCATCATGAACCACCCGCCCAACAACGTCTACCAGCAGGTCATTGAGAAGACCAAGGGCGGCTTCTTCCGCACCCAGGTCCTCACCGCCGCCGTTTCCAAGTAGAGTGTGGGAACGGGTGTTTGGGGGGATGGCAGCGGCAGCGAGCGTAATGGCATGATTACACTTTTCTAAAAGGGAAAAAAGAAGAAAAGAGAATCAATAACTTATGAGGAAGAACAGGTAAAACGGGTCAATCGTCATCACGCAGAAGAAGAGGAAAAAACACATCCACAAAAAAGAGGAATCGAGGCAACCGGGTTCTTTTTTCTCTCTTTTTTATCTTATTTTTGTTTAAACATGACACACATAGGATTGGAACCTAGACACTCCGTGACCCTAACCGCCGGGGCAAAACCGACAGCGACACCCAGGCACGAACACCCGAGGCGGGTAAATAGGACCACCACCCCCCCCCCCTCCTGACCCGGTTGGGGGGAGATTGTTGGCTCATGGCGAGGAGAGGAGGTCAGGAAGTTGCCGTGGGATGGGGCAAACGTGGATCAAAGAAAAGAGAGAGAGCGAGAGAGGCCCTTTGGCCATGAGGGGTTCTCTTTTATTTTTATTTTTTATTTTTCAAAGACCCCTCGGTACCCACGCGCAACGCATGGAAGATGTCCCGAGGCTTCTTCTTTTCTTTGCATTGGCACGGCGTTCAGGGCAAAAAGATCAGGGGGGAGTGGTGGGGAGGTGGTGGTTGAGTGGGAAGAGTGGATGTGAGGAATCTCCACTGATTCGGGGGGAGGCCGGTCAGATTTGCAATGATAGAATCGCCGAGGGAGGAGGCGAAAGGAAAGGGGAGGGGAAAGACTGAAGAGATTCAACGCTTTGAATGGAATGTTACGTTTTTTTTTTAACTCTCCGCTTTCGATGATCGAGGCAAGGGGTAAATGTATCTGCCCGCTTTTGCATGAGAATTCTTGTTCCGAGGCTGGTCTCGCTGAGAACGGTGAGCGAGAGAGTGAGTCCTGTCGGCCGGGCGGAGAGGCCCTCCGGAGACGAATCTCTAGACGCTGTTCTGCCACGAAAGGACGGATAACAGAGACTGATGACGGCCTCGAGTTGAGGTGCGCCGTGATACGTAGTGGCTGAGGTATGCCTTCCTAGTAGGACTTATAACGTTGATGAATCGTAAAGTATACGATGTTCTCCATTCATCAAGCGTGTCTTCATAATTTTGTCTATGAGCCCCCTTCTATTCTAGTCTTTCCCACAACAACTACTTGCCCATCAATCAACGCCTCGTCTCGAACATACCCATGCCTGCAGACGGCCTACGGCCCGTCTTCACGCCCGGCCATGAACACCCGCCCCTTGATCTCCTCCACGACGCTATCCCGCATCCACCACTCCTGATTCTTCTCCCCCTCCTTGCCGTCGCCGCCGTTCTTGGCCTTGGCCCACGAGCTGCGGTCAAGCTGCGCGCGACGGTCCGCCCACTCGAACAGCATCTTGAGCCCGAGCAGCCGCTCCCTCGAGGACCCGTCCGTGCTGCGCTCCAGCACGAGACGCGCGTCCACAGCCGACCCGGAGCTCTCGCCGCCTGCACCCTCGGACGAGGTGGTCCGGTCGAGCACGGTGGCGCGTTCGGCGTATGTGAGGTCGCGGAGAGCGTCGAGACCGAACACCCACTCGAGGGGATCGCGTTTGCCGTTGTCGGTAACGTCGGCGAGCGCGTCGCGGCCGAGGGCGCGTAGCGTCGAAGTGAACGGTGCCTCTTGCGCGGGACGCCGGCGGAGATAGAGACTCTGGTTCTGCCGGAAGGCGTCAACAAGCGACGGGTTCTTTTCAAAATCGATCTCGAGGTCCCAGAACGCCGGCCCGGCGTTGGTGCGGATGCTGGCGATTTCTCCGAGCGGGGGCAGGAGACAGGGTGTGTGGCGGACGGTGGCGATCGCGTCGGCCTCTTCCTGCGCCGCCGTCGTTTTCCGGCGGATCTCGATGGGAGCCGAGATGGGCTGGCCCGTAGCCACATCTTTGGCGACGAGACAGCGGGGGTCCGTGGCCAGCACCCAGAAATGACGGAAGGCCTGGAGGTGAGACCGATTATCCATGACCGATGTGGGAAATATGGGGAAGAAGGCGATGAGCAAACTGGCGATGGCCATGTTGCTTGTGCCAAATGTGACCGTTCCGCATCCGAGGAATAGCGATCCGATGGCCAGATGGGCAGCCAAGTGCGAGCCGTACGGTGTTTCGGGGTCATCCCGGCCGTGCAGCAGACGGAGACGACGAAGCACGACGAGGTCACCGGTTCCCGCCATAACCATCGCGGCAGAGAGCGCAAGGACGTCCTGGCACATGCGGGCATTCGAACGAGCCAGCTCCTCGTCGTAGATGGGGTGGTCAAGGGGCGGCGGTCGCTGCGTGGCGGGTATCCGAGAGATGCGGATAAAGTGGTCGAGGTAATGAATCAAAAGGTCTCGTACCCTCGCAGACGCGCTGCCTGCATAACGCAGTGCGATTGAGAGGCAGATTCCTGTGATGATGCTGAAGAATGGTAGGTCGGTGCTCTTCAGCTTGGAGGTGTTGACCAGCTTGTGGCGGTTGCGGTAAGGCTTGGGCAGGCTCTCCAAGATCCATTCGAACGTCGGCTGGATCTTGCTCCACATGATGAGGTTCTTCGCAACGGTGCGCAAGAGCAAGATGTCAGGCCGGATGTAGTCGAACTGGACGATGGACTCGGGTACATCAATCTTCCGGGCAACGATATGGTCCTCGGATTTCATAAAAATCAGAGCCAGCGCCATGACCGCGCCCGCTGCTGCTCGGTCCAAGACGTGGACCATCTCCACCTTCTTCGTGGCAGTGGCGATCGTGACAAGACTTTCCGTGAGCTTCATGTCGTGGAGTCCGCGGAGGTCGTTCCCTTTGCCGAGGTTGATGAGACCGAGCGAGAAGCCGGCGGCAAGGCGGTAGCACTCGCTGCGAAGAGGCTCATCCTCGTCTTCTTCGTCAACATGCCCGATCTCTGACATCATAATCTCGCTCATGCGTCTGTGCTGGCTATTGCAGTATAGCAGGCCAATGCCCATAATGCCCGTCGTCTGAGTCAGCGGAGACAGGTTCAGTTCCGCGGCCCCTCGGGGTAGCATGCGAGTAACATGTACCGAGAGAAGACGGGTGATGAGAGAGTCCATAGTGCCCATGTAAGATGCGGCGAGCCCCAGCAACAGACCAACAGAGGTCATGGTGTGCTTGGGGGTCAGGTACTTGAAAGCGACCCATTTGGCGATGCCCTTGAGGTGGCCGTTCAAGCCCAGAGCGAGAAGGAAGCCGGCATGGCGATTGCTGAGGTCGTGACCGGGCTTATTGTACAGAATCCATGAGGTATCGATACCCTTCGCCTGTGGTGAAATTGCGAGCCCAGCAGCCACGCCCTGATGGAAGAAACCCCAGCAAACCTTCTCCTCGGTGAACAGTGCCTTGTCAACCCCGACAGTGACGTTTGTTGGGCGAACAACGCAGTTGAGATTGAAGCCGGCCACGTGGAACTTCTGCGTCAGGAGTGGATAGCGCAGGCTGTAGTATAAGAGAGCACGGCCGGCGGGGATGGCCAGTGTGCCGGTGGCTATTCTGGAGACGAGCTCCTTCTGCCTCTCGAGGTACTCGCTCTCCGACCATGCTGGGTCGGCTTCAAGGCGGACGACGCGGGCTTTGTGGGTCGACAAGAGGTTTTGAGCCTCGTTCAGACGACGATCCTCTTTAAAAAGAGCTCGTATGACGGCTTGTCGCTCGGTACCCTCGCCCTCGTCGTAGCCAATGTTGTTGTGCTCATCGACGCTCTGGCATATGGTTCGGTAATCCCAGGAGGCGTTGTGCGTGGGTGTCTGCTGGGTGTCAGTTTAGGACAGAAGAGGCGACTGACAAGAGAACTCACAAGAATGTTGGCGCCACTCTTCTGCAGGTTCTTGGTTGGTGCCAAGATCATGCTGATGTCGCCGCGGTTGACGAGCTCCAGCAAGTCCTTGGGCCATGAGGCTGGCGGTCGGGCCTGGCACCTTGATATCGAATCTTTCAGAGGAGTGAGCGCAGCCTCGGGGAGTGTCTCAAGAACACGACTGCTGATGCCTGCCGAATGTATGGCTTCAACCATACTGGATGGGCTGCTTTTCGGTGTGAGTTTCTCAAAGAGACGTTTAAACATCAGCGTTCTGGGGGTGATGGAGGCCCATCTTGAATCCTTTAGATGGTCTTGCTCAGCTTTTACTGTTTGAGAGTGGTAAAGATTGGCCAATGTCAGGAACGGGTGATATTGGCCGGTAGCGAGACATGTCTGGATCCAGTGGAAGATGTCAAAATCGACGCCCGATGGCTGAGTGAGAGGTACTTCGAGGCGGAACTCTGTTGAAGTCAGCATCGTGTGGCTCCATCGTCAAAGACTTTTTTTGCTCACCTGCGTCGTAACGCGGCTCCAGCTCCTCCTGGATTCCTAACTCATATATAGCCACGAAGTCGTGCCATCCAAGCCAGCGGGCAATCTGGCAGAGGACCACGCGTAATGGGGCCGTTCCCGGAGAAGCATATTCAGGACTCATTATCTCCAGCTTCTGCTCCTCCAGTAGGAGATGAAGGGCAACGAATATGTTCCATGCGGAATTCCCGCGGTTTTCTGCGCTGCGCTGCTGTCCGGTTGGCAGATAACCATTCGGACCAACGGCTTTTTCACCGAGCGGAGATGCCAAGTAGCCTTTGGCATATTGAATATGGGTAGACATGAACTTGGACTCACGAAGACCCGAGTTAGCAGAACCATCATAGTCGTCACTGGCGTCCTCGTCCAGGGTCCAGTCCCAGGCCCTAGTCTGCTGCCAACTGGGACAGCCCAGCGCATTGGGGGTTTCGTAGAGATGCAGTGTTTTCCAGTCCTCGAGGCTTTGGATCGACCCAAACGAGCCGGACTGGGCTCGTCTCTTGCGTCTGGTAGGTTTAACGGGAGGATTCTGTGTCGGGTTTGTCTTTCCGAGAGCGAGATAAATGGAAAGGAGCAGGATCACCACTGCGGACCATTCTGTGTCAGCGACCTCGAACTCTTCGCTCTTCACCCACATCATGATGTGCCACCAGCCGGGGAATATTTTCTCGGCGTGAGACGCCGGAAGAATACTGCGACACGCGTCCAATACTTTTCGCACCTGTGGATTCCGAGGTTGCAGTTGGATCTGGATCTGGTGGTGTCTTCCCTCGCCATCAACCATATCGACAATCCCCTTGGCTTTGGAGTACTTGAGACCACTGACGTTGCCATTAGCAACCTCGATGGCCTCGGACTTGCGATGGCGAACGTCTCTGTCGACGACACGCCCGCGATAATGCAGGCTGCGGACGTTTTCCAATGACATTAGCGGAAGGTTGATGGGGGTAATCTGACTCCATGGCGCCTGGATGCTCAGCTCCCTGCGGCCCTCGTGCCCTTCAGACAGGATGAGAATGACGGATATGTCACCATCAGTCACCTTGCAAGAGTCTACAACATGGTGGGCTCGACGGAGCGCGCCGCAAGCCAGCCGAACGGGATCTTCCGACGATGTCGAGCTTTTTCCAGGCTTTGGTGGAACGAGAAAGCGCGGTCCTCTCTGGAGGTCAATGGTCAGGAGCTGCAGTCTCTTATCAAGGGAATCCTGAATCCCGATGAGCAGCTCGCCGCGCAGGGGGTCATCAAGGGCGAACTGGGGCGCGGTCAGGATGAAGACGTTGCAATGTTCGCGAGCAGGTTGCTTAGAAAGCGAGTAGCGGACGTTGGAGTTGTCCAGAGAGATGGACTGGATCTTGGTGAACATCATTTCCTGGGAGAGGCCATCGAAGACGTGATCGTCCAAGCCCATATTATGAAAGCCCTCGAAATCACCACCAGCTCGTAATTCTTCCAGCACGCCGTCAATTGGGGCCTCCAATAAGCTGCCCAGACTGGGGTGGATAGTCTGGCTGTGATTGAAAGAACCGTAGCCACCACTGTGCCTAGGTCCTTGGCTGCCGTACGACTCGATGCGTTTGGATCCGCCATGCGCTGGCACCAAGGACTGTTCATTAAAGACGGAACGCTCCTGAGAGGCAGACAGGTCAGCGCGAGCCAACATGGAGCTCACTCGGCGGGATTGTCTCCTGTGATGGCCGGACTCTTTATCGAGGTCGAAGGAAGACACCAGGTCCAGCGGCTTTTCAAACTTGTCGACCTTGTCAACCTTTTCACTCTTCCTAGACCTCTTTCCTGGTAAAGGAGCGCCAAAGCTTTCGCGGAAGTTGGTCTGGATAGGGGTCGAGGCGCCGCTGGCGAAATGAGGCTGCATGGAGCTACGACGACGCTCTGCTCTGCTCTTGTCCTTTTTAAGGCGGCCGATGAAGGGATCCTCGTTCTTGATGTACGTTACCCTCCAGACGGCGTAAGTGCTGGCCTCCCGGTTGATAGTAACGGCGAGTATGAGGGGTTCGGAGTTGTTGGTCTTCGGAGCACCGGGATGTTTAATCTCCTCAATGTGCAAGATTTCTTCGGCGGGGTCGAGGAAGTGAGGTGACCTTTGCGTGTTCTTCTTCCTCTTGTCTCTGGCGGCACCATCCGGTCGGGTAACCACGAGCCCCAGTTCTTGCAAGGGGTCCAACAGGGACACCAGGCGCGGCCAGTGTGATTCAGGCTCATCGAGAGACGGCTCCCACATGTTTCCTAGCGTCGAGCCTAGTCTTAAGGGCAGAGACTTGGGCTTGTTCAGGCCCTCGACAGAGAAGACCGTGTGCTGCGAGCTTCGAGGAGAGGTAAGGGTGATCTGCGAGGAGACGAAGGAATTGGGCGGGACTTTGGGGAATTTGAGGGAGACGGGAGCAGTGTTGTCGCCTCTCTGCTTGCGCTGAATTATGACTCCCTGAGGTGCAGCGCAGGCGGCCTCAACCTCGAAGGGCATGTGGACGACATGGCTCGTGCCGGAGAGGAAGTAGACATGGGCCTGGGTACGCAAGAAGACGACGAGTGCTCGAGAAAGCCGGCGAGGCTGTTGGGGGGATTCGGTCGACTTCTTGTTGGGTTCTCTCTTCTTGTCGTCGTCGGACGTAGGAAAGGATGCGAGGAGGGCCTGGGTAACGGGCTCCTTCTCGAGATGGAACTTGTACGATTTGCGGAACACACCTCCTCGGCTCCAGACAACGCAATTCTTGGTGACCAGCAGCTCATCTTCAATATCGCATGTATCGTCGTACTCGTTGTGATCGGGTTCGGTGAAGATTTCCCAGGAGTATTCCGATGGCGGCCCATCTTCGTGGGCTACGTGCTGGAGTCCGCTAGGCTGGTGCAGCCCCAAAGACTTGACTGACGCCATTGCGATGCCCCATGTGTGGGATGAAGAAGGAGCAACGTCTTGTCAGATAGTCCTGATGGGGTATGAGGCCTACCTATGAGGGCGTGTTGGCCATGGCAGCCTCGGATCGGGGATTGTTGTTTGCGTGCGTGCGTCGTGTAGGCGGTGATGCTTCTTTTTATTTATTTTCTTGGAGTCGCGACTACGCGAATGAGTGATGGGAAGCTTCCACAGCACACAGCACACACCTAGCGAGTGGTTGAGTGGGGGAGGGGCATCTCACCCTGTACATCTGATTGGAGCGCTGCACAGTGAGGGGACATGCTCGTATGGGGGGCCCACTCCCTGTAGCGTGCTGCACGGTATGTACCGGGACACACTGAGAGCTCTCAGCCTCAGGCGCAGGAGCACAGAAGCTGCGCCCAGCTCTTCCCGGAAACCGAGGTACGTACCGGTCACGCCTCGTGACGTAGCGGAACAGCGCAACACTCACCCACGTCTTTTGAGCTAAGCTACGAACGATCGATTGACCGCGACTCGCAGACGCCGACGCCCTCAGAAGCTCAGGATAGCTTCTGCATTTCCCCTCCATTGCACCTGTCAAGCCCCGCCTGGAGCTCGCATTCTCTCCCAATCGACACTGGCAGATCGACCATGCCACTGCAAAGCTCGAGTTGACGGCACATCTGGCACAATGACGGACGCATCCGACCCCGATCGCGATCCTTCCACCGCCGCGCAGAAGGGGAAGGAGTCCGACAACGCCGGCGAGATTGTCGGTGTATCTGTCGGCGCCCCTGCGGAAACAGTCGTGAGCAAGGTCGAACAGGGGGTCACAGAGGGCGACGCCGCCCATCGTGACAAGGAGGACGAGGGCGACGACGACGACGAGGAGGAGGAGGAGGAGGATAGCGGGGAGGACGACGAAGACGAAGACGAAGACGACGAGGATGAAGACGACGAGGATGAGGAGCCTAGGCTAAAATATGCTCGTCTCACACAGCACCTAGGGCCCATCTACCGCAATGGTGATGCCACGAGCTCGTTCCTTGTAGCTGGTGATAAGATGGTACCGCATCCCTTCGTCTACCTCGTGTCACCGCCCGCATGCTGACCAGGACAAGATTATAGGAACACACAACGGCAATATCCACGTAATTCAGCTACCAGTTTTCCAGTCCCTCCGAGTCTACCATGCACACTCCGCTTCCGTCACCAGCATCTCCATCTCCCCCAACCCGCCCCCCCTGCCGACGGCGAGATCCGAGGCCGTGCAAAGGCTCGCCGCCGAAGCCGCCGAAACTGTCGCAAAACAGCGCCCGGTATCCCGTCAGTCGGGTACGTCGCCAGCTGCCGCCTCGAGAAGGCCTAAGGAACCTTCTCCAGTTCCAAACATCCCTTCGAACAATCTTCACATCGCCACCTCGTCCATGGACGGAAACGTGTGCATCTTCTCTCTGGTAGATACCAAAGATATCCAGTTACGCAACTTCGCCCGCCCCGTCCAAGCCGTAGCCTTATCCCCCGACTACAAGAACGATCGGACCTATCTCTCGGGCGGTCTCGCCGGCCAGCTTATTCTTACCTCTGGCGGACAACCTGGTCGAAGCACCTCGACGACTGTAGGCACCGCGGCCGCCACAGCCTCTGGCTGGCTAGGTAGCATGGGCCTAGGGACGAACACGGGAAAGGACGTGGTTCTGCATTCTGGCGAGGGTACAATCAGTACCATCAAGTGGTCCTTATCTGGCAAATATGTCGTCTGGCTCAACGAGCACGGCGTCAAGATCATGCGGTCCAAGCTGCATCTCGAGAGCAGCGACGCCGATGATGCTTGGAAGCGCATTGGACACGTAGACCGCCCCCAAACAGACGAGTGGGAGACCATGGCCAGTGTCTGGAAAGGTCGCGTCGAGTGGATTGACGAGCAGGCTGTGGAAACGGAAGATGACGAGGCTGGACGAACAGATGTAGCCGCATCAGCAGCGACCGAGAGCTTGAGACAAGCATCTGCATCCAGCACAAAAAAGATTGAGAGACTCCTCGTCGGCTGGGGCGGCACCATTTGGATCATTCACGTCCACCCTGGCAGTGTCGGCACCGGCAAGCGGGCTGGCGAAAAGTCGATCGGTCGCGCCGAGATAGCGAAGCAGTAAGTCAACCACGTAGGCCATGGTTGGTTGAGAGAGGCTAACGCGATGCAGCCTTCGTATGGATTGCATCATTTCTGGAATTTCGTTATATACCCAAAATCTTCTCCTTGTATTAGCATATGTATTACCGGATGACGACGAGGACAGCGACGGCGGCGATGATGACAAGGTTGTCAAGGGCCACAAGTCCAAGATATCTTCCACTTCGGCTGGAAGCGAGCCATCCGGCGGGATCAAGCGGCGCCAGAACAACCTCCCTCCGGAGCTCCGGCTGATCGACCTCACTTCGCAAGCCGAAATCGACAAAGATGGCCTCAGCGTGAGCAGATATGAGAGGCTTACGTCGGGCGACTACCATCTTGGGGTGCTACCGGCACAAAATGCAGCTTCCGCCGTGGCCTCATCCAAGGGCGCGTTGGATGCCATTACCGGGTTTGGTTCCGACATGTGGAATGCTGCCATTAACCCAAAATCGCTATTTAGTTCCGGCGCAAGCATCAGGAGCGGACACAGCGGAGACGGCGTCTCGAGCACACAGGTTCCGAGCTCCGCAGGCGGCGGCCGAAAATTGGGAACACCGACAGTGCACCCGAACCTCGTCAAGCCAGGGGTGAAGATCTTCATCCACAGCCCGTTCGACTTCATACTTGCAACCAAACGGGACCTTGGCGACCACCTAGGCTGGTTACTGGAGCATCAGGAGTATCAGAAGGCCTGGGAGCTACTCGACGAACATCCGGAGATCATGGTGTCACCCCCAGAGAACCTCCACGAGCTTGTCCCGGAAACTCCGGATGGGAAGCAGAGCAGTCAGGAGGACCTCCTCGACGATGCCTCGTCTGTGATGGGATCTTCTGGGATGGCGAGACAGCCAAACTCGTCGGCACAAAGGAAGAAGAGACACATCGGCGAGCTATGGATACGGGAGCTCATCGAAGCCGGTAACTGGGCAGAGGCTGGCAAGGTCTGCGGCAAAGTACTCGGATCCTCGGATAGATGGGAGAAATGGGTCTGGACGTTTGCCGGTGCCGACAAGTTTGACCAGATCACCGACTACATCCCATCTGAGCCAATGTACCCGCCCATTCCTGGTACCATTTACGAAGTCGTCTTGAACCACTACATACAAGTGGACAAGCTCCGTTTTCGAGAGTTGCTTGATCGCTGGTCGACAGACCTTTTTGACATCAAGACCGTCACCACTGCTCTGGACAACCAACTCAAGTACCGCGACGTCCGCGAAGACAGCATTGAAGGGGGGCAAAAGGGTCGGGACTGGAAGATCGTGATGGAGTCGTTGGCACGGTTACACGAGGCAAATGGCCGCTTCCGCGAGTCGCTCAAATGCTACATCAAGCTCCAAGATGCGGACTCGGCCTTCCGTTTGATCCGCGACAACCATCTCGCCGAGGCGGTGACGGACGATATTCCCGGGTTCATTGGACTGCGGGTGCCAAACGACAAGCGCGAGTTCTTGTCGGAGGCCGATTTGGAGGAGGCCACGTCAGAGGCCATTACGCTGCTTGCTGACGAAGCGCAGCATGGTCTCGTCAAACCCTCGGTCGTTGTGTCGCAGCTTCAGGCACAAAATCTACGTCTGTACCTGTTCTTCTACCTCCGTGCCCTGTACAAGGGTGAGGGGATCGAGGAGCATTCCGGCGAGACGCGAGACAGACTGTTGATGGACAGCCAGTCACAAGTGGACGAATTCGCAGACCTTGCTGTTGAGCTTTTTGCACAGTGGGAGCAACCGCTCCTGATGAGCTTTTTGAAATCGTCAACTTCGTACAAATTCGAAAAGGTGAGAAGCCACCAGCATGTACCCTTTTTTTCCCCCCTCTTCCTATTTCTAACAACCACAGGCCGTGCAAGAGTGCGAGAAGTACAAGTACTATGACGAACTGGTCCATCTGTACTCCAAGATAGGAGAGATGAAGCGCGCGCTCTATCTAATTATCGATCGACTCCGAGACGTGAAGAAGGCCATCGAGTTCGCGAAGCAACAGGACGACCCTGACCTTTGGGATGACCTGTTGGACTATAGCATGGACAAGCCGAGCTTCATCCAGGGCCTTCTCGAGGAGGTCGGAACGGCCATCAACCCTATCAAACTCGTCCGTCGCATCCCCGAGGGACTGGAGATCCAAGGGCTGAGGGAGGGGCTGAAGCACATCATGAAGGAGCACGAGATCCAGTACAGCATCAGCTTGGGCGTGGCGCGGGTGCTCCGCAGCGAAGTGGCCGCGGCGCAGAACGATCTCCGCAGCGGACAACGGAAGGGCATTAAGTTCGCGGTTGTCGTCCAGTCGGCAGACCACGTGGATGTGCAGGTCAAGGACGTTGTGCACCCGCCAGTCAGCGCGGAACAGATTGAGGAGAGCTTCTTCAAGGCGCCCAAAGCGGAGCAGCCGGGCCACATCCACGAGCCGCCGAAGCCAGGCCATTGCGCGCAGTGTCGCGAGTCCTTCACCGAGTATGAGATGGAGACCTTGGTGGGGTTCGCCTGCGGACACGTCTTCCACCTGTCGCATCTGCTGGAGATGCTGTTCCCCGGCAAGAGGCAAGAGGACGATTACGGGATCAACAGCGAGGAGGCCATCAACAGCGGGTGCCGGGTGGGGTCCAAGGTCACACACGCCCGCTTGCTGAAGGATCGAATCCGGGAGGGGTGTCCCGTGTGCAAACACGTGGTCGAGGTGGCAGCGTAAGAATAGTTGTAATATCAGTGAACGAATGCATACGGCGGCGAAGCCATCTTTTTTTCCACACCCATCCATCTTTCTTTTCTCTTCTGTGTCCGTCATCGGTGTATCCGTCTCATCGTGTCACTGTGCTAGAAGAAGTGAAGAAGGTGGTCCAGCCTCGCATATCAGTCGCATGCCCCGCGTATATACAGGCAGAGTCGCATTTACATCGGACAGGGTTGTGTCCAGTGGGAACTCTGACACCGGTCGGTCTAGGTAGGTTAATTGGCCAAGTACGTACCGTACCGGGCGGGGGGGGGGAGCACGGACCGGCCGGTTGGTTGATCCCCCGCCACACACTGTTTGGACGACATGTCACTCACTCACTCCCCCTCTCTTCCACCCGCTCGGAAGCTGTTGGCAACCTCGACGCATGCATTCTTCGAGAAATGGAAAAGGTCAACACCGATTCGGGGTCCTGGGATACCTCCCCGAGCCGGGCTCGAGGGAAGCCGAGCTGTGAGTTTGTATCTTTTCATCCCCATGCCCCTCCCCAACCATTGCAGTCTTTCTACACGATAGGCGCGTTGCTTTTTGTCCGTTGGTCGGCTGGGCTGACGGCAACGAAAATGCTCACATACACACACACAGATGGGACCTGAACCGCGCGCGCTCGCCGCTCCTCCGCCTGCCTCCCGAGGTCCGCAACGCCATCTACCGGCACCTCCTCGCGGCGCGCCGGATCCACGTGCGCCTCGACCCGCGCACCTCGTCCTTCCACTGTGTCGCGCTGCGGCCCGCCGCCAACCCCTGGGCCTACAAGCGGCGCCACGTGCTCGGCCGCGGGCTGACGCTGCTCGTCCGCGTCTGCCGCCAGCTGTACCACGAGACGGAGCTGATGCCGTACCGCGAGTGCGTCTGGAGCTGGCAGACCCCCGGGCTGATGGAGCGGTACCTGCTCACCGAGCGCCGCATGGGCGCCGCCCAGCGCCGCGCCGTCCGCGAGGTCTGCGTCCGCGGCGTGCGCGGGTTCGGGAACCTGAGCAGGCGGGTCAGGAGCGTGCTGGGCGGTCTCGAGGTCGTTTGGTTCTGGGAGGGGAGGGACCGGGCGACAGGGAGGGTGAAGTGGGGCGCAGAGGCGGACGGGGATGGGGAGGGGGATGTGGACGGGCTCGGGGGTTGGGTTTGTGAGATTGTCGAGAGGCGGAGGGTGGAAGCCGGTGTCGGGAGGCCGAACTGATGCCAGAAGGTGTTTGTGGTTTGACGACGATGGGGCGAAGGACGGGACGTACACCCTTGACGAGATAAACTTGGACGATACCACGGATGAATGAAACCAGAGATGAAATCAAATTACTAAGAAAGATCCCTTTGAAAGCACACCACGCAAGTGAAGACGGCATGGGGTACGGGATCAACGGCATAGGAGAAAGGCCATTGTTACGTAAGCCCACTGGCTACATAAAGCGGCCAATACTGGCAATACATACCGTAGATAGACAGACCAATCAAGATACATACATACCACCATACCCTGACAGTTGGTAGCACAACTGGAAAAAACGATCCGGGCCCACCAGGTTTTACTGGAGGACGGATATTGAAGTTTGTTACATATGGCTAATAATAAAAACATAACAAAACGAGAATGGGATTGGTTTTTACTGCCTGATGGCTGACAACCAAACAACAATAAATGAGAGCAATGACAGGATTGATGGAAGGAGAGAGAAGGCAAACGACAAAGAGATCCAAGACGATACGATAAGAAATAGGTCGTTGAGGGAGATGCGAACTTCCTTCTGATAGCTTCCTTCCATCCGAATTTGCACACTTAAGATGGCATCATGGAAGTCGCAAGTTGTTGTGGAAAGAATAGAAATGTTCAGGGAAAGCAACAGGGGCATATCGTGTATCCAGTTGCAGTTGTGGCGCGAGGAACCCGGTCTGGCATGATGTTCTTTCTGTCCCAGAGGCCGGGAGCACGAAGTATTGTGCCCCTAAGCAACTCCCACCTTCCGCTGACATGTTAATCGATGCTTCTGCCCTCCGCCTTTTCCTTTTCGCAATTTCGAAGCACCTTTTCATTCGAAGCGCCGTTTCATGGGCAGCGGTCTTGGGGTACGTGGCTGCTTTGTGTTGGAACTTGGAAGTCCAAGCTGTGCCGTTGAGGCTTCATACATGACCGTGGCATCATCCTCCCATAGTAAATCACGCCACGACAAGCGGTAGCATTTAGTCAAAGGAAGGACACCATCTACTTTCTTGCCACCATCCTCTTGATGGTCGTCGTCACACTTGATATCCACGTCATCTTAACAAGAATGCGTGAGCCTCCAGTTCGCTCCTGGGCGAGATGTGTGGCCCTGTACGGCTGAGTCGGACATATCACTATGAACATGGATCTGAGTCTTATCCCCTGTCGACCAAACTGATACGATTTTCACTAAATTGTCCAACTATATCTCGATCAACACTGACCAGGTATCCAAGTCTCTCATCACTCATCTTCTACGTTCACCAAGGTGATATCGTCATCGTCAAATTCCTCCCTGGGCCATGGCCACCATCCTTCCAACGGCATATCGTCATAGATGGCGTTGAAGTTGTCTTCCGGATAGTTACGATCCCAAAAGTAAACCCAACGTGTGGCGCTGCGCTCATCAGCCACCTTATTACACGCGACAGCCCCATCCATAGTGTCCATGTTGATGTTCGTGATTGTGAAGCTTGACAAGACAGTCAACTTCTCCGCGTAGACGATGAGCTTCGCGGCCCATTGGGGGTCGTCGCTCAGGTCCGAGAGGAAAAAGGTGCGGCAGCACGACCAGCGGTCGTCATCGTTGAAGGGGTCGTCTTTGAGGAGACGCCGCTCAATGTAGCCGGCCTCCCTTTCCAAGTTGGCTTCGTTCCAGTAGAAACCCTCTGCCATGAGCCGCGGCAAATTTCGAACTTTGACCTGAAGGAAGGCTTCCCACTTAATGTCCTCATCCTCGGTGTTTTCGCCGTCGGGCGAGTTGAAGATGAACAAGACTTGTACCTCGGTGTCCTGCCACTTCTGCGAATCAAAGTTCTGGAGGTGTGATCGGCGTGCGGTAGGAACCTGCTTAGAAACGTGACGAGTAGTCACCATTTTGTCAGAAGGATGCTGATGATTCGGTGCCCAGAGAATGTGTTTAGTGGTGGCTGGGTCCGCAATTTCACGATGCGTCTTGGGATTTGTTTGTGTTGGAATGAAGGAGTTGAGTATCGGTTGTTTGAGAAGGTGAGTGAGATTCTGTCTGTGTGAGAAGGGTCCCAGGTATATTTATATGGTGTAGGCATCGAATTACCGGCAAAAGCTCGTTGTTGAGTTTGTAGTTCCTCTGTATGTGAACCAGGATGGACGAATAATAAGGTTGGAAGGACCGTTGGAAATCGAGAATTCACCCAACTCTAAGAACTGCTGGAGGTAGATGCCGCTCCATTCAAGATCAAGCTCGGAGGTGACCGTGTATCTTGGAGAAGAAGCTGAGCGGCATCTGATCATCCCCATCATGTTTGCTGCTTCCCGAGCAGAATTAATCAGCGGCGAAAGGGAATGACCACAAATCCATATTAGCCGTCTCGTCGTATGCTTTTCGACTTGCCCACTGTGTCCACTTTTACCTCCGAGTTAGCTGGAAGTCGTGCCTCATTGAAAGCCTGATGATGGCAAAGCGATTAGCCAAGTCGAGGGATCGTACCTGTAGGGCGTGGCGCCCAGTAACAGATTGGGCATATCCTGGAAAAACTGCTCCCCAAACGTTGTATTGAAGGTGCAACCCAATACCGAGGAAGAAACAACAGCATGATTCATCCGTCTCCTGAGATCGTTGTCACAGACAGAGGAGTTCCGTCCAGGGTGAAGATGTCGCAAAAAACAACGTCGTCAATTGCGGGCAGCAATCAACGCCTCATATCTTATGACAGAAGACAATATTTTGCATGGAGGCTTCTCAAGCAATGTGGATGATGCGACACACTAAATTCGAGCCGAATATGTCGCAACACCATCCAAGTGTATCTGGTGATCAACTTCATTTGGAGAGGCCACACGCGTCAGGCATCAAACCCAGTGAAATATGCCAAAACGGTTTCGGGTCACAGCGAAGCATGACATTCGTTTTCGCGTCGCTGCGGATCAGAAAGGAACAGCAAGCTTCAGATCAACTGTGTGGCACATTGGGAATCACAGTCACGCAATGAAAAACATCAAAAAAACAGAAAATTGTGAGACGTGAAGCTCGTTTTTGTATCCCGGGCTATGTGTACCAAGGCGAGAAGAAAACCCTTATCCGGTTATGCCATGATTCCCAAACCGCCTATCCGAAGAATTCCGAATCCATTCCATTCTGTGATCATTGATGCCAATCCTCCCAATGCGCTAAGCTATGTCACTTGATGAACATGCCAAGCAGAGAAAAGAGACAAAGCAAGGTTGAGCATCTCAGACAAAAATCAGAAGCGCGATGCCGGCCCAGAAGCAGCTGGCATCAGACTCCATGTTGGCCGCAGCGGAAGCGCTGGGAGTCTGAACGGTGCCAGTGGACTCAAGAGACTGAGTGACCTTGGTGCCAGAGGTGGTGGCAGCCTCAGAGGTCTTGGAAGTGACCTGCTCAGTGATGGAGGTAGTAGTGACCTCAGAAGAGACCGCGGAGGTGGCCTTGGAGACCGGGAAGGTGGAAGTGAAGTCCATAACCTCGCAGGTCTCGGTGGTGACAGGGCGACAAACAGTGGACTGGATGACTGGACAAACTGTCAGAGAGTTGTGATTGTGATGAAACGAAAATGAAAACTTACCAGTGACACCGTTGCCACCGACGGAGGTGGGAACGAGAGCGCCAGGACCCTCAAGGATAGTCGTGAGCTCGAGAGCAGGCTCAATGGTGTCTGGAAAGTATCAGCTCGAAGTGAATCATCAAAAGCCAGGATGGAAAGTACTTACTGATGTTGTCAACGCGGATGACATCCTCGTTGACAGCAGCAACGCCGAAGGTGATGCCAGAGGCAACAGCAAGGATGATGGTGGACTTCATCTTGAATGCTGAAGACTGTGAGACGAAGCAGGCCGAGATGAGAATGGGAGAGGATCAACTTACAGTGTTGGGTTGTGTGTTGTTTGCTTGAGGCAGGTAGTTGTGTGTAACTTGGCTGGAATGCTGCGAAGCAAAGAGGCGAAAGCGAGGTTGATGAGAGTGGGTAGAAGAGAAGAAGAGAAGAAAATGGGAGAAAGTTGGAGGGAGGAGAAGAGGTATTTATAGGAGAGAAGGGAGAAGCTGGCTGATTGTGGGATCAGCCGTGTCAGTCTCTTGAAGAGAGACGGGCAGATCTCATTCAGTTCATCACGTCAATAAAGTACACAACTGAAGGAAAACACAAACTGTGAGCCTCAATTTTGTCATTGGTCGATTGGGGCTTGTTGCCAGGTTGACTGCCCTACGTGAGGACTTGAGAGACTGAGATGATGCGGGTGCCCTGCCTTCTTTCTTGAAAAGGCGAGAGCAGGTCACGAAGACACCTGGTGGTGATGCTGTTGAGAGAATTGTGTGTGCCTTGAGTCAAGGGCAGTAATACATACCTCTACGGAAGAGGATGGAAGAGTAAGACAGGTTTGCATAAACGAGTCAAATGGGCGAGAGAAAAAGAGGAAGAATCACAGTGACTACCCATCCGATGAAATGGCGAGAACCGGCGCCATTTAGGAAATGGTGGCCTTGTTGAGATGTTTATCCTTTGCAAGTAAAGTCTGGCGGGTATGGAAGCCTGTGAACATTATTTGAGTAAGTGAGAGGTGCAGAATGTAATGGCTAGATGCCTTTATGGCTGACAGAATCACTGTGGTCCATGAAAAGATTTGTTGATTGAAAGGCTTTCTGTTTGAAAGAATGCAAGAGACTAAATCTCTATGAGCCATCTGATGGCCTTGATGTTGGGACAACAGAGCAGTGATGTGCGTGGTGCTTTTGTGATGATTGCTTTCTGACTTGACGCAAAACGTGGAAGAGGTTAGTTTAGGGTAGGACTATTAACGGCGTCCTCCTTGCTCTTGAAAGGCCACAGGTTACTTTTTGCACCAACATGGCTGCATATCTACCAACACAGCTTCAAAGAAATGGAAGCACATTTAGTGACATAGCATCATATCACTAGAGAAGATTGTACATAAGATAATGAGCTTTGCGAAAGATGATGGGAGATGACCACTAGATATAAAATGCAACAGACCACAAACAACATATATCCTACTCAGAAACAGGAGGAGTTACCTGAACTCTTCGAAAGGTTGGCTCTGCTACGCAAGAAAGCGGAGCTATCTGTGTTGGTTGATTTTCTAATTCCATTGAGTATGAGTAAGGTCAATAGAAGTATCAGATTTGTCGACTTCGGCCTCGTCACAGCAAGGGACAGATATAATCCCACTGCTCCAAAAGTGTTCTTCACACTCCTGATACGACAACTTTGCCTGAATAAAGTAGCTGTTATTAGAATACTTAGACTTAATACCCTGGTATGGTAGACCACATAGCCTTAGCCCATCACAGGTTATCAACCCGGTCACCTTTGAGTTGCTTCAGCGTCGGCAACTCAAATTCAGCATACGGGGCTCTGAAAGAAACCCGATAACTCCGAACGCAACGGAAAAGATGGTCCATTTACCAGAAGGAGCTGGGGGATGCTTGGTGCTGCAGGCTTTGACGGCAGAATCAGGGAAGTAGGGTCTATGATTCCTTCCACCAGGAGAGAAAAGGTGCAGCCATACGCTTTGCCATCCTCACAGAAGGTCCTGATGGGAAAAAGAACAAACAAACAGGCAGAATTCTCCCGGATAGTTCATCTGACCTTGGATTCTCCCCCCTTCTTCCCATTTCATCCGGTCGCGTGCAACAACATCATCACTGGAAAACAGGTCTGTTTCATCCAGCCAGATTGTAATGACCTCAGCTACCATTTCTATTACTGAAAGTCTTCCAACTACACAGACCCAAAAAAAATCCTTATCGTCAAGAAACCATGGACCCCAATGCCGCCGCCTGTGTCGGCGGCGAGGCAGCCGATAGCAGAACCTCGGCCGGCGATCCCTTCATGAAGATGCCCTTCGAGCTCCGCAAGTCTATCCTCGACGACCTCGACAACCGGCGTGACGTCTACGCCATCAGCCGGGCGTCTCCCATCATGGCCAAGACCGCCCGTGGCACCCACGGCATCCTCGAGCAGCTCCTCGAGACCGAGCTCGGCCCGGCGCAGCTGCGCGCGCTCCTCCCCGACGCGCTCGCCGCCCTCATGTTCCCGACCGCCGTCTGGTATCCTTCCGACGCCGCCAAGAAGGCGGCGATCCTTCAGCATATCCGTGACTGGAAGTCAAACCGCCTCGGAGACCGCGCTGGCGACGACGACAAGGTGGCCGCGCACGTCTTCATCCACCGGCTCGCGATCCCCTTCGCCGAGGATTTCGCCGCCCTCACGGGGACCGTCGGCAAGGTCGCCGACCAGATCCGCCTGCCCGCGTGGGCGTACGACCGACGGTACAAAAAGGCCCCCCGGCCCGCCGTGGAGATCTGGCGCTACGAGCCTGAGGAGCGTGTCCGCCTGCTCCGGGCGTTCTGCCGCTTTGAGCTCCTGAGCAAGGTCATCAGCGCCCGCCCCGGCGCCCAGCTCTGGACCCTCACCGAGCAGTTCCTCCTCTTGAACGCTCTCTTCGAGGCCTGGGAGGTGGAGGAGGTATTCTGCGTGCAGATGTACGTCGGGGAAATGCATACCATTCTCTTTGAGACGCACGTCGTCGACGTCCTTGATACGATGTCTTCCAACTCCATTCGCTCTCGTCTTCTCGACCCCGCGCGCGTTGATCAATCCGTCCGTCTGAGCCGCGGACCGTTCGATGACTATTACGAGGTTGACGACGAAGAAACGGAATGGTTCACCAAGATCGGCCCCGAGCGTAACCCTGGCACCCCCTGCGCCAAGTTCGAGCTAGCCGGCTACGACAAGCACGCCACTTTCGTCAAGCAGACGGCCACCTTTGGCCTCGCCTTCCTCAAGCACTTCCTCCGCTCCGACGCGCCGACCTACAGCCGCTGGATCCGCGCCCACGGCCACGTCCTCCTCAACGGCATGGCGGACCCCGACGAGGCCGAGTACGTTGGCCCCTACGGCACGCGCAGCGACGTCGACGGCGGCGTCCTTTGGCTCTCCTTCCGCGTCCTCGACACGGCCCAGCTCGACGGCGGTAACGCCGCGGTCCGCCCGCTCCGGACCAACGCTGACCTCGCCTACATCCGCCACACTCCCGACGACGTCGCCGCCAACACGGCCTGGCGGCACCTTGACGCGACGAACCCGCAACTGCGCGAGGCCTTCCGCCGCTGCGGCTGGGTCTTCTGGTCCGACGCGCGCCTCCGCCGCAACGTCTTCTGGAACCGCCGCCTCGACGTCTTCTCCCCCGGCGCCGCGCCCCGGTGGCTCCACCGCCCGGACGGCAGGAGGGGGGGAGGGGACCCCACCGCCATCGCCACCTCCGACGAGGACGACGAGGACGAGGACGAGGACGAGTACTTCCTGCCCCGGTCCGAGATCGACGACAACATGGCGTTCAATTCCTTGGGCGGCGCGCCGTTTGTGCTCGGCCTCAGCAGCGCGGCCGAGGCGAAGCTGCTCTCGTTCCTAGGTGAAAACCTGGTGCGCCGGGGCATCCCGCTGTTCCGCGAGTACCCGTTCGACCGCTTCCGTGGCGAGCGGATCCCGCTCGCCGTGTGGGAGGAGTGCATGGGTGGCGCGGACCCGGCGGTCCCTGCTGGCGCTGTTGAAGTGTTTGACGGCATTTTCTGGGGCTAGGGGGGGTTAAGCTCGATAAAATCGCTTCAGGGTGACGTGCCTCTTGTTTTCTTGATTTCGACGGGATACATGTTTTCCTTGAGGTGGATCGAGGCTATGGATGACAGACGGCGTTGAGATCGCAGGGTTGAAGGCTGGTTAGGAAATGAGCAGAACAGCAACATCACAGAAGAAGCAGGATTTGTAAGTAGAACAGCTGGTACCATCAAAAGAGTCACGCGGCCAAAGACCGTTTTGCGTATTAGAAAGAGAGACTGGGCATCATGCCAAAACAGGGTCTAATGGAGGGTATCGTTGTCATTCAATCATTACCTGCTCTAGTCCCTATATCCCGAGTCCAGCCCAATTTGACGTGACGGGTCTTACCCGAATATCCCGGCAACGACGGCCATGACGCCGACATAGACACCCGACGCCAGGAGTCCCTCGGTTGCGGCGACCTCGGCAGGCCGCTCAGCACCGCCGCTGAAGAGCCCGGCCTGCACGACGGCGGCGGCGACGCCGACGGCGACGAGAAGGACGACGGCCATCCGGCCGACGAAGCCGGGGATCACGGCGAAGGCGAGGATGGGAAGCAGGAAGGCCGCCGCGAAGGCGAGCGCGACGGTGGGGAGGAATCCGGTGAGGGCGGCGACCAGCAGGCGGCGCACGCGCTCTGCCTTGTTGCGGCCCCCCAGGTCCGCCGGGGGCAGCCGCGCCGCGCGAGGCTGCGGGGTCTTGAGGTCGTCGCCGGAAGCGCCGGGCTCGCGGGAGAAGCTGGAGGACGACGGGCGGGCGAGGGAGACGAGGTCGTCGGTGGGCTCGAGGAAACGGGCCTCGATCTCGACGATGGGGTTGTGGTTGGCGAGGTAGACGCGGTAGAAGTCGACGTCCTGGGGATCGGGGGCAGGGAGGTGCTGGGTGTCCTTGAAGGACGAGAGGACGTGGTCTGTAGCGCGTTAGGACACATGCACGCGGTTGTGACCATCAGGAGATGGGAGTAGGGGGAGGGGAGGAGGGACTCACTATACTGGCTGAGCTTGTAGCCAATCTTGCCCAGCACGTCCGTCTTGTGCCATTGCAGTTCGCCGGCTGTCAGGGCGTCCTGTCTCCGGGAGGCGGGCAAGATGCAGTTCTGCATGCGTCGCGTCTGCGTGTCGGCGGTGTCGAGGCGATGGAGCTGCTCTTCCAGCTCGGCAAGCTCGTCTTGAAGGTGCAGGAGTAGACGGTGGTTGAGGGCCTCGAAGCGGCGGTAGATGGGCTTGATGCTGGACCTGTCCGAGTCGGCGGCGCACAGCTTGGAGGCGATCAGCTCGTAGCCGGTCAGCGGCAGCTTCTCGGCCCTCGGGAGGTGCTTGGGATGGCCGTGGTGAACGGCGGGGAGACGCGGCTGGAGGGCGTTCGGGGGGAGATGAGGGAAGTTGGCGGTGCCCCGCGGCATCTCGGGGGTGCCGTAGCTGCGATAATCTTGTTGACGCTGGGCCGTGGCCATTTGCACCTCGAACTTGCCGGGCATGGACGGCAAGTCGCCGTAGGCGCTCTGGTCCGGGCTGCTGCTCCGGTCTGTCTCATGGTCGCCAGTCATTTCGGAAAAGACGTCGGACTGGAAGCTGCTCGAGGCGGTTGAGCTGGTGCTCCTCGTCGACGGCGACTGGAAGCTCGAGGCGTCGGGCATCCTCCAGTACGACGACTGCTCGACGGAGCGCTGGATGGCCTCTGGGGTAACGCCGGGGGAGTCTGGCTCCAGGTAGTTGAGGACGCTGGATAGTGGTTGCGCCTTGGGTGAACGACTCCGTTGACGCCCTTTAGAGTAGTGATAGTAGTAGGACTTGTCTTGAGCCCTCGACTTGTCGCTTCCTCGTCGCCTCGGCCAAGACGCCTGGGTAATGGTTGAGCCGCTGCCGCTGGAGCCACTGGCTGCGTGAGTTCTACCAGTGAGAGAGGAAAAGCTGGTCAAGGTAGACTCGGTGGGCGAAGTTGGAAGATGCGTCTGTTGAGCGATGCCATCAGTGTCGGCGGGGACGATGGTCTCGTCTGATGAGGACTCGGGGTCCACGACGGCTACCTCGTCAAGCGTGCTCTGATTCGAGTCCATGGTAGAGATGCGACGTCGGGTTGGGGAGTCTGGGCCAGAGGCGGGCAGAGACGAGTGCCTCCGGACGGTGGCGCTCCTCTGACGGGATCGCGGATTTCCAGGCGTTGACGTGTCATGGGGCGACATGTGATGCCCCTCGTGGGCGACGTTATCGCTGGCGTCGCGAGCAGACGTGGGTGAGGGGAACGGCGGCGGGAGTCCGTCGCTCGGGTCAACAGCTAGCCAGCCTTGGTTTGGGCTTGGTGCGTCGTCTGTGTAGCCAGCGTGGACATGGTCCACGGACGGGGGACGGTAGACCGACGACATCGGTAGTCCGGGGGTGGTTGGCCTGGATTATGGATCAAGAGCGCAAGGCACGAACCAGCTGGCGAGTATATCTCAGCTTAAGCTTGAAGAGTTGGCGAACGAAAAGGTTGGATCTGGCCCGATATGGGTGAGACGAGGAGAGAAGGGAATGCAACTTGGGTACAGAGAGGGAGGAATGTCTCAGAGTAGCAGACCTAGGGCATTCAGCGAATCGCACAAGATCTTTATTCAATACACGGCAAGTGAAAGACGAGTAATAGGTGGTACGGCAGAGTGCGAATCAGCGGAGAGACAAGGTTTCTGGAAAAGATATGGATAGATAGAATAGGTGATTTCAAAAGGTGATCGGGATCGGGGCGAGAGGAGAGTGGCGAGAGGGTGAGATGACGGGTTCAAGAGAAGACAAGCGGCGATAGCATCCTAGGATGCGGCTCGGATCGACAAGAAAGCGGACTTGAGCAATACGGTCCTTTTTTCATTCTTTTTTTTTTTCAGGTGGCAGATAAAAAGAAAGCATTGCGCGGAGGGAGATGTGTGTCGCATCACCAAGGTGGCTGGGAAAAGGCTTAAAAAAATAAAAACAACAAGAAACAAGCTACAGGGGGAAAGACAGCATAGAGGAAGGAAGCGTATGATCAGGACTTGCGTGTGTCAGCCGTAGACGGGTTTGTTTCAGATGACCAGCAAGACCGGCCCAGCGTGATGGGGGGTGACGGGGGCGACAGCGTGTGGTGCTACTTTAGTCGAGCTGAATTTGGTGGTGTGGTGAGGTGTATGGCAGCGATGAGAAGCGTGGTCCAGGTATATACACTAGATAGTCGACGTGTACGACCACACCACAACGTGTAGAGGAACAGGAATGAGAGTTGAGATGGATGGATGGATGTATCGTGCTGATACCTGCTTTACCTACATCGTGCCGGGCAGTGTAGTGTGTATGTACCTAGGTACTCCGTAGTGTCCGTAGGTACATCTGCATGTCCACGTGCCATACTCCGTACAAATGGTGGGATCCGGGGGTTGGAATAAAGAACAAACCGGGGGAGGCAACTTTTGACGAGGGGGGAAGGAATTGGATGAATCGATTGAAAACAACAGGGCAGCGAAGATTGCCATTGCATGATATGGGACGAGCCAGTTTCGCGGAGCTGTTTTCACTCGGGAGGCCCATGTCTACATTACATGACATTGCATTACATGACATCCCATGTACGGATAGAGCTCGCACATGTAACTCCCCGCCGCGCTGCGTGTCATTCCCGGCGCATGTGCACGTGCCACACCTATTCCTGCTTCGTCTCAAGGGGTGGGATGCGACGTGATGGGAAGCGAAGCTCTGCAGCACTATTACGTAATCGTCTTATCCTGCCACATGGGACATACGGTACGGAGTGCTCCGTTCAAGTACCTAGGTACATGGATGGGTACGTACTTAACTGCCCGGCTACCTCACGACAAACAGTCAGTCTCACGGTACGTACTCTTCCAGTAGTGTAAATCCCCAGCTTCCGTCAATTTTGATGCGACGGCGGCGAGAGCCAAGACACAGCTCAGCGCATCTCTCTCTGAAGCTATTCCGCAGCTTAATTGCCAGCCCTGGCTCTGCGTCACCTCCCTCCATCAACCCATTCACTCGATAAACTCCTACAGAAACACTATCTCGCCTTGCCGATCAATCACCAACTTGCCGAGCTTAAACGCCCGCATCCCGTACTCCCGACCGACCGCCACCCACTCCAATCGCGCTTGGCTGTGGTCCACGAGCCACTGGTTGACCAACACATTGCAACGCGCAGAGACAGTCAGAGAGAGGGTGTGTTACATACATGCTCAACGACCAGTCCGCCCACGTCTCTATCCAATCCCGCCAAAGTGGCGCTCCTGTCACACCACGACCTTTTACCTCAGCTCAAGACAGCTCGACACCTATACAGAACGTACCGCATCTCCTCACCCCGTCGTACCTCGAACCGATACTCGCATCCTTGGTCCCTGTGTCAAAATGACGCGCATCCCGACCCGCGAGCTATCCCGCTATCTTTTGAGTGGCCGGCTTTCTCGCCACGGCTGCCTGGCGGTAAGAACATCATACTCCCGTTTGCCGGCTCGTCCCGTACCGGCATGGTCGCCTGTCACACCCCTACGAGAGTCGAGGGCAATGTATGCGACCGTCCAAGCGGCGCCGGCGGCGACACCTGCCGAAGCAACGCCGGTGCCCCTCCGGAAGAAGCTCAAGGAAGAAAAGAAGCAGCTCAAAAAGGAGGCGAGAAACCAAAAGCCCAAGGGAAGCAACCAGACCGTCGAGGGCTGGGAGTTGACCGTCGGCATCGAGATCCACGCCCAGCTTAACACCGCCCGGAAGCTCTTCTCCTCGGCCGCCACTTCTTTCAACGACCACCCGAACTCGCACGTGGCCCTCTTCGATGTCGCTGTGCCCGGTAGCCAGCCGACGTTCCAGAAGGAGACTCTCATCCCAGCCTTGCGCGCCGCCTGTGCTTTGAACTGCGACATCCAGCCCGTCAGCCGCTTTGACAGGAAACACTACTTTTGGTGGGACCAGCCCTCGGGCTATCAGATCACCCAGTACTACGAGCCCTTCGCCCGCAACGGCCAGATCGAGCTCACCGCCCGCGATGGCATCGCTGCCGAGGACGGAGAGGGCGTCACCATTGGTATCCAGCAGATCCAGATGGAGCAAGACACCGCAAAGACCCTCGCCCAGCCCAACGACATCTCCTGGCTCGACTTCAATCGTGTGGGCGTGCCCCTGATTGAGATCATCACCAAGCCCGAGCTGCACCACCCTCGTACCGCCGCCGCCTTCGTCCGCAAGGTCCAGGTCCTGCTCAACGCTGTCGACGCCTGTGTGTCAGGCATGGAAACGGGCGGTCTGCGTGCCGACGTCAACGTCTCGGTCCGCAGGACGGGTGACCCCAGCACCCCGCTGGGCACGCGAACCGAGATCAAGAACCTGAGCACCATCAAGGCCGTCGAGGACGCCATTATTGCCGAGCGCGACCGCCAGATCGCGGCGCTCGAGGCCGGGGACACGATCGCCAGCGAGACCCGCGGCTGGACCCTGGGGTCCAAGCACACCCGCAGGTTGCGCGGCAAGGAGGGCGAAGTCGACTACCGCTACATGCCCGACCCCGACCTCGGCGCTCTGGTGATTGGCGAGGACCTCGTGAACCACATCAGGGAGTCCGTCAAGGAGCTACCGGACGCCGAGCTGACGGAGCTGATCCAGGACTACGGGCTGACGGCCAAGGACGCGCTCTCGCTCATGTCGCTGGACAACGGCGGCAGGCTCGAGTACTTTTACAAGGTCGTGGACGAGCTCGGGGAAGCCCTGACCGAGTCGGGCCTCGAGTCCGACCTGCGCACCCACGCGCCCCTCGCCGGCAACTGGATCCTCCACGAGCTCGGTCGGCTGACCACGGACAAGACGGACCCGGGATCGGCCCAGCAGCGGACACTGGAGATCACGCCAGAGGGCCGGTGCGACGCTGTGCCGCACGCTGCGCTCGCCCGCATCCTCTTGCACCTACAGAAGCGCGAAATCACCGGCAAGGTCGCCAAGGAGCTCCTGGTGGCGCAGTACCTGGGCAGCCTCGACGAGTTCGCCTCTGTCACGGACGCCATCGCCGCCCACGAGCTGTGGTTCCGGGACATGTCCGAGGCCGAGTACCGGCAGCTCGCCGAGAGCGCCATCGAGGGCGAGGACAAGGTGCTCAGGGAGTTCCGGGACAAGAAGGACAAGAAGAACTACCCACAGGGCAAGCTCATGTACCTCGTCGGCAAGATGATGCGCATCGGCGAGACGGAACGGATCGACCCGTCGGGCGCCGAGAAGGTCATGCGTCGGCTCATAGACGAGCGGACGGGCGCGCACCAGGAATAAGTCCCTCTATTGGTTTCACAATATACAAGGGCGAAAACAATAAAACCCCTAAACAAAAAAACTAGGTATCCAAGGCCCATGTACGTGCATCTCGACGCACGCTTTATTGTACAAATGTATCATAACATCGTGTCAAGCTCGGTAATACGAGCGCAGGGCTTGTGTTGTTACTACCTCTTTCCCACGGAGGCCGGGGGGGTGGGCATCCCCTCCTACTTCCAACCCGCCCTTGTGCTGCCTACTTTGCGCTCGGCGCTGGCCGCACGTCCAGCTTGGCTGGCATGAAGCCGAAATTGATATTCTCCCTCTCCCGCAGGAACCGCTCGATGCGCTCCTCCCGCCCCTTGCCGGCCGTGGCCTCGCCCTGCCTCCGCAAGGCCTCGGCGATGTGGGCCTCATGGGCGTCCTTCTTCTCGAGGATGTGGGCCGACGAGTTCTCCATGCGCGTCGTCTGGGCGACAGTGCCGACGGCGAGAGCGGCAATGACGAGGGCGGCGAAGCTCGCGTTGGACATGTACAGTGGGGCCTGGCGGTCGGCGCCACCGTTGGCGCGGCGGTGGTGCCAGCGCTCCCAGTCCTCCCAGGTGGCGTTGGCGGAGGGGTTGCCGCCGGCGCGGCGCCACGCCTTGTCGGTCTCGCGGTAGACCTCGTGGATGTCGCGGGGGTCACCAGCGAGGCCGTCGGCGGCGCCGGGGATCTGCCAGTGGGCGCCGAAGGCGTCGTAGGCGCGGCGCTTGTCGGGGGAGCTGAGGATCTCGTTGGCGAGGACGACGAGGCGGTAGCGCTCGAGGCGGGTGTGGGCGGGGAGCGAGTCGAGGGCGGAGGCGTGGTGCTTGTCCGGGTGGTACTGCTTCACGAGCTCGGCGAAGCGGGACTTTGTGTAGGGGGCGGCCTTGTCGATGTCGAAGATGTCGTAGGGGGTGGGGTTCGCGCAGGCCGGCCAGGAGGGAGGGCTGCCGGGCTTGCCGGGACCCTTTGCCGTTTTTGCGGAATCGTTCGGGGGGCGGGGGGCGTCGTTGCGGTCAACCGTCGCGTAGCATCGAGAGTTTGTTTGCTTCAGGGCGGGGATGGACGGCGGTGGACGTGGTCTGGGTGGTGACGTTATCGATGTGTGGTGTGCGGGGACGGCAAAGAGGCTCAGGACGTTATTGCTCGAGCATGCGGCGAATGCCTTTGGCGTCTTGGAAACCATGGCGAAGCGGGGGATGTCTCTGGCCCCCCTGGACCAGAAGAGAGAGAAAAAAATGTCCGAGTCTCAAGGAGGTTGGAGATAGAGGTCGAGAGGGAGCATCTCGACCTCGGAGTTGCATCAGCTAGTGCGTGGTTGATGTTGGTAAGAAGGTGGTGTCTCAAGGCCGATGGTTCGGCTGTTGCCGCATTGGGTCAGTGCGTGCGCGCCCTCACCTCTGAAGGAGCCACACTACTCCGTACAGTATGGTATGATGTGGGTCAAGCGAGATATTATTACGTCAGCAATAAGCATTTACCCAGACACCAGGCTGTAAACTCTTTCACCTCTCACCTCTTCAAAGTACCTAGCTATGACAGTATGTACACTACAGGTGTCACTCGGACCAATCGGTTGGGGAGAGGGCTGTCTGGGGTGGCCTCGGTGAAGAGCAAATGGAAATGGAGGGAGAAGAAAGAGGGGGAAGCTCTCGGTGAGGGGGCCACGGGCGACATGTCACCCCATGATCCAAGACAGGTTACCCTGAAAAGACGCTTGCTTACTACGAACGGTGAAGGTAGTTTTAACCACCTCGACCCTTCGTATCACGAGCGTTGACGCCGAGAGAGTCGGAATCGAACCTGGAATATGGTTTCAACATTTACTTTTTTTATTTCAAAAAATACATAGAATAAAAATTACTTATGTAGCATTCATATAGAGACTGCCCCTCTTGCAAGAGCGAGTGGCATCCAAGACGATGGTCACGTGGTCCCGCTAAAGACGCTAAACAGGGGTAGGAGGCCCGCACCAAAGGCACAGCTGAGGCGCACCGAACGCACTGCGTCGTCGATTGACTTGCTTCTTCTTCGCACTCCTCCACAACACACACACAAACCACACACCTCCCCTCAAACTCCACGCAAACTCAACCATCCCGCAACCTCTTGCGCTACGCCTCGTGGACGAAACGCATTTTTTTTTCTCGTGCTGTTTCACTATCCCGAGTCACCAAACGACCATCACAGGATTCTCCGAAATCGCGCACCCACGATCCATTTCCCCTTCTCATCCATCCGTCCCACCGCCTTGCTTGGCTGCACCGCAAACTCGTAGAGTCCGGCCCAGGATCCCACAACCTCTTTTTCTCTCTCTCCGGACACGGAACACAGCGACGAAACCACGAAGCAACCTTCTCTCACCTGCTGCGCTGGCAACTTGCGAACGACACTCTTCCTCGAGCGACAACGGCCCTTTTATTTTTGTCGCCAGAAATCTAACCTCGTCTGCCCTTCCTAAATCCTGCCGAGCACTACGACTCGTCCGCTCCTCGAACCCCGATTCACCGCCAAGTGGGGAAAAGCAAAAGCCCTTTCCGCGCGCAACCAACCCGTCACCGGCAGCATCGCCTCCTTCCCCCCCCCCGTTCTCTCTCCTGCCTTTAGGCACATACTCCCAATACACATCCAAATGGCGGAAGCACTCGCAGACAAGCTCAAGGCGACGAACCTGAGGTTCGCCCTCCTTCCTCCCCGTGAACCCCCCCCCTGGCCAAGAGCTGGTTAGACTGACTGTTGCAGCGATGGCGCCGCGTCAGAAGACTGGAAGAAGAGTTTGAAGCTGCCTGCCAAGGACAACAGACAACAAACCGAGGTATGTATCCCGTACTGGCCCCCGCTGGCTTCTGCTGCCGCTGCTGTTGTGGATGCTGCTACCCCCGGCTTGTTCGCCCGCATGCTGACACCGCCTCCCCGCCCAGGATGTCACAAACACCAAGGGTCTGGAGTTTGAAAACTTTCAATTGAAGAGAGACTTGTTGATGGGCATTTTCGAGGCTGGATTCGAGAGGCCGTCGCCAATCCAGGAAGAAGCCATCCCCGTTGCCTTGACCGGTCGCGATATCCTCGCTCGCGCCAAGAACGGTACCGGCAAGACAGCCGCCTTCGTCATCCCCGCCCTCGAAAAGATCAACCCCAAGGTCTCCAAGATCCAAGCCCTAATCCTCGTCCCCACCCGTGAGCTCGCCATGCAAACATCACAGGTCTGCAAAACTCTCGGCAAACACCTCGGTATCAACGTCATGGTCACCACCGGAGGCACCGGTCTTCGCGACGATATTATCCGTCTCCAGGACCCCGTCCACATCGTTGTCGGTACCCCTGGCAGAATCCTCGATCTTGCCGGCAAGAACGTTGCCGACCTCAGCGAATGCTCCATGTTCATCATGGATGAGGCTGACAAGCTTCTCTCCATCGAGTTCACCCCCGTTATCGAGCAGCTCCTCCAGTTCCACCCCAAGGACCGCCAGGTCATGCTCTTCTCCGCCACCTTCCCACTTTCCGTCAAGGACTTCTCCGACAAGAACATGGTCAGCCCCTACGAGATCAACCTCATGGACGAGCTCACCCTCCGCGGCATCACCCAATACTACGCCTTTGTCGAGGAGAAACAAAAGGTACACTGCCTAAACACCCTGTTCTCCAAGCTGCAAATCAACCAATCCATCATCTTCTGCAACTCGACCAACCGAGTCGAGCTGCTGGCCAAGAAGATCACCGAGCTGGGCTACTCTTGCTTCTACAGTCACGCCAAGATGGCCCAGCAGGCGAGAAATCGTGTCTTCCACGACTTCCGCAATGGCGTCTGCAGAAACCTCGTCTGCTCCGACCTCCTCACCCGTGGTATCGACATCCAGGCCGTCAACGTCGTCATCAACTTTGACTTCCCCAAGAACGCCGAGACGTACCTGCATCGCATCGGTCGATCCGGTCGTTACGGCCACTTGGGTCTGGCCATCAACCTGATCAACTGGGACGATAGGTTTAACCTATACAACATCGAAAAGGATCTCGGAACCGAGATCCAGCCCATTCCCGCTAGTATCGACAAGTCCCTCTACGTCTACGAGAACCCAGAGTCCATCCCGAGGCCGGTGTCCAACTTCAAGACTAGCCAGCCCGGTCGGGGGGAGCACCAGCACCAGCACCAGCACCAGCAACAGCAACAGCCCATGCAGGATCAACAGCCCCTTCTTCAGGGCGGCCCGCCCCCTGGCAACTGGCAGACCCAGCAGCCCCAGCAGAGCGGCCAGCAGAACGGTTACCAGGGCGGCGGCAGAGGCCGTGGACGTGGCCGTGGCGGCTACCGTGGTCAGAACCGCGGCGGTTACGGCGGCGGCGGTCGGGGACGCAGCCAAGGCCAGGGTCACCCCCAGCCCCAAGGACAAATGTCCTAGGGCCGCTCACTCATCTCCTCTTTATAGAAAGGCGTTCTGGCGTAAGCATCGCGGTGGAACACGCGACTGCGTCTTGTTTGGATTGTACATAGTTCCCATCTTTCTCTTCTTTGGTTTTCTGGAGGCGACACAGCACGATTAGACTGGGTCGGGGCATCTCATCCATGCACTCTCACACAACACACACAACAAACACACACACATGAGATCTTGGGTTTTCTCCCACCACTCACGATCACGAAACACGAAAAAACACTCAATCAGACCCACAACTCGTCAGCAAGCAACGAAAAGCTTTGTTAGATATTCGCAAACTTCGGCCTGTACCATACCCATATCGGATCTTACTGGTCTTTCTGTTTGACTTCTTTTTCCCTTTTTCCCTTCGGCCTTCTTGACAACAGGCATCTTCTCCCCCAGCTTGTGGAATACATGCTGTCCGGATAGGTCCGGATCAACGGGCCGACGGGTCCAATCATAGAAAAGGACGACATTCCATGAACCGCAAAGGTGCTGCTGCGTCTGGTCTCGAGACGAGACACGGTCACCATGCCTAGCATGGTCACAACCCGATCCAATCTTATCATGCTACCTTGCTTCTTTCTAACGACGGCGTTTGGGGGTTTGGGTCAACAAGCGGCTGAACGGCATCGGCCCGCAGCGGCGTTCGCATGGGAGACGGCCATATTTGATTTCTTGGCGGACAAAAGGAGGGGGTGGAGCCGGCCCTCGCGGTCGAGGGCGGCAGCACTACGGACTGGGCGATTGGTCCGGTTCGGTAGCGCATCTCTGGTTTGAGCGCCGCGGTGTGTTTTGAGTATTAATCAATCAATCGCGGAGACGACTGATGTTGGTATATGACACGGAGGGCGACGGGGTGGCTGGCGTCCAACGGCGTCTGTCGGGGCATGGTTCTGATCATCATGCGTTTTCTTTGGCAGGGGGGAGATTTGGTTGGAAGGCCCCTCCGTCCGGGATAGGAGGAGGAAGAGCGAGCGACTTGTCGTCGGTCGACAACACACCCCGAGATATTGCTTCTTGGTGCCCGAACACACACATACACTCTGACGGAGGTTTCGACATGATCCGTTCACCTACTCTACGCCTATACCCTGCTTCTTGTCGCGAGAGCAGGCTCGACAAACGACCGCAGAAATACCCAAGTATCATTTCGCCCTTTGTTGGCCTTTCTTGGGCCTGGCTGGCCAGCCTCTTCCGAGACTTCCCGGACCCCTGGCGAGGGCGATCCACTCGGGGACGGCCGGGAGTATAGCGGAGTAGTTCTGGCTGGCGGAAGGCAGAAGGGCCTTCTTTTGGCACTCACATCAACAAGAAAAACAACACAGAAAAAAAAACCCTTTTGGGAGAGGGTCGCTGGATGGACTGGATGGCTTTCGGACCGGTTCGGTCATATGTCTAACATGGCTTACGGGCCCTGTTCATTGGACTGGAACTGGTGGGCTAGATAGGTGTCTGAGCAAAAGACGTGGCAATCAAGTCACAATTCTCTCTCATATCCTGGTTCCCTGCTGTGACTTGATGCCTTGTTGCAGTCGTCGACACTGGTAGTACTGAGATGGCGCTACTCTCGACAGACGTTTGTCACAACGATTTCCCCCGTCGTCTCAGGAAATCGGCCAGGTCTGACATGTTTGTTGGACCATAACGGCGGACGATCAGTCTGACTTGGGGCTCGACTGTCACTTTGTTCGACGGCGGCACGTCCCAGCGACGCTTCCCCTATGCAGTGCGAGAGCTTCGTGATGACCGTCCGGTCGCTAGCGACGCCAGTGAGAGCTCCTACATGCTACTACCCCTTATGACGGTGTTGAGAAGGTATTGGAACGAGATGGATAGACAGAGTGTCACGTAACCAAAAACGACGCAGAGGCTCACCCGGTCGTCGATGTCTTTGCGTATATCTCCCCAGGGCCGTCGCTCGCGTGCCAGTCGCCGCACGGGTGCTTTCTAGCTTCGTGGTATATCTCGCCCATCTGTCGTGCCCGATGACCCCGCTCTCTCAAATTAGTTGATTCGATGCAGATGGCGTCGATTCACAGGATTACATCTCGGTCTTGTTGGCGGAGGCGGAAAAGTGCACCATGCAAGTTCTCCGTGGCCGGTAGTCTCTTTTCATTGACACGGATTTCTTGTCTGGGCTCAGGCGGTCCCCATAGGTCGTACAGAGCTTCGTAAGGGAGGACACCGCAGCCGCGCTCATCTAGGACGACCTGGAAGATCTTGCAGGCTATTGCGCCGTGTCTCCCTTTTGCCAGACACAAGAGCTAAATGGCAGGTCGTTCGAGGTCTAGTCAGTGATGATGATAGAATACCATATTGTAATTCAAATTCTACTGGCGGGGGGGGAGGTCAAGGTATGTCGGTGAAAGTAGGCGTAGCAAATTTCGCATGTCATGGCAAGTATATGTATTCTAAAATTCGGTGTTTATTGCTGATGGAGACAAATACGGCTCATTCTTCCACCTTCCAGGTGTATTTCTGATACATCAAAGACAAGGCTACTATACGGCATGAAAGCTGAGGTGGGAGTTCTAATTCGTTCCTTTCACATTCATTTTAATGACGAAAAGCGCAAATGAAGCCTTTTGTCCACAAAGATCAATCTAGTGTGATTGACTAGCACCAATGATCACATGGGTGAAGTCGAACACAAACACAAGAACTGCCCTCAAACATTTGCTTAGAAACTATACAGTAGTGTCGCTTAGCATGGCTTGCAATATGTGGCGAATCCACTGTTGCTACTGCTACAACTGCACTTAAGAGGTGATATCACAACATAATACTAATATTATGTTCATCAGTGACACTCTGGATGTTCTGGCCATCAATACATGTTTAAGGACTTTTCGTCTATTAGAGTATCTATACTAAGCTTCCACTTGAACCCCTTTCACCATATCTTCTGAAGAACTTTGACAACTGCTAGTCAAAGATTCAAGGAACTAGTTTTCAAGACTTGCTTAGATTACTGCGGAGTATAGAAGCCTATCATCATAGCTGGGTGAATTGGTTGAATTGCCACAATATGAATCATAAGATACCTGTTTTGCACAACCTGTCCTGCATGTCAACGGCTTTAGCTTGACCTGTGATCTGCTTTATTCTGGTCATGGTGCCTTCATATAGTTTATTTCCCCCAGCAACTCGTCCCAGGTTGTGCGATCCGTCTCTCATGGCCCTTCCCATTTTGGGTTCACAACTCAGTGCCCGGTTGGTACCTCGTGGCCTCGATAGCCTTATCTAGTTATGTCCCCATGAAACAAAACATCATAACAAACAACTTCACTTTCCTCGTCAGTATAAGCGGTTAGTTTGCGCTCTATCCTCGAAAATAGTACCTAGCTTTATCCGGGTAAGTTGATTAAATCCTCTTGCATCCTGTACAAGTTATCCTCCGCATCTACAGCATTTCTGTTTTCCGTCAGCTCAGTCCTAGACTTCCTCCAGACCGCTTGGCACCACTCAGAGTATTTCACAACATACTGGTGACTTTCATCGAGAGGGGATTCGGACTGACACATCGACAGCTTGGAATCATCGCTCTTATACTTCTGCGTAACTACATTTGCTTCCCAGTGAGTTTACCAACAGCCCATCATCGACTGTACTTTCCCTGCCTCCACGCCTCAATACCAAGAATATCGTTGTTCTTCGACTTCGCAAGTCGTGTTGCCAACTTCCAACACGCAAATCACCATTCCACTCACCTGTCTCTTCACCGCATCGGCTTCTGAGTTTCTTCCACAAACGCTTCTGCTCACCTTCCTACATACATTTCAGAAAGACCAGGCGCCTAAGCTGAACTCCGTGACTTCCTTGGAACCAGAATTCTCTGGAGGAAGGAATCAAGAAGGCAGGCTCCCTCTTCGTACGGCATCTTCTGTTAAATTCCCGGCCTTCACTCTCCATTTGCATTTCGTTCCTACTTCAAATACCCGATCTCAGTCTGTCTAACTCGTTGCATCATTCTAGTATCAATCACCCTCCGAGTCTCTCTCACGATGGCTCCTAATCCCTCCCGCAAGGGCCCAGACCTCAAGATGACCATGACCACCAGAGCCAACACCGGTGTTCAGGGAAACGCCGGCATTCAGAAGATCACTGCTTCCAAAGGGACCAAGAACGAGAAAGCTTCCAAGGCCGATTCGAAGGAGAATAAATTTAACACCTTCCACCCTTTCGGAACCAGGCTTCCCCGGGAACTTGCAGTCATGATCATCGAGGAGGCGGTCGAATGCGGTCCTGCCATTGCTTACGCTGAATGCAAGATGGACAAGTACGACTCTCTGAGACTCGCTTTGACTAACGGAAAAGATGGTAACGCGTCCAAATTCAAGGAGTTGATCCGTCTGGCCAAGCTGCTCCCCGACTTCCGGTGCATCATTGAGCGCCGCTTCGGACAATCCTTGGACGAGAACGTCGCGAAGGATCCGAGACTTGGTATCCGCAAAGAGAAAGACCTGATGGTCATGAATTTCAATGGACGAGGAGTCCAGTTCTTGAACTGGATCACTATGGCGGTGATTTCAATCAATCGCTCTGAGCTCGCTCCCGGTATCCGCAACGTGGGCGTTCGGTTCAACGATGCCAAATGCGACGGTATTTCCATCTGCTACGGTTGCGCAGCTTGTGTCGATGACATTGTCCTGAAGAATTCCTGCGCGTGGGAGCTCGCCTTCTTCTGCCAGAACCTCTCTGACGCCGACGACATCTTCGTTCTTGTCCTCTTGAGAGGCACAGATGTTGTGGGCAACAACGTCAACAAGCATGCGAACCTGATGAAGACTCTGATTGGTATGTTTACAGGTCCTCGGAATCCGCAACCCGACTTCGTGTGCGATATACTGACCCCAGCCATTCAGCCGACTCCAAGACCATTCGCGGCCACGCTTCCTTTGAGGACGCCAATCGAACATGGGTTGAAGTGAGTCGGCACACCCCGCGTGCCCATCTGGCCCTGGTTAAGTCTCATGTTCTTCTACCCGTTCTCTCTCTCTGCAGGGCAGCTCAGAGCATCAATGCCAACCAAGTCTCGCGCCTCGTTGGCGCTCAAGCGCGTCGACGCGTGCGCTTTCGCGTCCTTGTTGGCTCTCGCTGGAAGGATGCTACACTGAAGATCTGATTTGAGCAAAGGGCTCGTCGCGCACGACACTTTCCAAAGGTTTGGCTTTTAGGGACATGGCAAGTTTGGCGTATACAAAATGGGGCATGGGGTTCCGGTTCGGCGGTTTGAGAAAGAATGATTGCTTTCCCGGGGAGATGCATGATTCCGCATGGGAAAGGGACTCCAAAGGGCTTGGGATTCAGGTGCACAAGTGCATCTTCCGAGGTCGATATGCCCAGATAGATGAGTTCCCTTCCATGGAAAGATATGAGCGTCTACATGATCCTACACGGGCTCAACCACCTTGAATGGCGCTGTGCCTCCATCTAAGTGATGTCACGGTAATGCCACCCGAGATTCGTTGCATGACACTACATAAACTATACGTTAGTCATGACCGCTGCTGAGGATTTGTCAACTTCCGTAATCCGCTTGGGCGCTCGTACGATCTGAGGATTCGTGCCCATCTCACTACCGGACCGACCGCTTCCTACCAACCATTACTGCAACATGAAAATGCGGTGGCTGATAGACCCATGCGGTTCGAACCGGTCCGACTCGGCGGCGATGTGGGCCGCCCACGTTCGGATGCGAGCCGCTCGCTCGGCTTCACTTCCGATCGGCGTCTTATCTTGAGGATTCCCCATGTAAGTTTACGTTGCTGCTCGTCAAACCCAACGCCCATCTCGGGACCCATCTAGTCATCGGGCGCTATCGGAGTTTTCTGTTTAGAAAGCGTCAAGGGCCTGACTAGTTTCGCCCGGCGTCATCCGGCATGAGAGCGATTGCTGTGAGCCAGTTCGGCCTTTAATCATCCTAGTGCCGCGCATGTCACCCGTCCAGGCGCACATGTCTGCAGGTGATGTCACAGATACAGATACTTAATGGGTAGGTTGGGTTCGCATTCACATCAGAGCATCGGCAACCTATGCTATTGGGATGGGATCTGGTCCCTGTCGCGGTGAATATGACGACCAAAGCTGAACACCACAACGAAGGGCCTCAATGGCCCGCGGCCTGCATCGACGTCTTACAAGCGATGAGATTGGTACGTGAACACAACCCCCGATGCCATCGTAAGCGCTCGCGCTTGGCTGACCAGACATAGGCTGCAATACAATCAGCCCCGAAGCTGCTCAGCTCGTGGCTGTACGTCCCCTTTGGCATCATGACGATGCTCGCCGTGTGCTTTGGCGTCACCGTCCTTTTCGACACGGCGGGCGTCTCGTTTCCAGCGTCGGTGGCCTGCCTGATCATCCTATTTTTCGGACTTCTGCTCTCCGAGCTAGTGCTGGGAAGCCACAGGACCAAGGCCATCGTCGCCGTTATCGAAGTGCCGGTGAGAGCGGACCCTTCAGTCCGGCGCGTTCGAGTCGCAGTGCTGACGTTGGCAGGCGGGATGGTCCCTCCGTTGGATCAACATCATGTTCACGCCGGCCTTTATCATGCTGCCCCTGAGTCCGCCCGTCGGAATCATTGAAGTCATGAAGATGATCGCCGTCTTCGGTAAGTCCCCGGCCCTGCCAGAGGATTTCCACCCGGAAATAGAAACTCATAAGCCCATGTAGTCATCGGCTTCGTCGCCATGATGGCTCTGGCCGCGTACCTCACCCGTGGCCTCCAGCTCCTCCTCGGCTCGTCGAAGCGTGCCATCACCGAGCGCGCAGAGGAGATGGGCAACGAGACCGACGACATTCCCCTCGCCGACACCCCTCCGCGGACCGATTCGGTCCCGGGATCGCGCACCATCTCCGCCGCCCCGTCGTCGTTGTCTCTCAACACCCTCGCGCCACCCCCGCTGTCGCTCAACGCGTCCCACAACTTCCTGCCCGAAGCAAGCTCGCCCATCAGGCCGTCGGGTGTGGAAAGCGACGGAGCCGAGAGTCCTCAGAACCATCAGCTCCCGCCGCAAGTCCCTGTACCGATGCCCCGAGCTCAGCTCTTGGCGGCATGGATTTGCGGGCACTTGAACTGGGTCATCTACGCCTCCGTGTTCACCTTCGCTGGTTTGCCTCTCTACTACACTACAGGGTACGCCATGCCTCTCCACCTGAGTCTCATTCTGCTCATCTACTTCGCCGCCATGTCGATCCCTGAGCACTGGCGACAGTACCTCCACCCTGTGCTCGTCACCTCCCTGTTCTCCGTCCTCGGGATCTGGGCCCTCGCCGCCGTCAAGGGCGACGACCTCCCGGGCACCCTGCGGTCGTTCCGGACGGGCGCCAACTACACCTACCTCTGGCTCCACACGAGCTCGGGCCGCTCGCCCGGCGCGGGCGACATCCTCGGCACCGTCCTCGACGCGAGCATCGTATCCCTCGCGCTGCCAATGTACCAGTACCGCCGCGAGCTGAGGCAGAACTTCACGGCCATCGTGGTGCCCAACGTCGCCATGGCCGTCGGCTGCCTCTTCTCGTACCCCGCGATCTGCTACGCCATCGGCATCGGCGCGGAGCGGTCGCTGGCGTTCGCCTCCCGCAGCTTGACACTCGCCCTGGCGATCCCCGCGACGGAGAACTTGGGAGGCGACCTCAACACCGTCGCCGCTGTGGGCATCATGAGCGGAATCGTCGGGGTGCTGTTCGGCCAGCGCATATTGGCCTGGCTGAGGATACCCGAAGGTAAGCATGAAAAAAGAAAAGAGAAAGAGAAACAAAACCCTCCTTCGTAGAGGCAGGGAAATCACGGGCGAAGCTGACACGGGTGCCTAGATGACTACATCACCCGCGGCGTCACGCTGGGCGCGAACTCGTCTGCCATCGCCACGGCCTTGCTTCTCCGAACCGATCCGCGCGCGGCCGCGCTGTCGAGTCTGTCGATGAGCCTGTTCGGCACCATCACCGTCTTGTTCACATCCATACCGCCGATCGCGGGCGTTGTGAAGTCGTTGGTTACCTGACGGCCGGGAGGTCAAACTCGCAGGCTTCCGCTTCGTCCAAGGAGGTCCCCGATGCACGCCATGATCATCCGATTGATGACAAGACCATCAATATAGCCTATACACTTGGCCGGGGATCTTGAAATACCGCGTGGAGTAACCACCTCATCAGCACACCAAGAAAGACAACGCGTCGTCTGGTGGTCCGTTATTGCCGACTACCCCGTCTCGAGCGCTAGCCATGTTCTTCCACACACGTGCTGGGCATCTATCAAGTGCGAAGGAGGCGTTTTATCTTGCAGGGGACAAAAAAGAGAGAGCTTCGGGCGAGCCGGCTCCCTAGGCCCAGTCCGGTATCATGACTACCCCAAGCATTACCGATGCATTTCAAAATGAGTAAGCTTACAATGCCGAAGCATACGCCATCGCCCTGTGGCAGACTGAGTAACTCGCTGCTGTGTAGCTTTGTGCCTCCTTTTATATGCGAGGCGGGTCGAAGCAAAAAGCCTGGCTCTCAAGCGCTAGGGACTGTGTCCCGCCCGATGAACCTTCAACATGGAACGGCACATGGGTCTGATGGACTGCGTTGGCTGTTTGGTCGTCAACGATGTGCCATGAAACCCCGTTGCGATTTCGATGCCACAGAGTCGAGTCCACAAGAATACTCATGTCCGCAGTCCGCGCACCGCTGTCGCATGGGGGAACGCAGGCGAGTCAGTCGTTTCGGGATGGGAATCATGAACCAGGGTATAAGCCTGCTCCCGCACCACTCGACAACAGTCCGATATGGATATCCAAGGCCTGAGTTCACGTGAATAGAACCTTCATTACCAATGTCGTCCAAAATCGGGAACTCTGCTTGCCGTGTTGATACGCATGCAGCAAGGATGGTTCTACTCGTATCAATGTAGCTAGATACATAGGCTCTTGTCGTCAACAAACCAGAGACCAGGGCCTGCGAATCCCGCAAACGAGTCGCTCAAAAACAACCTTTTCAATTCTCATCCGCCCCGAGTACGTTTGACGGACAACGTGCCCCTAGCTGTGCCACACACGTCTATGCATCACTGCATCACGTCAAACCAGTCGAGGTCGTTGTAAGTATTGGCAGGTATAAAGATGATGAACACCGCGTAGATTAGGAGACGACGGGCGATAAACAGACAATTGCATTCCAGTAGCCATACCTAGAGGCCTTGCACAACCAGCCGAGCCATGTTCCCATCCTAACAAAAATCGAATCGTGTAAATCGTACAGACGGAGACTTCTACTCCCGCAATTTTCTCTTTCTTTCGGAGTCACGAACCATAGATGTCGACCCACAGAAACGTCCATAGGCACCCCGCTGGGCCTCACCTGACTGGAAGATGACAGAGGAGAAGACAAGGGTTATTTCCGCTCTTCAAAGTAGAACTTGCCGAGCTTGTCGCCGCCCTGGGCACTTCCCAGCGTGGCGTTACCCGGGCGCAACTCGCCGCCGTCCAGCTTCTCCCGTAGGAGGCGCTCGGCGGCATCTCTAGTTGTGGGTATTGTGTTGACTTTGCCTTCTTGGGTGAGCTGAGAGGTGGGGACAGGGAATTTGTTGGTGGTGTCGACGTACATCTCGTCACCGGGCACTCCGGGGCTGTCGGTGGTCGTACCGTCCGTCATGCGCGCGTCACGTCGTTCTTGCATGGCAGCGGCGCTCGTTGGGGTATCACCTCCCATGACCACGTCGCGATTCCGCTGCGTCGGGATGCCGTCGTTGCTGAGGCCGGAGGCGCTTCTCTCTAGGCCCCAGACGCCGGCCTGGCCGGCGACACCGGGTATGGGGCGGCGCTGGTAGATGGGGCCGGAGACGGTACTGTTGGCGCCCTCGCCAAAGCCGACGAGGCTGGCGGATCCGTCGTCGCTCATACGGTCGTCATAGCCCCCGGTGGAGCGGGCGGTGTCCTCGTCCATCTGTTCGGGGTCAGCGCTCGTGCTGGCGACGGAGTCGGCCTCGCGGTAGTTGGTATCCATGCTGAACATGTCCTCGTCCTGCTCGCCGGGGGCGGTGCGGGTCTCGTTGTCATCGCCAACATAGCTCTCGGTGGCGCTAGCGGTACCGACGGTGCTCATCTTGGTGACAGCCGTGGGCTGACCGTGGACGTCGAAGTAGGCAGGGGTGAGGTGGGTGCTGGGCGGGTAGCCGGGAGGGAAGCCAGTCGAGGTGGGGGTGGTCTGGGGAGAGATGGAAGAGGCGACATTCTGTTGGTTCAGCGGGGCGCGCAAAGTCGAGACTCGCTCTAGTCCGGCGAGGCGGGAGATGCGATCGGCGCGCTCGGCCTCGAGGCTCGTGGTGGAGGGGTGGTGGGTGTGACCGCGGCTGCCAGCGGGACCCTGAGGGAAGTGACCTCGATGACCATCTTTGATAGCGGTGGTAGAGAGGGCAGACATGGACGTTGTGGTGCTCGTGGGGGTGCCGCTGCGGTGACGAGTGTTAGCTGGACGACTGGCTTGAGGGTTACGGGACTGAGGCAAGGGGCAACGTACGGCATCTCAGAGGGGGTGTCTGGCCTGGAGGTAGGGGGAGGGAGGTTGATGAGGGTGGGATGGGATGCTGACGCCATGGCTGACAGCGTTGGCGGGGTTTGGACGAAGAAGACGAGAGATGGGCGAAGCAGAGGGCCAGCGGCGTCGTAGGTGAAGCGGAGGTAATATTTTATTCGGGCAGCGATGGAAGGTCGCAGTTGAATCCCCGTTGAGAGCGAGTTGTGGGAGGAATCGCAAACGGCAGTTCAATGGCGGGGTTATGTTATCGGAATTGGTCGTCAGATGGCTGACAGGTACCGGTACCGTAAGGTAGGGATGGATGGACGGATCGACGTGGGGCCGTAGCGTAGGTAGTGTATATCTCAGCGGCGCGCCCTCTAGGGGATATATCGTCTGTCTAGTCGAGATGTAGAGAAGCAAGGTGGGAAGTCGATTATGATAGGATCGAGTCGTGTAGGTGCAGGAGAGTAAGAAACCGGCTGTTGGCGCAATGTAAGGGAGAAAGAGAAGAAGAAGAAGAAGAAAAAGAAGAAGAAGAAGAAGAAATGTGTTGTACCTAGGTAGGACGAAGTGAAGCGCACCGAAAGCAAGGACGGACGTACCGGTACGCACGTCCTTAGTGGCAGGAGACATTGAGCGAGGTAGGTACATCAAAGTAGGTAGGGCGAGCTGGGTGCGACGGGGTGGGTACTGTACCGTCCAAAGTGTGGGACAGTGCGTGCTTGCTGACTAAGGGAAGAGTGGTCGCAGTGAGTAAACTACAACTAGGTACCTAAATCTCGAGCATTGGCCACCCAGCACTGACGACAGCGGCAGGCACCAACCAGGAACAGGTCTGTGCCGGCACGCAAGGAGAGTTGGCAGGGGAGGAGGGGAGGGGGAAAGGGACGACAGACGACGGGGAAGGAACTCGTACTCATAGTGAGGGGAGGAGGCACGGAGGGGATGACGAAAGGTCCGTACTTTGGCAAAGTACAAAGTACAAGCACGTACACTAGGTAAGGTCCTCCCGCCTCGCTTTGTACTCCCTTATGACGTAGACCCTGGCATTCCCGCATACATACCTACCCCTTTTAGTGAGCACCTACTGTATTTGTACGTCTACAGATACGTACACTGTATGTAGACACAACCTGATTGCTGATTGGGGGAGATGCGATGGTCTACGAGAACGCTCATTGGTCCAAAAGGTCAGATACTCCCGTACTGTACGGCCAAGTAGGTAATTGTTGCTTCTCATCTTTCGATGCCATCACCAATTGCATCTCAAACGTCCTATCCATCGACATTGTTTTCTTGGTTTCAGCTAACAAATCCACACCTCATTAAACAAGCGACCACCACCACCGCCATCCTGCCCGATCTTGGCATTTCTGTCGTCATAGCAGCCTAGATGATGAACACGCCCGGCGTAAAGTCGACCACCCGCGCTTTAAGTATCGACGGGCCCGCCTTCTCCACGAACGCCCGATGCGCCGGGTCCTTGTGCACGTAGTAGTCCCGGTCCTCGCTGCTCTCGAACTCGACGACAAAGACGTGCGTGATGCCGTCTTGCAGGCCCTCCGGGCTGGTGTCCAGCCCGCCCGCGATGGACTTGATGTACGTCTTGTTGGACGTCGGGTGGATGCAGTTGTCTCGGAGCGCCAGCATGGAGTCGCATATCTGACGACGTGTCAGCCCTTTCGTATTGCCCCCCTCCTCTCACTCCCATGCCGGGACTGGCTGGACCTACCGACTTCACGTCGTCTATCGGGACGAGCTCCTTGAATTGGAACTGCACAATGTGGATGACGCTCATGATTCGAGTTCCGTCTGGACGGCTGTGTTGTGCCCAGTATTGAAACGGGTGTAAAAAGAAAGTGGTAGGCGCAATTCAAGTTTCCCAGTCATGTTTCACCACATAGCTGATATAAACGACATACATCTTCTATGCCTTTCTATTGCCACCTAGCCTAATTCTGTACACTGTCTTATGCTCCTCGGGCGCTTGGAGATCGGGGCATCTGCGGGGCCAGGCCAACCGAGAGACTGCTGTCACGTGCTTTATCATCACGTGATTGATTTCCTTCCGCCTGCGTCCTCTTTGAATGGCTTCTTCTCGTCTCTGAGAAATCAGGTGGCAACCTTGGAAGTTAGCTCAAACTCCTGAGGATCCAAGGATTGACCCTGGCCATGCAAGATGTCTTTGAGGTTTCTACCAAGTCCTCTAGTACATATCGGATAATGCAGCAGGAAGCGACCAGATACGGAAGGTCCTCTTCCACTCTACTCTTCCTTCCGAATCCCTCTCCACCCACAAACACGTCACATTTTCATCTCTATATGCATATGAGAACAACGAAGAAGTAACGAGGAGTTATGTGTTTGTTGACTTACCTGCGAGACACCTGTAAGAAAAGGCTGTGTCGGCCATTGCCTTCCTCCTCCAAGAGGCCTTGTCTGAATGGACTTTTGTCTTGGACTCCTTGACTTTGGTCTTGGCGCTCACGATTGATGCATCATCCGAGTCTATGGAATGTCGAGTGATCATGAGTACGGCGATCCCAAATGAAATATACTTGGGGTGCTACCTGCTTACCGTAGCTATATTCGGATGCGCCCGAGGTCTTTGTAGTTTCTGTTGTTTGCTTTGTAGCAGGCATCTTGGAAGTTTCACAACTCGACGGGGGTGGCCCAGAAGTGGGTAACGGATATTGACGAGTGTTGTTAGCTACGTGGCATAGTAATCAGAGCGTAGGATTTGATCCTCGGTTTTATATCTGTGTGCCCGTCGTGTTTGCGGTCTGGGCCTTGAGAGTGCATAACAGTGGGATTAATTACCAAGTTGGCGGCGGTAGAAACATGTTCCCGCTTCATTGCAACGACTGCACGACATGACTTGGGCACTCATGGTGAGTCGGGCAGCTGTTGACGACTGCGTAGGGGTGTAAGACGAAAGATGGTGTTTCGCGCAAGGAGATATTTGCTTACCTCAGTCAGCATTAGTTCATGCATTGTCACTAAAGCCATGACCACGCATGTCGATGGTTGCATTTGAAGGCTTACAGGCTGATCTTAGTCGGCCGCTAGAATGTCAGTCGGCATCGCAGCGAGCGGCCGGGACTGGCTCGTGTGCCAGGCCTGAACCTGGAGCAAGTGACAAGAGCTCTGGCACAATATATAGGTTCAGCAACTCTCGCTCACGTGTCCACAGGAAAATGAACCAATCATTTTTCTTTTGGGTTATCCTCTGCTTAATAGGTTTGTTTATCTTGCCATGCAGCTGCTCCGCCTTTCCCATTTCTTTACCGCCGCTTGGCTCATCTTGGGAACCTCGGGCGCCCCGTCACCGAGAGACCGGGTCATCCCGCGGAGCTACGTGTTACACCAGCGCCAGGCACCTTCAGTCAGCCAAAAATGGGTGAGAACACAAAGGCTGAGCGACCATGTCGTTTTGCCAGTGCGGATTGGACTGAAGCAGTCCAATTTGGAAGCAGGGCATGACAAGCTCATGGATATGTATGTAATAATTATTATTATTTACACATCCCTTATGCCACTCCAAGTATAGACGCCAGCTGCAGCGATGTACTTGGGTTATATGGACAAAACATTGTAACTGATATGGGACTACCTACACAAAGCGCCAATCCATATTCCACCAACTATGGGAAGCATATGAGCCCCCAAGAAGTCATCGACTTTTTTGCCCCTGCGCAAACTAGCGTAGACATCGTCGTCAGCTGGCTGGTCGACTGCGGCATCTCTCGGGACCGAATTGGGCAGTCAGCCAACAGACAGGTAGGTGTTTCGTCCCAGAATATCATCTTCGTCATTTTACTCATTCAGCGAACACTCGATTGATACTTTACATGTGTACCTAGTGGATCCAATTTGACGCCAATACCAGCCAGTTGCAGTCGCTCATTTACTCGGACTTCTACATCTGGGAGCACCAAGACGGCTCTCAAGACATTGCCACTGAGGAGTACCATATTCCAATCCACGTGCGTGAGCACATAGATTATGTGACCCCCGGCACAAGGCTGCGCTCGCGATCCAACATCCACCCTGGGTCGGGGAAGGCCAAGCGAGGCCATGTCAAGCCCGCTATTACTCCGTTGCCAGGCTTTCCCAGTCTCAATGCGACGACCTGTGATACTTACATCACGGCCGAGTGTACCAGAGGTGAGATAATCGCCTCCCGGCTTGGCATTGTGTTGGCGTTAACGTTGAGCAGTACAATACGGAATTCCCAATGGAACGACCTCCACGGCTGGAAATGAACTGGGCATATTCGAGGCCCAGAACAGCCACTATAGTCTAAAGGATTTTGAAATTTTATGGAGTACTCTTTACCCGTAGGTGTTCACATTCCATGGGGGAGATCCATGGTCGTAGACCTAATATCGGATTAGATCGTGGGCTGTGACTCCGGGAACTTACCCTGAGGAACGTCTCATTGACGGCGCCATCGGTGCCATCGAGGAAGGCTCTCCAGTATTCCCAACGAAGCTAGGGCTGGAGTCAGCCTTGGACTTTGACATTGCGTGGCCGTTGATACACCCGCAAAAGCCCGTACTCTACCAGGTCGACGACCAGTATTATGAGTACAAGGGGAACTTTGAAGGATTCTTCAACAGTATGAATCCCGCCTTTTTTTTTCTTCTTTTCGTTTGGGGCGGCTCTTCAAGCCATCAACCTGCTGACAACCGAACGCCCGCAGCTTTCTTGGACGCCATTGACGGCAGCTACTGCGCAGCGGCGCCAAGCGACCTTGACCCGGTGTACCCTAACCCGCACTACGGCGGGTATAAGGGCGCGCTGCAGTGTGGCGTGTTCAAGCCCACCAACGTCGTCTCTATATCGTACGTCGGAATCGAGTCATACCTGCCTGACGCCTACATGGAGCGGCAGTGCCGCGAGTGGATGAAGCTGGCGCTGCAGGGCACAACTGTCGTCATGGCATCGGGCGACAACGGCGTCGGTGGCGAGGGCTCGTGCGAGTGCGAGTGCCTCCGGGGCGGCGGCGGCGAGACCGTCTTCATGCCGACCTTTGCGGGCAACTGCCCTTACGTGCTGTCCGTCGGCGCCACGGAGCTGAACCGCGCCTCGAGCAACTCGACGCCCTCGGCTTACGGGCAGCCGCTGCACGAGGTTGCGTCTGTCCGCATCTCCAGTGGCGGCGGCTTCAGCAACGTATTTCCTACTCCCGACTACCAGAAAGAGGCTGTGCAGCAGTACTTGGACACAGTGGCCCCCGGGCTACCGTTTACGGGGTACGAGCAGCCGGTCAAGGACGGCGACTTCACAGATGTCCGCAGTGGCGCGTACAGCCGCGTCGGCCGCGGGTTCCCTGACGTTGCTGCTGTGGGAGATAGGGCCCTCCTGGTATCGGGCGGAAAGTGGTATGTCGTGGGGGGTACTTCGATGTCGGCTCCTATCTGGGCCTCTGTTCTGACCCTCATCAATGAGGAGCGCATCGCTGCCGGAAAGCCCACCCTTGGTTTTGTGCACCCCATCTTGGTATGGTTTTCACTACGCCCACCCACACCCATTCCCTCCCCCAATCTAGCTCAACTTGTATATGACTGACCTTGCTCAAGTACGAACACCCAGAGGTATTCAATGATATCGTCCAAGGGAGCAACCCTGGATGCAACTCGACCGGGTTTACGGCGGCCAAGGGCTGGGATCCCGTTACGGGACTTGGGTAAGCCCATACAGATTTTCCACCCTGACGCACTCACTAATACCTTATTCAAAAGCTCTCCCAATTTTGATAAGCTTCGGAAGCTTCTCATGAGCGTTTGAATGGGATACAACATGTTTGTAGATAGGTAGATTTTGGACTTTTTAGCACATTACTGTAATCAATAAGAACTCTCTTATGCGGAATCCCTTACCCATTATCGTAAATCTTGTGAAACAAATACTATACAGAGTAAAAGCAATGTCATCAGCCATAAGGCTTACTGGTTCAATGAGAATGAATCATTATTCAACCTCTATAATATCGCATGCGCTATCTGATAACCAGAGGCCCTATGGTCACTATTTTACACTGACTGCTCGGAGTGAATCACACGTCATTTTATCAAAGCGCTTTAGCTCTAATCTTGAGTATCTCGTGGATTTGGACAACTCAATATAACAAAACTAACACTTTCACCAAACAGCGACCTGCATCCCGAGGGCTAAGGCCGATGATTCTCAATCGTTCTACACCCTCCAATATTCTCAATGCACTCCGGGGAGTCTCTTTAATGCCCATGGCCAAGGTGAGGCGACTCGGCAGCACCGAGGCTGTCGCCCTGCCCATCGGGGTACGCGGGTCCTAGTATCATAACATTAATACACGGGATCTCAAGTTCGAAGACAGGTGTCCAAGTCCTTACCCATAGTGGGATGCATCAACCAGTCGGGCTTCATCATGTCTACAGCGCGCTCATGCGTCCACGCGGCCAGTCGGTCCCACTTGACACACTGGTGCGATGTTGCATTGGCGATGGGCATACGTTGGTCGGCGTGCCAGCTATAGGTGATGAGCCCGATATCGGCGTGGCACATGGCCGATTGCCGGAGAAAGTCAATGCAGTGCTCTGTAAAGAGAAAACAAGACACCTGTCAGTTCATACGGCTTCATTCTGCCTCGGGTCGAGCTGATGGACGTGGCGCTGGGGCAAAGGGGGTCGGCCATACCGTTATGGAGTCGGTTGAGCTCCATCTGGTGCCTAGAGAGCCCCGGAAAGTAGTGGTCCGAGTACATGAAGTGGTGGATGCGCTTCAAGCAGTGCAGCTCGTGGTAAACGTTCAGGGTGCCGATGTAGCGGCCGCCCTCGGGTACCTCGACGGCCGTGTCCTGCCGTCCGTAATGCTGGATATACTCGGGTTCGAGCAGAATGTTCTCGTCTGGCACAGCAAAAGTTAGTGATTGGACGCGAAGAGGTGAGCTGGACAAGTAACCTACCGTTGAGAAGGTCATGCCACGCCTTGTCGAGCTGCGCGCTCGGCTTGCCTGTGTACAGGCTCCCGTCTTGGATGCGGTCCTCGAGGTCGAAGCCTTTTTCAGCATACTCTATAACACTTCTGGCTGGAGCTAAACAAGTCATTGCTAATATTAGTCTTTGGCTGTATGCCTAACGGGAGAAGCATAGAAATATACTTACAAAAGGGGAGTCCAGGGTATTGAGGAGGATAGGCATTAGCAACCAAAGACAGAACCAAGAGATAAATGGCGAACAAGATGACGTGAAAGGCTAGAAAGCGACCGTTTCTCCAAAGGGGCTGTTGCCGTGAAGCTGTCTCTCTGTGTGCAGTCTGACCCTTCTCGAGGAGGCCATCGTCCGAGTTGTCGTCCACAGAGATCCGATGTCCGGCAGTTGTCATTCCGCCCAAGATTGACGAATAGTTTCCTCCTGCCTTGGGCTTCGTTAGCCATACTCGCTGGCCTAGCTTTTGAAAAAACGCAATCGACATGATGCCTAAAGTCCTGTAGTTGGCCTAGACATTACTTTGAGGAGCAACTCGATCAGTAGCTGATCATGAAATCCGGGCTATGAGACCAGCTCAACCCAGTTCATCTCTAACAGTAGGCTGCCTTAAGCGCCATTACTCTTTGAATTCACGTGACTATATCCTCTCACAATTGTGAAGCCTGTACTTGCTGGTCAGCACTAGCACTCGATGACAAGTAAGGATTGGCGTGGCGGAAAGGGTTGACTCCTCTAGTCGCACCATGACATGCATGACATGACCTGCAGGTAAGAGGCTTACTGGCCATGACAGTGCATGCATGCATACATTCGTACACAATCTGGCATGCGTGACCAGCGGCTGTTTCGATGATGGTATCTTGATCAACTCCGACTTTGGTATCCCCATGGTCCTCCAGATCCGACTTTTTCGTGTATAGGGTCTGCCAGGAGTGCCACCAACAATCTTACGTTCTGCCACCATTGTTCGTCTTTAGTTCCTATTGTGATGCATCGCTCGCAACACATTGAGCTCGCCCAAGGCAGCGATGCCGACTCAGATTCAGACACTGATACGACAGCCACTCCATTTGATGCATTTGTGCCGCTGGAGAAAGCACCTGCCCACAATGGCGCTATGAAGGTGGTTACACTTCGGGCTATCCTGTTGGGTAGCCTCTGTGGCGCCTTGGTCAACGCTTCCAACATCTACCTCGGCCTCAGGGCAGGATGGACGTCGTCGGCGAATATGATCGGTGTAGGTGATAGAAATGGACATATGTTGCATTGTGACTAATCAGCTGCCCAGGTAGGCCATGGTCGGCTTTGCAGTCCTGAAGAGATACGCAGCCGGATCGAAACAGCCTTTTGGCCCTCATGAAAACAACATAGTGCAGACCGTTGCCACGGCCTCGGGCGGCATGTCGAATGTCTTCATTTCTGGCATTCCGGCCCTGTATCAGCTCGGGCTGCTACGTACGCCAGTGCAGGATTTCTTCCGTATCGTGTCGCTCGTCGCCGTCGGCGGGTACTTTGGTCTCCTTACCATAGCCCCACGTGAGCATTCTTTCTTTGATCCCGCTCACAGGCGAGGATCAAATCTTGCTATCTTTTGCTAATCTACCGTTCCAGTGCGCAAGCTTTTTATCGAGGATGTTGCCCGGGATCTCGATCTCGTTTTCCCTTCCTCCATGGCAACGGCTATGAGTATTCATAGCATGCACTCGGCCGCTGACGGGGAAGAGGCAGCCCGCCCAAAGCTGAAAGCAACCATATATGCTTTTGGGGCGGCCATGGTCCTCAGGGTCGTCTCTCAGTACGCGCCGGGCCTCCTTTGGGTATGTACATGGGAGCATCACACCATAGCTCTAAACGTCTAGTCCTTTCACGGCAGCTTCCTGCCCTCATGTGACAGGATCCTCATTTCCAAGACTGTCCCCCCAAGAATGCCAGAAACTAAGAAATAACGTAGGAGTGGCATGCGTTTACCTGGCTCGCGAACGCAAACATTGCCCGCAATCTGGCCATTGCTGCAGAGAGCTGGGGATGGGTTATCGAGCTGTCCCCAGCGATGATGGGCATAGGCATGTTAGTTGACTTTAAAGTAGCCTGCTCGTTCTTTGCTGGGTCAGTGACGGCATGGTAAGCCTCTCCAATCCCCTTTCTCCCGTGGTCAATATCTCTCTGTATCAGTCGGCGCAAAATCTCTGACACTGTCACTGGCACGAATAAAGGGGGCTCCTAGGGCCGTATCTTGTGGAACATGGCATTGCATTTGGACAGCCGGTCTCTACCAGCGAGGCGGGGTGGGCGGGCCTAACATCTTACAAATCTATGTCAGACGACTTTGCAAGTGTGAGCCACCCAAGTCCCAGGTACTGGTTACTATGGCCTGGCGTGATTTGCACACTTGCGGTTGCCTTTGCAGGTACGCGACAGCATCCTCTTTTGAAAGCGAACTTTCTGCCGGTATTGACTTCACACTAACCAAGAACATTGTAAACAGAGCTTGGTTGCCAATGGCGTCTGTTCTGGAATCTCACGCTCATCTCCTCTAAAGCAGCCAGCGCCAGGCTCCTGCGATTGCTTATGAGGTTCAGACGGAGGTCGTCAGACAACTACGAAATTCTTTCAGACGAAGATACCCAAGTCACGGTCGAAAACGAAAAAGAAGAAGCGACAAAGGAAATGGAAGAGAACGACATTGCCACGTGGATGTGGGCGCCCGGTGCCTGCATACTCGTCGTCCTGGCCGTCCTGCTTACATATTTGCAGTTTAGCATGCCGCTCCTTGAATCTGTGCTCGCCCTCGTCTTGTCGTTTGGCATGTCGCTTGTTGCCATTCAAGCGACAGGTGCAACAGGTTAGTATTACCACTTCCTGACCCCAGCATATGCCCACTGCTCAGGATGGTACGCCACAGTAGCGTATTATGTCACTGACTTGACCCAATCGTAGATACAACTCCCATCAACTCCATATCCAAGGTTTCACAAGCTGTTCTGAGCGGTGTGACGCAAGCAACGGGCGGAAGCATAACTGATGCCCAGCGCCTGAACCTGCTCGGCGCCAGCCTCACGAACATAGGGGCCAGCCAAGGTGTTGGTAAGTCTTGTTCCCTTATCCATGTTGTTGACATAGAGGGGTCATCAGCTAACACCCGGTGTCATGGTATCAAAGACCTCATAGGTGACTTCCGAGTCGGCTTTCTCCTGCGCACCCCGCCGCGCCTACAGTACGCCGCCCAACTCATTGGGACACTGGTCGCGACGCTTGTGGCGCCGTCCGTGTTCGTCCTCTTCGCCACAGCGTACCCGTGCATCATCACCAACCCGTCATCAGAAGGCGACGAGGGCACACGAGCGTGCGAGTTCCCGGGGCCCTCGATCGCGGCTTGGCGAGCCGTCGCCGTCGCCGCCAGCGCACCGACGCCACCGGTCCCTCCCTCAAGCGCCCGCTTCTCGGCCGGCCTCGCCGTCCTATCGGTTCTCCTGGTCATGGTGAGGCGCTTCGTGGTCGTCGGCGTGTGGCAGGGGGGCCAGCGCTTCATGCCTAACATGATGATCTTCGCTCTGGCATTCACGCTGCCGTCCCCGCAGACGAGCGTTTCCATGATGCTGGGTGCCATTGCTGCCAAGGTGTGGAAGTGGAAGGCCCCCGTAGGTTTTGAGAGGTACTTGTTTGCTATTGCGGCCGGGCTGGTAGCGGGTGAGGGCATTGGGGGAACGGTCAATTGCGTGTTGTCCATTGTGGGCGTCGGGGGCCAGGAATGGTCACTCGGGCTTGGGTGTCCTACGGGCCGGTGTTAGATAATTGTCTTGCTCGTCAAACCAGAACGTAAAAGATGGTGCCGGAGCTCTGCATACAAAGACATAGATCCCACCTTTCATCGTGGGTAGGAATACCACCAAGTGAAAAGACTTCAAGTAGGATCGAAGCGCAAGTCAATGATATATTACTTGGAAGCAAACACATGCGTCCGAACTTTTGCTAACAATCTTCTTGGCTTTGACTACACCATTACAGGAGGTTGACATGGGCATGATACTCGGAGTATTCATCGTATAACCTGCGATAATCGGTAATTGAGCATTTATGTACTTTTTCCAAGTCGAGGCAGAGTCTACTCGTCTACGATGTACCATGGCCTGATGGACCGAAACCCCCACTGGAGAGCATGCTCTTTGAAATCAGGGAACCACTGTTGATCTATTAGAATGACTTTCTGACAATGACGGGAAGGACAGAAGAAATTCAAAGAAAAAGATAAGCTCACCGGGGTGCCAAAGCCACTTGCCGAGTCCCACCCTTCTACAGCAGGAAACCCATCCGTATGACATCCCTTGGCAGAACCAACCGTGATATCCCTGAAAGCTTTGGCGCCTCCACCCGCATACAGCCAAGGGTTTAAGAAGCCCAGAGTGGGTTTGCCCTCGGCAATGAGCGCATCGTTGACCAGAGCCACGACAGCGGCAAAGATGGGCGCGGAGGCACTGGTGCCATCCACGACTCTGCTCGTCCCGTTCCATACAGTCATGATCCGGTAGCCCATGGCTGCGACGTCAGGGTAGGCCCGGCCGTGTGGGTTGTAGAGCCCGGCATGCTTCCCATCGAGCCGGGCTATGTATGAGCTAACGGCGTGATCCTGGTAGCCGGGCCGAGGAAAATAGTCGCTGAAGCCTCCGCCGCTCACGAACCCGTTCCGTTCGTTGTAGGCGACCCTCTGCGGGTTGATCCCCCGCGTCGCCGCAACCGAAGTGCCGTAGGGACAGCTCTCAGGAAAGCGCGCTACGAAGCGCAGCGCCGTCTCGTTGGGCGCGTGGCATGTTGCCGGGGCTCCGACGCCCCAGTCGCCCGATCCGAACACAACTGTCACGCCGCGCGCGCCCAGCTGCGCGAAGCCGTTGCACACCCGCCTGGCGTAGGAGGGAGGAACAGTGTACTCGGTATCGGCGTAGGACGTACTGATCACGGCGGGGAGCTCCGGCTGGGCCATGATATGCTGCAGCCAAGCCAGGAAAGGCTCGTTGGTGTTTTCTGGGAACGAGGGGTCGGGGTTGTAAGGAGGTAGGGGCCCGCCTGTGCTGTACGTCACCAGAGGTGTAGGATATCCGATGCCGAGCATGACCTGGGCGTCTAGGTTGCCCTCGCGGCCCTGACGATCATCTAGCTGGGACTGGGTGGCGGGCTCCTGTTGGTTGACAGCACCGTTAAAATTCACAATCGCAAACTCGTCCGCGGCACCTGCAGCCTCAGGTCGATAGTTTCGCAGGTACTGGCGAATGTCGGAACGGTTGTTGAACTCGCCCCAGTAGTTGGAGAGGGCCATGCTGTTCGTTTCCGTTGCTTGGGCTGTGTAGCCCAGCGTTCCATACAAAGCACGGAGACAGATGGGAGCTACAGCGCTTGTATTGCAGGCCTGCTCCGGCGTCAAATCGACGGGGGGGTTGGTGAGATCTACACCCTCCGCCTCAGCGACCCCATCATCGACGGCCTCTGCGGCATCGTTCAGGGAGGAGGGTGTCGATGTGTTGACCTTGTCGTCGCTCCTTCGCCATTGGCGTGGACTCCTCGTGACGAAGAATGATGTCGTTGGATGGATCATATCGATTCTGTCACGAAGGAGGAGTGGGAGTGACCATTCTACAGCGCGGACTAGCTCCTGGTCGGCATTTCTGTACACGTGGTACGATGTCTGAAGGAGCCTCTCAGCCGCGGCAATGGTCAAGTCCGGGACGATGACCCAGTCCTTCCCTGCGCTGAACTTGAACCTGCTTGGACTTATTCCACAGTCTACAAGCCAGTCGTGTACGGCGTCAACAGTTTCCTCCGAGGGTCGCATCAGTTCTTTGACTTCATCGGCAGAAAGGTACTGTCTAAACCTTTCATGGAACGGGTCTGAAATCTCGTCCAAATGGCGTTCGAGCTGCCCAGGACTCTCCGGTTGCAGGCCAATATGGAGAGACATGCGGCCATCTTTGGGTGCTCTTGCAACAAGCTCCCATCCGCGAGGTACCTCGTGACGCTCTTTGATGGAACTCTGAGTGAACCTCGCTGAGACGCCAGGGAGTAGTAGCGAATGGAGATAACACCAGAGAACTGTCACGATAAAAAAGAGCCTGGCGATGGACAACGGCATGATGTTCGAGTTTACAGAACCATGCAAATCGAGAACGAGGCTAAAGCTGGTCAGTCCAGATGGGCGATCATCGCATTTGGTAACAACATGAAGTGAAGCTCAACACCGCCAAGGACAATTGGAATGCCCATCACAACTGGAACATCGAGGGTTGCCTGGCACGACACAAGCTCACATGCTGCAACGACATGAATTAGGCGAACGTAACCGCGGAGAACATTTCTGAATGGAAACGCGGGATAGCCGCTTGAGGGTGGCTTGGCAATTATATGTAGGGTCACACCCAATGCAGGGTCATATAATTAAGCCGAATCTCAATGCAGGGTCACCACAAGGGTCAGCATAAGGGTAAGCGTAGTAAAGCAAGTTAAGCTTCTTACCGCCACATCGCAGTGTCACAATCTGACGTATTGTCAATTACCACGTATCATTCCAAGACAGAGGTCACGTGTATCTAGATACTGGTCAGCTTGCCGCAATGCAACATTGTAGCAAAGGGTTGCCTCAAGCAAGACTGTACGTCTGGAGCCTTGCGGAACGCTGCGGCGACGAGGTCCGCCTCGAAACACATGCCGCTACTCTTTGGCAGGACACATCCGATTTCCATGTTGTCGCTGCACCTGTGGTCTCTTCCTGATTCATGCTTGCACTGGTTCTTCGCTGTCCAAACATACTGGCCGCCACGAAGCTGCGCAGGTTACCGTCGCTTCTGTGCTCATTCTACACCTTTCGCCCACAATGGAATCTCAACAACGCTCTGACTTGGACCGATCTTTCAGCCATGGGGAAAATCTCGAGAAGGCCTCAATGAACCTGTCCTCGTCTGGCCCTGACAGCGATTCCTCTTCCTTTCTCGGCGAGAAAGAGATACGAGAGATTCGTTCAAACCATATCACGCGCCGCCGTCGGTGGTGGTGGATCTCCTTTATCCTCATACATGCCATTCTACTTTCTGTATACATTGGGAGCCTTCTGTCTCTTCAAGCGCAGGTGAACAAGCTGCGAAAGTATGGTCCGCAGCTCGTCAACTGTAAGTTTTGCCAGAATCAAGCTCAGCCCAGGCAAGGGGGACATAGTGGGGTAGATGGCTAACATGCTTTCGAGCCCCGGCCAACGATGGCGTCGAGTGGGAACTTCAGACCTTTATCAACAACGATAATGAACATGGACCGTTCTCCGGACCTCCCAGGGAGGAGGTGAATCGAAACTGGCACAGAATCATCAATGGTGAATTTCGTCGTTCCCGCCCGCCTAGACCCCAATACTTGCTTTGGATTTTCAACTGCTGACTGTGCACGAAGATGAGAACATTATCTTGGAGCCAGAATATATGAAAGCTCTCGGCCGGGATCAGTTTGGTGTAGCTGTCCCTGACGGTTCGGGATTCCTCGGCACCTTGAACGTATACCACGAGCTTCATTGTATTGTATGTAAATAGGGCGGTTTAGCCCCCTCACCTGTCCCTTGGTTTGGCTATCTGACGCACGCTTCGCATCTGCAGAAACGCCTCTATCAGTACACCTATCCAGACGTCTACCCACAGGGTGACACGCCTGCGGAACAGGCAAGCAATCGCCAGCACAAAGGTATGAGCCATGACGCAGACGCACATCCGCCGTTCATCCCCCTCCGCTGGCTTTGAGAAGCTGCTTACCCAACATGCCATGGCTGTAATAATAGATCACTGCTTGGACTTCCTGCGCCAGTCGGCCATGTGCCACGCGGATGTCGGCGTCATTACGTTCCAGTGGTCGCCAAAGAGCCTGGTGCCAGTGGCCAACGCAACGCACCACCAGTGCGCCAACTGGGACAAGCTCGCGCAGTGGACCAAAGGGCGGACGGTTGACATGATGAAACCGGGCTGGCTGATCCACCCTTCCAAAGGTGAGGTTGCGATTCATCCAACGCCTCCGTCGCTTCCACTTTTCGCCTATTCCGCTAACAGTTGAACTACAGGCCCAGCTTATCCACACGGTGAGGACTATCACCATTGAATTAACGCAGTTGCGGTTGGAAAGTCTATTGTGTTGGTTCTCATGCACGGACATGTTTGTACTGTGTGTATCAGGGGTACAGATTACCCACATGAGTAGCTAAGGGGAGTGAATTGGTTGTCAACCTGGAGAAGATAGTCAAGTAAACGGTTTCAATCCACTACAAATCACAAACGTTTGACTCTAGAAACTGTTCAACGGGTCAATTTTTACAACTGTTTTTGATTTGGATGCGAATTAATTTACCCTGCAAGATTGTCTCTTGCGTGTGATGTCAGTAGGATACGATAATGGATGTTTCAAAGCAATTCTCTTCCCAGAATTTGCGCCAAAAAACGGTGGCTTTCTCTAAGTCTGCCATGGTTTCTCCTTCCGCGGGGCCCCATACGTTTGCCGCATTAAGACATACTGGAAAGTCCCCTATATTAAGATACAGCTACTACTATGATTGCTTTGATGTTCCACTCGACCATCGTTGCACATGGTGCTTTCAGCTTGGCGGCGGAGAGGCCCAGCTTTGGTGATGGATCAAATCAGAAATCCCGTAGCCTGCCCGAATCGGCGCGGTTAGGCTGAAGTTGCCAAGAAAGAATGCTAGGTTTTACTAGTTCTTCCCCTATTCCGAATCTTGGTCTGTCTTATTGTATTGATACAGCATGGATACACATGGCTCTACCCACGTTCCGGCGCAATCCGGCGAGGAAGAATCGTCTGATCAGTCTTTCCGCTTGTCATGCCAAGTTCGTCACATACCAAGGATGGTCCCACCGAAAAGCATCCCGGAGCGCCAACTGCTTGAGGACTGGAAACCACTGAGGCCAATATGTCAATTACAAGTCCCATATGGTTCCCGCGGGAGGAAAGAGTAGCCTCGCTAATAAAACAAGGAAGAACCTACCGGCATGCCGAGCCCGGTGGCTGCGTCCCAGCCCTCCACGGCCGGAAATCCCATGGTACCACAGCCGCGGTTCGAGCCGACGGCGACATCTCGCAGGCCAGGCAGGGCCGAGCTGTAGAGCCAGGGGTTCAGAAAGCCCAGAGACGGCCGTCCCTCCGCCAGCAGCGCGTCATTGATGAGGGCAATAATGGCGGCGAAGGCCGGCGCCGACGCGCTCGTGCCATCGAGCAGATGCGACGTGCCGTTCCACACAACGGGGAAGTGATAGGCCATGGCGGCGACATCGGGAATTCCCCGACCTTGGGGGTTGTATAAGTCTTGGTGTGTGGTGTTCAGGCCGGCAACGTAGGCCGCAACGGCCGGCTCCTGGTAGCTGGGCCGGCGAAAGTAGTTACTAAAGCCGCCGCCTATCAGGTTATTCAAACCACGCCTTGTTGTCAGCGTTCTGATGGGGACGATGAAGACCTGGAGGCATCCTGAGATGCCCTCCCCCTCTCAAGGGCTTTGGCAACTCACCTGTACTGAATCCGCCCCGCGCATCGAACCCAGCCATGACGGGTTCGAAGTGCCGCGTGCCCCCAACGGCCGTGACGTAGGGGCAGGAGGCGGGGAAGGTCGGCATGAACCTCGGGGTTTCTGTGCCATCGTTGGAGACGCACTTCCCTTCCTTTCCAACGCCCTCGTCGCCCGAAGCGACGATGACGCTAACGCCGCGTGCGCCGAGCTGTGCGAAGGCCTCACAGACGCGGGCGGCGTAGCGCGGCGGCACCGTCTGCTCCTCATCGGCGTATGATACCGACACGACGCGCGGGAGTGCCGCGTCGTCGAGCGCCGCCAGGTGGTTCAACCACTCGAGGTATGGCTCGTTGGAGTTCTGGACCTTGTTCGCGCTCGGCTGGAACGGCGGCCGCCCGCCCACGTTCCACGCGACTAGCGGCACAGGGTGCGCCACGCCCAGCAACGTCTCGACGTCCAGTGCGCCTTCGAGGCCCATCGCCCGGCTCATCTGCTCGGGCGTGTTGGGTGTCTGCTGGTCCACCGCCCCGGCCACCAGCACTGTCTCGAAGGCGGCCGCCGCGCCCGCTGCGGCCGCGTCCGGTCGGTACAACTCGAGGTATCGCGCGATGTCGGACCGGTTGTTGTTGTGGCCGAGAAAGTTGACGACACCCACCTTGTTCGTTGCGTTGACGTCGACGGGCTGCTGCACCTCATAGTCGAGCGTACCGTACAGCACCCGTAGGCATAGTGACGAGATGGCCAGCCGGTTGCAGGCGTCTGCCACAGTCGGGTTCGGCGGCAGGTCCGCGAGCGCGGGGATGTCGATGTGACCACGCTCCACGAGGTCCTCCTCGACGAGCTCATCGTACGTCGGGACTCGCCCCTCGACCTCCCAGGCGGGTTTCTGGATGCCGCCGTATCGGTCCTGTGGAACGGTGCGGAGGAACGAGTTGGTCGGCTGCACGACGTCGATATGCCCGCGCAGGTGTCCCGGCAGGGACCATTCCAGGGTGCGCACCAGTACGTGTCCGTCGTTGTCGCTCTCAAAATGGTAAAACTCACTATCTAGGAGAGCCTCGGCCGTCCGGACGGGAACCGAAGCCCGGATCCAGTCCCTGGCGGGCGTCATGTCATATTTGGTGATGCCGTGTTCAATAAGCCAGTTTTCTGCCTTCCGGACCGTCTCAGCGGACGGCTTGAGCAACTGTGCCACATCAGATGCGGAAAGGTGGCGGCCGTAGGATCGATGAGATGGGTTGGATACTACAGGTAGTCGCAAAGCAGGAAGTCAGCTTGATAGAGGTCGGTAGTAGCCTTGCGCCTTGGGAAGCTGCCATTCAAACATGATGGATCTCCGTTGAAGTATGGACGCGGGTGGCGGGGCTTGGGCACTTGCATTCATACAGTCTCCGCTCTAGTTCTTTGAAGCCATCATGCTTCAGGCCGATTTGCAAATGAACCACGGTGTCTGTCTCGGCACGCGTAGTACGTTTCCATCCCAGCGGTTGCCGGATAGCGTCGCGAATTCTATGCGGCTGTTGTTGCTGGTTGGTTTGTGACGATGGAAAACAGTGCACCAGCGTCGCGAAGAGGACGCACAGAAAAGGCAGCATTTTCCACGAGGACATTGCGTGGCTCGACATGCTGCGGTGACTTTGATTCTGAATGCGAAGCCGGACATGCAAATTCTAAGTCCTAAACCGGCACAGACTATTACAACGGTGTTGGCGCAACCTCACAGGAAGACGCCGGGAAGCCCAGTTCAACACCGATAAAAACACTTCACTGTAAGTTCTGTTCAACCGCCCTCGCTGCATAGTACAAGACTTCCTCGTGTGAAAGGGAGCCTGGTAAGCAAGAAAATCCGGTCGATGCCGGTGCAACCGGGTAGATCAACTGGGCCAGGTGCTTACCCTATGTCAACAGCTAAACCTGCCTCCTTACCATGCGTCCCGCCAGGTCACAATCTAGATGGATGGCCCTCATCGCGTTCCGGGAGGGCCGGCCGGTTTATGTATGCACGGTCATGCAGGATCAGGATCCATGCTAGGCGACGGGTACCATGCATGAGGGTGTCCTTATCCCGGCGTTACTACTAAGCGGTGTACATCTTACGGCACCTACGTATCTATGGTGTCAATGAGCCCAGGGTCACCTCATGTTATGAGTTGCATGAGTTGAACACGGGGTCGATCTGGTCATCTTCTCTGTGCAGTCTACCAGCGACCCTTTCTCTTCAAGACCGAGAAAGCCCATGGATACTTGAAAGCCTCGGCTGGGCAAACCTGGACAAGGCGCCCAAGACAGCCCACACGCACTTTTATATACCTCTCTTTGGGTCTGAGCCAACGAATCCATGATACGGCCGTTGCCTCTATCATGGCCACCCACCACGCAATCTCAGAACCGGGCCAGGGAAGGTCCTGGTCCTGGTTTCTCCTAGCACTGTTTGCTTTGCACGCGCTTTTGCTCCCTTCCGTTCGCGCTGAACCGGTGCAGTATTGTCGGTTCGGCGATCCCGCCAGGCCCAATGCGGTGGCCGACTTCTGCCTCGGCCTCGCCACGTCGCGCAATGCAAGCACGGGCGCGCACGACGTCTACCTGACACTTACGCACACACGGCCGCGACGCTCGGCCGTGGGCTGGACAGCCGTCGGCACCGGCGACAGCATGACCGGGTCTCTCATGTTCATCATCTACGGCGACCCGGCGTCGGGCGAGCGGCCCATCGTCAGCATCCGCGCAAGCACCGGCCACCATCAGCCGCAGCTTCTGACGCGTGCGCGAATGAACGGTGGCGACCTGCGCGTACTACGGTCCGACTGGATGCCGGCCACAGCACGGCAATCCGTCACGGCCTCCGTGTCACTCGTATGCTACTCGTGCACTCTGTGGGCGGGCGACGGCGCCGGCAGCGGCACTATCTCGGCCACGGCCACGGCGCAGCCGTGGATCTGGGCCTGGAACAAGGCCCAAGCCTTTGATGTCTACAGCTACGACGCTCACCTGCGCATGCACGCACATCACGCCGGTAATGGCGGTTGGGGCCGCTTCTACGTCGACATGGTGCGCGCCGATCAGAGCGCCGGTGCTCACCTGCCCTCACTGCCCGTTATTCGACCGGGGGTCGCGGCTCTGGGCGCTTCGGAACTCCCCTCTGGTCTCGGCCTCGCGGGTTGGATGCCGGGAAGTCCCATGCTCCGGCTTCATGGCATCCTGATGGCACTGGCCTTCCTCGTGGCCTTCCCTGCCGGCGTCGTGGCCATGCGCTCCGGTTCGCGTCGCGCCTTCACATACCACTGGATGCTACAGGCCCTGGCCTCGGCGGCCGTGGCTGGCGGTGTCACGGCCGGGCTGGCGCTGCAGCGCGAAATCAACACGGTCCATCAAGTTCTCGGCCTCGCGCTCGCGGGCGCGCTAGGCTTGCAGGCGTTCCTTGGCTGGAAGCATCACGTCGACTTTGTGCGCATTCGGCGGCGCACATATATATCTTACGCGCACATCTGGGTGGGCCGGGGCGTCATGCTTGGCGCTCAGGCAAACCTGCTCCTGGGCTTGCTCCTTGGTGGTGTCGTTGGTCTCCTCGTCGGCTTTGTGGCCGGTTACATAGCCCTGCAGTCGGCGCTGCTGGCGATATGGGTTCGACGCCGGGCCAAGGCTGCGGAGGCAGAGGCGCGGGTTGCCAAGTACGATGCGTTGGAGGCCCATGATGATGAGGAAGAGGAGTCTTCTTTTGCTATTGCTAGCCCGGAGGAGATGGACATTGGTGAAGAGGGAATGGACCTTGGCGAAGAGAAGAAATGAATGTATGATGCCAATGCGACTTTGGATACTTGGTCATGAATACTCTCAAGAGAGATGCGACTAACAATGCAGGGGTGAATTGCACGGACCCAGGGTATCATGGCGGACAAACATATATATTTAAAAATTGAAAGAATAAATTAGAACTGGTCTGATGATTGGTAAATCCAAAATGGGTTGAACTCAACTGGATGCTGGAGATCCTAAAATTAGCTAGCAGAGGTAGTTAGGCATAGGCAATTTAATTAAGCTATAGTACTAACGTTTCTTCTAAGTACCTCTCTCCTAACTAATGCCCTATAAACACAAGTTTTACTCCTAACCCTAGCTTTAGGCATAACTACTAACCCTAACCTTTCTATCTCTTTGTTTTTTTGAGGTATATTCTTCTTTTTAAGCTACTCTAGCTTCAAGACAATGCACGCGCAGTCTAGATAGAGCGCTAATACTAGAAGCAGTTAAAAACAGCCAAGCATCTGTACTTAAAATTAAATGTGTCGCCTGGCCCCACATAGCGGACCGGGCCGTATGACAAGCGGAGTATCGTGAAGTGGTCTGCTAGCTAGCGCAACGGGCACTGACATTTAGACTTTTAGGATTGGCTGTTTAATCCGATGGGATTATACGCCGATTTTCTATTGACAGCAGGTCGCTCACACAGGATGGCTGCCTCTCAGAAAAGTACTCATGAAGAATGGTGATCTGTTAAAAGATATACGTTGATACATGCCGCCATAACCCGCTCATGGGGCGGCAATCCTGCCCTACGCGCCAATTCTATCATCATTGACCATGTTTCCGGAACCTGAGCGTACCATATCATTCATTCACCAATTAGCCTCGTGTCTGCTTTAAAAAAGAAAAAAAGAAAGGCCAAATCCAAGCAGATATCTTGAACATGTTACGTACCGAGTTTTGCAGCGCTGCTTGGTCCTTTTGCAGGAACTCGCTTATGTCCAGGGAAGACAGCACTTCCCGAATCCGACGGGCAATCTCCCTCCGCCTCGATTGGAGACTGGCGCTTTGTTGGTCTTGGAGGGACGGTTCTCGCAAGGTGGAGGAGGCGCGGCGGCGCACAGGGGAAGTATGAGGAGCACGCGAGCCATACAGGGTTTCAAGCTCGTCGGAGCATATGCTTTCGGCCGACCGCACAATCTCCTCGGCGTAAGCGCTCTTCTCGCGTCCAGTCCATGATTTATGAGAGGCATGCAGGTCCGAAAGCAGGCTCCTGAGCCGCCTCGTGCGGCTGGTCGCCTGCATCGGGCGCAGAAAGGAGTCTTCCGACAGTTCTGACCTGTAGTATGTTGACGTCATTGAATCAATGCTGTCGAATCCGTTATCTTCGACGATTTTCAAGATGCGCTCGAGTCTGGCTTCGAGGCAGTCCTCGTCCGTATCCTCATATTGAGCCGTTGAGCCCCGTCTCCGCCCGTTCGAGCTTGTGCTCACCGGGGTTGTCGTGGAGAAGACGTTGGAAGAGGCCGGCCTCTGCGGGGGAAACTCTTCGCGTTCCATCTTTGTCCTTTTTCTGCGTCTCTGCGGGCCAGCATCCTCGTGCTTATGTTCCCGCTGCGAGGATAGAGGGGCATGAGAATAGTTAGGCGCTGGATGCTTCGATGTATCCGAATATGAGGAGGACTCGCCGTCAGAACTGGACCTGGATCTTTCGGTTCTCGCCCGGTGATTGGAGTGGGAACCATGATGGGCTGCTGCTGGGAGGGCCTGAATCGCTGCCAGAAAACTGCCTCCAGTTGGGTCCCAGAGTTCGTGTGCCGGGCTATAGGTCTGCGCTAATCGGTGGTAGTGCAATTCCTGTCAGCCTGGGGGCTCATGCGTGGCGCAGACGAGTCACTTCAAGACTTATCGGTCTTTTCAGGACATGAACTCACACCAGTATTCCCCATTGGCCAGTTGCATAGACTCAGTTCCAACGGCCTGTTGTGATTGGGACAGGACGGCCAGGTCCTGATCGTGTGCGCCAGGGATTTGCAAGTCGATTCTACTTTCCCAAGGTGAGTGGGAAGGCATGAACCCGACCTGCGGTCCTAGGAACGTGGGAAAGGCATTATGGGACGGAGGCGTAGGGAGTGTCGGATTTGATGACATTTCATGATTATCATTTTCGGCGCTCGTGGATTGCGAGCCTGAATTTCTGTCATGACTGACATGACTGTCATGCTTTCGGCCGTCACCAAATCGTTTGCCTGTTGGCATTATCTCACAGCGTCAGTCAGCCTGGGTCAGTATAATGTTGGGTTCCTACATGACCTCGGGGAGCAAGCAGGTAGAACTCAGTGTGTGCTCACGTTCACGATGTCTTCGCTGGGCCAGTCTGTTCCGCGTCCGCTGCCTATCCTCTCTCGATACCACCAGCTCTGCTGTGGTGGACTGTTCGTCGATGCCCTCCATGAGGTTCGGCTCGACCAAAAGGCTTGTTTGGAGGCGGGGGAGGCTTACTTGGGGAAGATATAGGACGGATTGAGGTAAGCAACAAGATTCTATCCGCCGAGACCGAGAAACGCTAAATCGGAACAAGCCTTCTAAGCTTCTTGGCAAAGCAGTGCCAATAACGCCTCCAAAGCTTACTATAACCGGTGGGGTTTCCTTTGTGTTTACCAACTGGCCGCGCTTACTAAAGAGTGTGTATGATTGCCTATTAGGATATCCAGAGTGGGGCTCAAGTTCCATGAGTTATACGACTGAACATCTTATTGGACTTCAAACGATAACGGCATAGCACTGTAATCGTCACAAGTCTTAGAAAAGACGGGTTCGCCACTACGCCACTGTGTAGTTACCGAACCGAGCCGCTGAGCCGTGCTATATTTCGCCCCGTGGGGGTTAAATCTCTCGCCGGTGGGCTTGGAGACATTGCGCGAGAGGCTGTTTCATAATCAGCTGACGTGAGAGCCACCTTACCAACCATTGCTTGTACAAGTACACCCGAGAGTATGTCCAGGTGCTAGTACTGATCGGGTAGAATGGATTCACGTGTAGGCGGTGGAACATGCAATGTAATGTTGTGAGAATGTGATGGAAACCTACCTGCCTTTCTGGTGACGTCTCGCATCTGCGGGCTGCGTAAGTACCCATAAGGCGAGCTTTTCTTTCACTCACACAGCCTTGCGTAACCCCGTATTCTTATCCGCCCCCTCCCGCTCATCATTTGATTGTGGTTCGCGTACTTTTGTAGCTTGCGATCCTTCAGACTACCTACCCCGGCCCGTCTCTGGCCAGACTCTCTCGTTCTATACAAGTGAACAAGCACACCATTGCGAGTTTCCCCCGTCGGGCACAAAAGCAGGTCGTCTCTCTGTCCCACTCCACCCCCCGATCCGCTTAGTGCTGTTATAAGCGGGCAAAGAGAAACCCGACTCGACGCCACTCCCCGTTGAGACATCGCCATTGTTAGTGCAGCCTCTAGACATCCTTTGATGCTATGAGCCCCCAGGACGACAAAGACGGGAAGGATTCCAGACCTGACGCAATGAGCTCCCGTGACGGAAAGGGCGGGAAGGATTCCAGGCCTGACGAAATGAGCCCCCAGGACGAAAATGGCGAGAAGGATGCTGCCGATGCTCTCACTGCTCTGCCAGTTTCCGACGTCAAGCAGGAAGGCAGCCCGGCTGTTGAGGTCGAGGTCGACGCAGCCGACTCGCTTTTGGTGCGATCCCACGCTACTCTTCCCTTCCTTTTCTCAACTCCGACATTTACTTCGATAGTTTATTGACCGTCGTCCATTTAGGTCAAGTGGGATGGCGATGCTGATCCGCGCCACCCCTTCAATTGGCCACGTTCGCGCAAATGGGCCATCACCATCTTGCTCTCCAACGGCGGGCTCGTCACCCTCATGTCCGGCGCCATGCTTGCACCATCGCTCCACGCCATCGCTCAAGACTTCGGCACCGACGAGGAAGAGACGCAGATTTTCCTCTCCATCTTCATCCTGGCCTTCGCCTTCGGCCCCATGGTCCTCTCGCCCCTCGCTGAGGTCTTCGGCCGCCGCCCTGTCTGGATCCTTTCCAGCTGCTTCTACATCCTGTGGAACACCGTCGCCGGGTTCAGTCGCTCTCCGGGCCTCTTGATTGCGAGCCGTGTTCTCTCCGGCATTGGCGCCAGCGCCGAGTTCGCCGTGACGCAGCCCGTGCTCTCCGACTGCTGGGTGCCGGACGAGCGTGGAAAGTCGTACGCCATCGCCACCTTTATCCCGCTTCTCGGGCCCGCCATAGGTCCCATCATCGGAGGCGCCGTCACGCAGTCCATCGGCTGGCGATGGACGTTTTGGATTCTCTCCATCTATGATGCCGTCTTGGTGATTATCGGCGTGTTCATCCTCTCGGAAACGTACGAGCCCATTCTCCTGTCGAGACAGGCTTCCAAACTCAGGAAAGGTACGGGAAAGCCCTACTTTACAGATGCCGGTAGCGAGTCCCAAGGCTTGGGTGTCAAGCTGTCGCGTTCCCTCATGCGGCCGCTGCGGCTTCTTCTCACACAGCCGATTCTACAGGTTGTAGCCATCTTTCTTGCCTACAACTTTGGCATTCTGTATATCGTACTGTCGACGTTTGCCACGCTGTGGATTCGTCGATACGGCCAGACCGAGTCCCAAAGTGGGTTTCACTACATCGCCTTGGTCATCGGGTATACGATTGCTGCACAAGTAGGCGGCAAGGTCATGGATCGTCTATGGCGGTACCTCAAGGCGCGGTCTGGCGAGAACACGGCGCCCGAGTACCGGGTCCCGCTTATGATTCCCGGCGCCGTTCTGATTCCCCTAGGTCTCCTACTCTACGGGTGGACTGCCGAGCGCCACACTCATTGGATCGTGCCTGATATCGGTATTGGCATCTTCGGCTGCGGCATCATCCTCAATACGCAGGCCATGCAGGCGTATGTGATTGAGTCGTTTCGCAAGTACGTAGCCTCAGCGTCGGCTGCGGCGCAATTCCTGCGCAGCATTGCTGGCTTCGCCTTCCCAATTTTCGCCCCCATCATGTACCAGACGCTGGGGTATGGCTGGGGAAACAGCATTTTGGCTCTGACCTTTGTCGTTATCGGATGGCCTGCCCCCTTTCTCCTGTGGCGGTACGGCGCCAAATTGAGGGCCATGGGAAAGCCGCAGTGGTGAGGCAGGGTGTAGTACTTGTGGTGTGCAGTAGTCTCAGTGGCCAGATATGAAATAGTGTCGCAAAAACGACGCCGTTAATTACGGGCAGTAATTAACGCCTTATATATCCTGTGACAAATAGCGTCGGTGAAGCGATTACGACAGCGTGGTAGTGAGACAAAACGAGACACAAAACGGAAACAGGAAATCAGCAAAGACGGTTGCTTGGTCGCAAGACCCCTTCGCAACCAGAAGAGCCTGTCTAACCTTGATATATTACGGTGCCCGTGATAACCTACCATGTTGATCTTTGCCCCATTTCTAGCTTTGACCATTACGGTCATCTCAAGGTCGATATAGCGTCAAGCTTTTAGAGTCCAAAATTCCAGTCTCCGTTCTCAAGCCTTTCATCTGCTGTTAACTATATTACCAGCCAATATGTATGTATTATCCTGTAGTGGATATGACTGGCGGGCGTTGGTTTAGTTCTGAAGTAGTTTAACCGCAGTTCTAGATTTAAAGTTTCTTCGACATTATGGATATACACTGTATTGTTTGATAGGTATCCCTGCAACCAGAGGGTATTATTTTACACTCACACCACCACGAGGGTATGCATGGCGCAAAGAAACAACAACAAATCTCAGCGCCGCTAGCATCCTCTCCAGACAAGGTCGTCCTACATCTCCTCGATGTTTTCAGGGCCCATGCAGGTCTTCCGCCGCATCTCCACCATGCGGATACACCACGCCTGTAACACAAAGTCCTAGTTAGAGGTACGGCCCTGCAAGATCATTGAGATGCTGAGATTTCTATACGTACCAAGCTCTGGATTGACGATCAGGCCAGGCTCGTAGATGTCAATGGCCCTCTCACTGGCCCAATGCGAGAGCCGCGACCAGTCAACGCACTGGTGCGCCGTCCCGTTGGCGCCGGGCTTGAGAATCCCCGGCTGCCAGCTGTAAATGACGGGTCCCACGTCGCCGTGGCACATGGCGAACATGCGTAGCGTGTTGAGGCAATGATCTATATCCGCCAAGCAGGTTTGTGTGATCAGAATCCGTGCCATATGTGGCTCCAGGGGAGGAAAGGGGGAGGAGGGACAGTGGCTGAACTTACCGCTGTGCGACCTGTTCTTTCTCTTCGTCTCCGCGTCTGCATCGGGCCAGTACATATCGTTCCATACATACTTATGTAGCCATCTCTGAGACGGTCATCGTTAGGTACAATGTCAAGTTAGGCACCGCACTGTTTGCGAGATCTACTCACCACGCAGTGCAACTCATGGTAGACATTCAAGCTCCCCGCGTAGCCGGTACCATCACTCAGGGCCACCGCCTCGCCCTCGCGATGATACTTGACTATGGTTTCCCGACTCAATCTGAGGTTCATTGCTGGGCATTTGAAATAATTAGCGGACATAGCTCTGCGACCTGCAGTGGCGACATTCGTGAGTCTAATAGGTACTTACGCCCCAGGAGCTCTGCCCACGCCTTCTCCAGCGCCGGCCGCGGCGGGCCGATATAGTCGCCGTGCAGGCCGTTGCCCGAGTTGAACTCCTGCACGCTCCAGTCGATGGCCTCATTCGCAGGCGCTTATCATAGCAGCAACAGGTCAGACAGACACTCAGAAACCGAGGGAGGCGGCGAGAAGAGAACTCACAGTACAGGATCTGGCCGCGTAGCTCAGCTCGAGTCCGGCCGAGCAGCACGGCCAAGCCGACGGCGACGACCAGCTGAACGATCAAGACGGCGGCGTAGCCCACCACGGCCCGCTTTTGCTGGTACCACGGGACCGGGCGCTCCCAGCGTGAGTTCTTCTCGCGCGCGTTCAGGAGCCGGTCAGTCGCGTCGTCGCTGTCGTCGCCCCCGCCGTGCTTTGGACCGCCCATTTGGGCGTAATCTTGTTCCGGCTTCATCACCGGCTTGTGGTCGAAATTTGCAGGAGGTGCGGGAGAAGAAGATAGGACTTGTTTGGTAGTAGAAACCGTATAAGTTCTGAGAGATTCAAGCGGGCCCTGCGCGCCGTCCGGGACCCCGAAGAGTCGCCGGCTTACACGTGGATGCGAGTATGGAATTACAGATGTTGCCGAACTTCCGGGACACGCGGGAGCTGCATGGTGTGACTAGCCGCTTACTCCATAAGCCACTCTGGAAACAAACAGGTCAATATTGTCTCTAGAGACCATCTGCCGGTTTTCTGCAATGTCACTGTCATCATCCCTGAGTTGGACGAGGAGCTTGCTCGCTGACCTTGCAGCAATCCATCGGTGGGCCGGACACGCCGATTACGATCGCCCAACCAATTATGATGCTGCATTTCATCGACTGCCACGCCTATATTCGGCACTAAAGGTTGGCACAACAATACAGCCAGCGGCAGAATTAGGCTATACGATATTGGTTTACTGCCAGACTTGGTCATCAAGCGATGACACGACAGACCAACTGGTGACAGGGCGAACGGGGAATGTGCAAATAGCCACGGAAACGACTAAGCAACCCCGAGTGTAGTATCGCTGCATTGGCTTACTGGGGCTTCATTGCGATATCTTAGTCATTAGGCTGTTAGAGTGCTCGCCGCTGTGTAGTTGGTAACGATCCTCACCCGCGTTTTTGCGGCCCCACCAGTCGTATACTAGTGTTTCCTGTGAACTGGATGTACGCAAAGTTTCTACTTGCTTAGGCACCATGGCTGCAACTAGGCGTTCCAGAAAGTCGAGGAGAGGGTAATTCCCGAGGACGTTTCTGCAGTGACAGTATTACCATCACCGTCTTCGAACGTGGCTTCCCACAAATCAGGTCTCTGGAGGGCTTACACGTGTGCCGTGACGACACTTTCAGTTATGATTTTGCTTACTGAAATCACCAATACATTACACTCACTCCACAAGCCAACATGCTTCGTTGACTACTGATGGCCGTGAGCGCGCGAGCCAGCAATGTATTGTCATTGTCACCTCTGAATGACTCTGCGTCTTGGTGAAAGGATTCGAGGTGTCAATGTGCTCCGAGAGCCAGCATCTCATTCTGTTCTCACGAGAGGAGAGGTAACATAGCAAGAGTGACAGAGAGTCGGCCAGTCCATCCGGTTAGTCTCTCTGCGGAACAGGCCCCAGTGGTATACTGAAACCGCGATTGGAGATGGCAAGCTCGAGCACAGCGAAGTCGGTTCATCTCATGATAATACATAAAGAATCGGTTCACGATGGGTCATGTTGTCTAGAGTTCCAGCAGCAACCATCAGCCACTCAGTCCAGAGCAAGCACAAAGAACACCAGACCCTAGACGAGCAGTCGAAGTAACCAACACAGCCCCTTTGCAACTTCTAGCCTATCCAACCTCCCAAACGCCAAAATGCAGAAGGTCGCTCTTCTTACCCTGATCCTTGCGGGCACTTCGATTGCCGCGCCTACTGGTGGTAAGACATAGTTCCAGCTCCCGAATCTCGTTGGGTACTACGAGGGCATGGTTCACGTATCAAATCTCTAACAAAACCTTTCATCTTATAGCCGACAAGCGCTCTGACGCCGATGCTGCAACCCTCTATGTCGCTGACAAGCGCTCCGATGCTGATGCCGCTACCCTTTACGTTGCCGACAAGCGGTCTGATGCCGATGCCGCAACCCTCTACGTCGCCGACAAGCGGTCTGATGCTGATGCCGCTACTCTCTACGTTGCCGACAAGCGGTCTGACGCAGACGCCGCAACCCTCTATGTCGCCGACAAGCGGTCTGATGCCGATGCCGCAACCCTCTACGTTGCCGACAAGCGGTCTGATGCTGATGCCGCTACTCTCTACGTTGCCGACAAGCGGTCTGACGCAGACGCCGCCACTCTCTACGTAGCTGACAAGCGCTCTGATGCTGATGCCGCAACCCTCTACGTCGCTGACAAACGCTCAGACGCAGACGCTGCTACTCTTTATGTTGCCGACAAGCGCTCTGACGCTGACGCTGCTACTCTTTATGTTGCCGACAAGCGCTCTGACGCTGACGCTGCTACTCTTTATGTGGCTGACAAGAAGAAGCGCTCTGACGCCGATGCCGCCACCCTCTATGTCGCCGACAAGCGTTCTGACGCCGATGCCGCTACTCTTTACGTTGCCGACAAGAAGAAGCGCTCTGACGCGGACGCTGCCACTCTTTACGTTGCCGACAAGAAGAAGCGCTCTGACGCCGATGCCGCCACCCTCTACGTAGCTGACAAGCGTTCTGACGCCGATGCCGCTACTCTTTACGTTGCCGACAAGAAGAAGCGCTCTGACGCGGACGCTGCCACCCTCTACGTCACCGACTAAATGTACCAAGTGAGTACTGACCGCCGCACGGATTCCATTAAGCCATCCCTTATACAAGGCAGTTCATTGTTGCCTGTGGTATTTGCTGCCAAGAGGCCAACATGAACTTCCATCGGCGGTTGAGGAATACGGAACTGTGACTAGCTCGGTCAACTTGGCAAAGTCAACAGTAGCTCGTGTGGACGCACAAACATGGCTTTCTCAAGATGAAAGCGAATGATAGGACGGGTGAGACGCGTGGGAGGGCGGGCTATTTTGTACCTGGTTCACACCCGCTAGGCGAGGGGGAGGGGGTGGGGGTCTGGTGACTAGACTGACTGTATTTCATCTTTGGCACACTCATTTGGATAGGCCTTGCAAGAATCTCTCACTCGTTTAACACACTATGAAATAGATCAGGTTTCGGGGACGTACATGATGTTTCAGACCACCGCGCACATATTAGACGGCATCGCGTCCCGCAGGATGGCAGCTTACGTAGTAGAAGTGATAGTAGACGGAGTATATCTACAATTGCGGCGTCGGCGGTGGAGGCGACGCTCAATATTCCGAGGGTTGAACAGCCACTTCTCCGACTAATCAGCGTCGAGCAAACCGCTTTGCCATGTGGGTTTACATAGAGGCTTTTACTATGTACTATGTACATTGTGTTTGCAGGTTCCCCAGCCCCCCACGTTGCCTGATAACCCCGGTGTGTGTCACTGCGTAGTAACGATTATTCCCGGTATTCTCCGTACACGGCATCCTTCTCCTCATCGGATGCCGCCGAGTGCATGGGCCGGAAAGACGTCGACATTATCGGTATTGTTCCGCCTTCAGTTGGTTGTGAGATGCCGGAAGAGGGTATTGCACCTGTCAAGTATGTGCTACGAGCGAACGAACGATCGTCACATGAACCCTGAACCTGGGCGATGGGTCCCCGATCCTTCAGCTCACCCAAAGCAGGAAAAAGGAAGAGGTCAAAGCTTGACCCTGAGAATGGGATCGACACTAAGTCCGAAGACTTACCCGCGCGGCGGTGGCCACAAAGACTCTAAGAGGTAGGCCGTTCGGCCATCACCAACCCACCCACCACTCCTCAGCTCCCCCACCATCGTCACACGGTCCTACAAGCGCCCCAGTACCAAGGTTCGTGCCAGGGAACGCCGTGTCAAAGCATTAGAGTGGGCTCTGTGTGCGCCATCACAGTCCGAGCGGCCGTTGGTGAAGCATCGATATCTTGGTTCTGAATACTCCGTCCTGCATCTAGGTAGTTAGATCTAGAACCCACTGGCCCTATTGCCTTCTCCAGTAGGCCTGACGCCTATAGGAAACTCCGATTGCTTTACAACGTTGGCCATCTTTTGCCTTAGTAGTTGTCGAATCTCTCAAGTTCTACATACTGCCGCCTAGCATGTACAGGGTAGATATAGTTTGCCCCTCCTTCTGTCGGATCCTGCCGGAGGGGGGGGGATCTGATGAAGAAGATAGTCTGCAACCTCCCCGGCCCCTTCCCCACCATCGCCTTCTACTGTGGTCCCTGAGAAGTCCGATGCTGAAGAAGTCCGATGTAGAAGAATTCCAGGATGAAGATGCATTGCAGCGGGGAACTCGCCCGTGCGCGGGGTCTGTGAGTACGATTGCTCAGTTAGTTGGACCCGTTTTCTGTCACGACACTGCAGCCAGCTCCACGAACTGATCATGATCCTAGCCAAGTCTGCACCACAATTAACCCGTGGACTCCGAATGTTGCTAACTAGTAGTCGCCGATTACTTAGTAACGCGATTCACAACCCATGTACGATATGTAGCATCCTCGCATCCCACATGACATACGGAGTATTTGTCTGCGAAACGCCTCTCGGGTCCCGGCAATGACGGGCGTGTGTGGTGGTGGTAATTCTCAGACTCTTTGATTAATGGACCAGGCCTCGATTTCATATAAGTCTTGCTTCGTCCGTTGGCTTAGTTGCCCCCTCCCCCCTTCCGCCTCATCCCACATAGCATGAGAGTGTAGAGAGAAAACCCCCCACAAACGACTCAGGTGATACCGCGCCCTTTTTGTTTCTTGGGCATGGCCGCACCAATTCGGTTCCTCGCCCTGTTCGCCAGCCTCCTTGGGCTGGCGAGCTTGGCATGCGCGTCGCCGGTGACTCCGTTAGACCTCACAGCCCTGCCGGGCTGCGCCGTAAGTGAAAAAAGAAACCCCGAGGGGCCTGCTTCCGGGGCACGCAAGGGGGGGACGAGCACCCCCGCTTACACCACACGCATAGGCTACGTGCATCTTGCACGAGATAGGACGATCCGACTGCAGCTTCGGCAACCAGACGTGTCTCTGCGCCGACACGACTTACAACAGCTTAGTTGAGGAATGCGTCATTGCAAACTGCACAGTTAAGCAAGGGCTCGGTGAGTAGTGACGGAAAGGAAAACACAGCTCGCGAACGAGGAAGAAAGAGGGGACAATGTGTGTGTGTGTGTTGGAAGTTTTGCTAACCGCTGGTTATCTGTCTTTTCTTCTGCAGTGACGAAGAACACGACCCTGACGGCCTGCGGAACACCGTCGTCGACCGAGACAGACGGCACCCTCGAGTGGCTGCGCGTCGTCCTCTTCATCATTCCGACCTTTTTCTTCACCGTGCGCATGGTCAGCAAATACTTGCAGCTCTCGACCTGGGGCTGGGACGACACGACCTTCGTGTTTGCCTATGTATGGCCTGCCCCCCTAATCCCTCCTCACTTCCGGTGGCAGAGAGCCCGCCTAATACCGCTCGAAAACGGCTAACCGTCTCCTCTCAGATTGTCCTCGCGGCGTTTCTGCCAGGAAACTATTACAGTAAGTTCCAAGTCGGCTGTGGTCCAGTCTATGCACCAGAAGACTAACATGCGTCTTTGTGTAGTCACGGAAGCCGGCTCAGGGAGAGACACGTGGACGCTTACTCCCGACCAGATCACCAAGGTTCTTCTGGTAAGACCATCCTGCTCCTCCCCCGTCCGATGTTCCGATATCCTCCCTCAGCCCCCGTTGTATACATCAGCCAGAGAGGCTGACAAGAAGACCGGAAACAGATCGTATACATATTCAACCTGCTCTACGCGACCTGCCTGTCGCTCATCAAGGGCTCCATCATCCTGCTGTACCTACGCATCTTCCCCGACACAAAGATCAGGAAGGTCCTGTGGGGCACGCTGGCGTTCAACGGCGCGCTCTGGATTGTCTACATAGGCCCGGCCACCTTTATTTGCAAGCCCATCAGCTTCTTCTGGCAAGGCTGGTCGGGGGAGATGGAGGGCCACTGCATCAATATGCACGCCGCGTCCGTCTCCCACAGCGTCCTCCAGCTCACGTTCGACGTCGTCTTGCTCGTTCTCCTGGCGTCGCAGATCTGGGGCCTGAACATGAGCCCCAGGAAGAAGATTGCCGTGTTACTCGTCTTCAGCACCGGTATCTTGTAAGCACGAACGACCACGACGAACTCCCCTCCCCCCTCTCTCTGTTGCTAACCAACGACAATAGCCTCACGGCCGTCGGCGCTTACCGTGTCAAATCTCTCACCGTCTTCGCTGCATCTGACAACCCCACAGGTATGTTTGGCCCTTTCTCATGCAACAGATCACGCTCTTGTCCCGCCGGGAGATTCTGACCAAACCGCCGTATTCCAGTCAACACATACGAAGCCGCCATCTGGTCCCACGTCGAGCTCGCCACGGGAGCCTGCGTGGCCTGCTTCCCTTCCACGCGCCAGGTCTGGAACTGGATGGTCCCGACCTTGGCCGAAATCACGGGTGTCAAGTCCAAGTACGGCTCATCAAATGAGTCGACCCCCGAGAGCACGCCGCCGTCGCCGCCGTCAGACTACTCCAGGAAGCAATCCGGGAAGCAGTCCTGGCTATCGCGCATAGCGGCAGACCTCAACACCAACGTCTCCCTCCGCGACATGCGGAGCACCAGCGCCGCGAGCCTGGTAGAATCCAAAGACCCCTCAGCTGTGCCAGCGCGTTACGGCGAAGTGTAAGCCGGAACCCCAGTAATGAGATAGGCGGTGGGTGGAGGATGGCAGGGGCATTTGGTCCAGCGCTCGGACAAAGTATGCACATACATGACTCGACGAACACAGTGGAAACGACAGTGGCGTGGTCAAGGGGAGAGGCAGGCAGCACAAGCGTGCCAACCCCCGTGTCGATGCCGCTGTTTCCTGAATGAAATGAAATGGTTAAATCTTCTCGTCTTCTTGCTCTCGGTGACATCCCACAATGCCGTGTTAGTACAAGTATCTCCTTGACACATACCATGACTGCTTAAAGCATGCCCTCTCGACTCCAGGTCCCCACTTGAACACGCCAAAGATTCCCATTACTGGCAGGGGTGGATGATCGTTGCTCTGTATGGAACCGCCGTTATCCACCACTAGTCTGTCTCATCAGTTATTAAGCGGGCAGATGGAACGGGGAAGCTCGATCTGAGCGCACATCCTCTTAATTCTCCCTTGGCGACGGCAACAGGGCTTCCCAAGGCTTCCGTGTGCCGGCGGGAAAACAGCAACCGAGACCCAAAGCCAAAGGGGGTTTGATCACTCGAGAGGCTTATGGCCTTGCCGAGACCACAGGATGAAACAAATGGGCAGTAGAAAGCAGCCGCGTTCGTTAAAGTAGGTTCATGTCTATTAGGTATCAAAAATCAAGTACGACATTCAACACTTCTATACTCGAATGAATCGACAATCCCTGCTCGTCACAGTGGTCTTGCACCATCTATGAGATATACTGCAGAGTTTTATAGCAGGCCAAGGGATAGCCCCGAATTTCTGAAGAATGCCCAAAGATAATAGTGAGAGAGAAAAAGGAAAGGAGAAGATAGCCCATCTGTCTTGTACAACATGAAGTTTCAAGAGTCGGGCGCGTGCCGTGTTGTCCCATCACATGAAAACCATGCCAGCGGCAACCGCACCGAGAAGGCCCATCAGCGGCATCGCACTAAATGGTTTTAGGACGGGCTCGCCGGCAACCACCACGGCTGTTGGGGACGTGAACACAGGGCCGGTGGTGGCAGAGGGAGGGCTAGGTGTGTTCGAGGGAGGCCTGGAGATGCTCAGGGGAGGACTCGAGGGGGCAGTGGCGCGGCTTGAGGGGGCAGCGGAACGGCTCGAGGAAAAGGTGGAACGGCTGCTGGAGCGATTTGTTGTGTTTACGGATGACCTTGTGACAAGTGTGGGACCTCCAGTGACGGAGAGCGTCGACGTCCCGGCGCGGATGGAGGATGAGACGGCCAACGTGGTGTTGGTTCGGATACCGCTGGAGCGGCTGGAAGAGGCGGACAGCAAGGGTATACTGGTGGCAATGGGGGTATTATTGCGAGTGACAGTCGAGCAGGTGCCGTTAAAGTTGCAGCGCGTTAGAATAAACTCGTCCGGGGGGACGGGATAGGTAAATGTCGTGACGGGGCGGCAGATGCTGTTGTAGCAGTCTGTCAGGGTCGTTGCCCTGCTGGACAACGGTATGACGACGGGTATGGTAATGACCCTGCAGGTCCCGTTGAAGTTACATGTAGTGGTGGTTATCAAAGAAGGGGGGCTGACTGTGGGAACCGTGGAGACAGAAGTGATGGTAACGTTGTTGTTGGGGCTGGTGAAGGCGGGCAGGATGGCGACACTGGACGAGGTTCTGTTCAGGCCGGGGAGTAGGATGGTGATTGTAGTTCTGATTGTGATGGGAATGACCCCCAGTGGTGTCGTACTCGGGATCGTGGTGGTAGATGGATCCGCAGTCGAAGAGGGGGAGCTGGACAAGCCCACGGTGGTGAAGGTAGTAAGGGTGATGGTGGTGATGGCGATGGTGGTTACCACCTGGCCATTCACACCGGCCAAAATCGCGGCGCTCGTAATGAGGCGGATGAGGTTAGTCGAAACCATCCCAACGGCAGACGACAGACACGAGACTGTGTCGTCAGCTGGGGGGCGAGCCGTCGAAAGCCCTAAAGAGGTTCAAGAAAGAGGGACAAAAGCGAACGTAAAATGCAAGAGCGGAGAGACGGAAAGAAAAGGCCGTGGTTTCTGGGCAGTGACTTATGCTGCTGTTTGTACAACGAGGTGAACGGAGTCAGGATGGTCGGGCTCAAGCGGGCTTGATATATCTAGTTGTTGTCCAGACAGTCATATCTCCTTGTCTTAGTAGACCGGCTACTGCGAACGGCTATGACCAACAGGTGAGAATCGAGATGAAAAGACTTCCCCTGTGAGGTCATGAATAGCCAACAGCTTTATCGAGGCTCAGGTGCTGCTAATAGCTGGAAAGGCAGGCAGCCAGGCAGTGTGCGCTCCGCGTGCGCTCTCTCTGTTTGAACCGTTTTGGTAGCACCATGATGGACGGTTGAAAGCAACAGGCAACGCGACGGATATGGTTACGGTAACATATTAAGGCATCGTACCTGAAAAAAGGGAAACGGGCCCAGTTCCGGTTGGACTGACGTAAGCTGTGTTTGGACACATCAAGGAAATTGACCAACCAACTTTGGATCCGGATAAGTCAAGGGCCGTTCAAGGCTAAGACACCGCGCGAAGAGGCTTACGAGGATGAAAGGAATGTTAGTAGTCCTGGAACCTTGTCCTCGGCAACCGTTCACAGCGAAACGGATCGAGGATGGGAGACACCTGCATTCCTGAAGATCCGACATGGTAGCCCGATTGCGGAGTGATTCCCGAGTCTCCTAATGGAGGCATCACTCTGTGTGCGAGATGGGGCATCTCTTGCATCTTGGCGGATCAAAGTGGTTCTCGCTTGACCAAGCAAAGAGAACATGCAACGCTTGGAAGGTTCCTCTCGATAGTCAAGCGGAGTCGCCACCTATAACCGAGCTTCGCACAGAGGGTTGTCGTGAATTCGACTTACACGTATTTGTAGACCAGAACGGAGTTGTAAGCCAGGGAAGAGTGGGAAGGGGTGGGGGGGTATTAGCCAAGAACAACGACATTCGGCATTGGAAGGAGCAGACGGCATAGTAAATGCGATGAGATGTTTTATATGATGATGAGTCTTGTGTTGCTCAGGACTCTGATCCCGGTTTTGCCACCATGCAAAACGCCCCGACAAATGAAACATATCCAAGCTGGGTTATTCATACATGACATGATAGCCTTTGACCTTCCAGTCCCCCCTCCGCTCTCGCCATCGAGTTCCACCTTACACCTTACAGCTTCATGCCGAGAGCCTTGTGCACACGCATGCTCTGCCTGATGCTCAGGTCGAGCATAATCTCCTCACTGCCTCCAGGGATGGCGTACGCACGCACATCGCGGTACAGTCTCTCGACCTTGCCACCTTGGCCGCCGCGCGAGTATGACAGGCCACCGAAGATCTGGGAGGCTTCGCGAGCGCAGAACTCAAAGGTGACGGTGGCTTGGGCCTTGAGACTGGCAATAGCACCGCCAAGCTTGAGCATGGCCTCGGTATCTCCCATCTTCTCGCACTGATAGATGAGATTCTCGAGCCACGCGTACGAGGCCTCGATCTGGCGCGCCATGTGCGCGAGCTTGAGACGAATGACGGGGTGCTCGATGAGTTTCTTGCCAAAGGTACGACGCTTGTTGGCGTACTTGACGGACTCCTCGTAGCAGACACGGGAGAAGCGGATGCACTGGATGATGATGCCGATGCGCTCGTGGTTGAAGTTGGTCATGATAACTGGAGAAAGTTAGCAGCTGTGCATGGACACACGTGAAGCGGGTTGGAAGGGGAAAAGAAAGGGCATACCTCGGAAACCCTGGTTCTTCTTGCCGAGTAGGTTCTCGACAGGCACCTTGACATCCTCAAAGGTGATGTAGGTGGTGCCGCTGGACCAGACACCCTGGCAGTCCATGCGCCTTGTCGTGACACCTGGGCCTCTCTCGATAAGCAGCAAGCTGACACCGTTCATGCCCTCGCCGCCCGTCCGCACGGCGGTGGTGAAGTAGTCGCACCAGATGCCGTTGGTAATCCACTTCTTCTCGCCGTTGACGATGAAATGCTTGCCATCCTCGCTGAGCTTGGCTTCGCACGTCAGGTTAGCAACGTCAGAGCCGGCATCGGGCTCGGTAATGGCCAAGCAGATGCGCTTGTCGCCGTCGAGAATGCCGGGCAGGATGCGGTCGACGAGGGCCTTCTGGCCGAACTTGACCAGAGGCGGGCAGCCGATGCCGAAACCGCCAATGACGTTCCAGACGAAACCACCGGATGCGGCGCGGGACAGCTCGTCGGTCAGCAGCATCTCGTGGAAGAGGTCCCAGTCCTTAGGGTCGACTGAGGCGACGGTGTTCTTGGTGTACTGTGTCGGGTAGTGGACACCGAGCAGACCAGCCAGGTAGCCGCGCTCGCCCATCTGCTTGTAGATGGAGGGGTCGACCTCCTTCTTCTCGTCCCACTCGGTGACATAGGGCTCGACGTTGTTCTCGACCCACTCGCGGATCTCGGCGCGCAGGGCAGCATGAGTCTCATTGTAATAGGGAGTGTGGTACTGGAGAATGAGTCAGAGAGGCTTTTGCTTCCTGGAAAGAAAAGGTCTCCGGGAGTCGGACTTACGGCCTGGTACCAATTGGGGTCGGCGTAGGGAACCATATCGCCAAAGGGGTCCATGGGCTCGGACTCCTCAGTGCTGCTGGCGACGGCCTTCTTGGAGGCAGCTTTCTTGGGAACGGGAGCGGAGGCGGCGGGGGCGGCCTCGACGGGCTGGGCCTTGCTGTCGAGGGAGCCGACCTGGAGCTTGGCCTTGTACTTCTTCAGGATGCCCTCATTGTGGTACTTCCAGAACTGCTTGGAGGCGTCCTTGCCGGCGACGCGCTGGAGAATCTTCTTGCCGCCTGGAATGAATTAGAAACGGGATAGGCAGGGGAAGACGTAAGATTGCGAACGCACCAGGGTGGTCATCCTGGAACTTTGTGAGGTCGTAGACGTCCTCGTCGACGATGATGTATAAGTCCTCGGGCTTGTTGTGCGCCGCGACGTCGCTGGTCGAGAAGGTCTTGGACATTGTGACTACGGGGTGTGTGTGGGTATGGGTGTGTAGGATTCAATGCGATGTGCTGGGAGGGGCAGGCACTGTCCGAGGCAGGAGGATAGGAAAGGAGCAAGGAACACACAGTTCAATGGAAGGAAGACGAGGGGGGATAGGAATGTTTAAAAGATGTCGAGGCCGGAAGAGGTGTGCGCGAGTGGTGGCTTGTCTGGGGAAGTGTGGTGGAGTAACGAGTCGCGACGGCCATGGTCGGCAAAGGAACTGGGGGAACATGCCAGACAATCACATGCTTGCTTTCAAAGGAAAAGGTACCTTTCCTCGTCTGGGGGTGAAGATCAGGTGCAGGTGACCAGGAGAGGTACCTCCCCCCCCCAAGCTTAGTCCCCCAGGATGCGTGGACGGACACAGCCGCAGCCAGCTGGGGTGGAGCCGAAAGACAGTCTGGGGTACCTTTTGCGCCAAAAATACATGACAGAGTACCTTGGTATGTCTACAGCATCCATCCAGACCCCCAGGCGGGACCTTCTTCCTTCGCTGGGGATTTCCCCAGAAAGAGAGAGGCGACTGACTGATCGATCGTGTGTGGGTGCGGGGGAAGAGGGAAACATCTGCAGCGAACTTGTCCACTTTGGCCGTCACCGTCAATTGACACGAAGCACCTTTGTTTATTCTCTTCTTTTTTTTCTTCTCTCTCTCTCTCTCTCTCTCTTCTGGCTCGGATGTATGGCTGGTTTTGGGACAACAGCCCCGTGAATAGCCGTGGAAGGCTGTACCTACCTATTCGTTAGACTTTGGGGAAAAGGAGGGAAAAAACAAAAACAAAAAAACAGGACGATTGGATTCTGCACACTAATTTGTGTCATGTGCCCATGTGTTGTCATCCATGCTCGTGTCGCAGCTGCCAGTTTACCGGTACCTGCCTAGCGTACATACAGCATACCTACTGCGATGTACCTAGTGGTATATTCGCATGGTCTCAGAGGGAAAGAAACAGAGACAGACAGACACTTGGGTGCGACCGTCCACAACACATGTGATTGCCCACCTGCTGTTTCGGGCGTCGCATATCACCTCCTTTCGGTTGATGTCATCGAGGGGGTCTCCTGCCTTGTCCTGCCGCTGCCGTTTCTGATCCGCCAGAGTGGGTCCTTACCTCGGCATCTTTTCACTGGTGTCCGGCCAATGGGAAACACGGGGTTGGTCAGGTGAGGTGGGCCTCTGCTTCGGTGTAGCATCACCATGTACGATGTACATACATCGTGTGTCTGCCGCTATGCCTGGCCGTGCCACGGTGGCCGTGCCACGGACTCGACTCCAAGGCATCACCGCTCCCGAGATTGCTGAGCCAAACGCCGTCTGACCTAATATAATATGTAGTCGTTGACAAACTGCATGTCATGTAAGGGCATAATACTTACTACCCAGATCTTGCCAGGTGGGCACGTGGCCTTCTCCCCACCAGATAAAGACAGACACACGCCTGGCTTACCTTACCTGGATCGGGGAGACTGCATCTTGACCTTTCGTTAGAATATCAGCCATCTATCGCCAGTGGGCTGGGACATGAGGGCGTCTAGGTCGTCGCCCATAGCAGGCTTCGTCCAATGCTGGATACTAGTACCAAGCAGTGGCGTTCGGCATCTTGAATCGCCCGAGGTAATCGTCCGCCGATTCATTGAAAAGTGGCAACATAGCCAACCATAGCAAATACTACAGTACATAGTTCTCCAATCAAAAACCAAAGCAAGTCGTCTTCCCGCCTCTTTTGACCCTCCCAAACGCCGGATCCCCACGCCAAAACAGCCCACTTCAGGTATCATTCCATCGGCCACAGGTAAACCGCCTGCATATATTCCCATCTAGCATTCATCGACATCTTCCCAACCTCGCGGGGCCGACACGCTAGGCCCCGCGAGGCTTAGCCTTGGCCGCCGCCTTCTGCTTCTTCTCAACCTTTAGTTTCTTCTTCTTTTCCTCGTTCTTGGCGTCCAACTTGCGCTTGGCCGACGCTTTCTCCTCCTCCGTCTTGGGGATCACCTTGAAGAAGCCATCCAGCCGGACCTGCTGACTGCTCTTCAGGTTCTTCTCCAGCCTAGCACCCGCCGACCGCACGCGGTCCTCCGAGAAGCCCTTCTCCATGACGAGGTATTGCACCAGGCCGTCCATGTCGGGCTTCTCCCACTTGAAGTCGCACAGCGGGTCGTCCGCCGGCCGTACGTCGGGGTTAAGGAAGAGCTCGCGTGCGTCCTGGTACGGCCAATCGTCGGGGACCACATACTTCTGCTTCGGGTCGTTCTTGAATGCCTCGACAAGCGTCTCCAGGTCGCCGTGCTCGCGTATCAGTTTCAGCGCTGTCGAAGGGCCGATCTTGGGAATGGGATCGAGGTAGTCGCAGCCAAGGAGGATGCAAAAGTCGACGAACTGTTGTTGGTAATCACAAGTTAGACGGTGCACACCCCATCGGTGACTGGGCTACGACGTAACGTACCTGCTTGCGCTCCATGCCGAGGCCAGCGAGCACCTTATCAATGTGAACTTCTTGGATGGGCTCCTTGCGCGCCTCGCTGAAGGTCAAGTGGCGCAGGAGAATGGGTGTATCGAACGTGAGGGTATCCATGTCCTCGCTGGCTGCAGCGTACACCTTGCCGGCACGTGCCAAGACAGCACACTGGGCCTCAGCTTCGGTGGGAGCAACGATGTAGGGAATTCCCATAAGCTTAAGTAGCTTCTGGCAGTCGGCGTTGTGCTCGCGGGTGACTCGCACCGTCCGGCGGGAGAATTTCTCAACATCTTCGGCGGTACCCGTCTCTTTTGCCTCCTCGAGGCCCACAGTAGCTTCTTGCTTTCTCTGGAATCGCTTGGCCAGCTCGCCAGATTTAAGCTTGGGCGGGGCGCCGTCGAAGACGTAGAGGGGCTTGATGCCGTTGTCGACCATTCGGAGGGTTCGGTAGAAAAGACCCATGAGATGTGAAGTCGTCTCCCCACTCTCGTTCGTGAGCTGCTGGCCTTCGGAGCGTACGGCGATGAGGAAAGAGTAGATGCTCATGGACCTGGGTACTCGTTAGCGGGTAGGTAGGTAGGCAGGCAGCGGTAGTATTCGCTGGCATCACTCACGCGTCCTGTTTCTGCGTTAGCACATGAGTCGGCGACGAGGTAGTCCGCCGGGACTTACAATAGCGACCTTGCGGCCAAAGTGCGCCTTAATGTCCCCCTCCTTGATGGCATCAGGAGCCTCCTCCTTGATAATCTGGAAGAGGTGCTTAATACCCATCTTGCGTCACTACCTACAGGCGATGTGACTGGATTAATGCGAAGTATTTATTGGTAATGATGCGCGGCAGCGGGTAACGGGGTCGATTCTAATCAAAAAGTATGAGCGAATTGCGGCTCGGGAAAGGGATAAGAGGTAGAGGCTGAGATTTGTTGGAAAGGCTTGTCGCGAACAGTGAAGACCGGGGTAGAAGGAAAGAAAAGGGACGAGCACGAGCTCGACGCGCACCGCACTTTGACGCGCCTTCGCATTCGAGTTTGCCCCGCCACGCGTTTAATTGAATAGCACTGTCACCAGCTGGCAGCAAGCGTTTGCCAACTCGACCCTTTGGCAATATCATGACTATTGAGGCCATTGACCCAGCGTATCTATCCTACATGATAGGTGGTCGTTTGTATACAACTTGGTAGACCTCGAGGAAATTCATGCAAAATCGGTTTGTTGTAACCTTCGCCGTATCAAACAACCGCGCTCAGCGTCGGATTCAAGCACATATCATGGCCTCCGGAACTTGTTGTTTGAGACAGCGGGCAGTGTCAATTGTGCACCCCCTCCCCCTCCGCAACACTTTAATCATTCATTCATTTGGCGTAAACGGCGAGGTCCACGGCTGCCTAGTTTACTGTAATCTGCGTGGCGTAGCCACTGTTAGGAACTAAGAGGTAGTTGTGGTCGTTGGAGCACCGAACCGCGATTTTCATATGCATAGGAAACATCCGAAGGAATGGTTGGCTAGATGACTTTGACATCAGCGGAGCTGTCTCGTTCTGGCAACACAATGCGTTTAGCCACAGCCAGACGAGGCCACACCCTAGGTTGCGCTGGCAATGCATGTCAGCATTTGGGACAAATCATCTCCGAATCTCGGACTGGCTGACGGGAACCAGCCCCTCCATGACTGCAACAGCTCGCTAGCGGCAAGCGGCATGCCCAATTGCTCGGCCCTAAATCCGATGACTTCTCACTCGAGGCTGCCGCCTGGCGGTGAACTCCCGCAGTTTATCATCTTGTCGAACGTCTATCTAGGCTGTCTCGAGGGTTGCAGCCAGGCCTCAATGTCAACTGGATCTATTTACCCGACTAGCGGGATGCAATCGATCATAAACTATTAACACGGCGACATCATCTGGGTATAGCTGCATTAATATCTTACCAGACTCCATCAATCTTGGCTAAAGAGAGAGACACGCAACAGCCCAACGTCTCTTGAAAGGTATCATCCCATCTTCACGATGATCATCCCCAATCTGGAGGTAGTATATCCTACAAACATCACTATCGCACCACCAGGATGGCGGCCAAAAGTAGAGTGAGTAGAGATCTTGATCTTGACGGGTCTCGAGCCTTGTCCAACGTGACATAGCATCATCTGCATCCACGATTTGGGTGGGTCTCCCAAGGAGACATGGCACCACGATGAGTCTGGCAAGACCTGGATATCAGATCCCGACTTTCTTGGAAGCTTCAACGATTCGGTACGAATATGGGGCGTATGGATACAATTCTGAGCCTGCGGCCAACATGACGCCTGCCAGCATTGCACTTCATGCCGACGACCTTCTGGCATCCATGATGAATGGATATAGGGAGTAAGGTGTACGTATAGATGTTCCACGCCAGTCAATCCTGGATCCTCATTTCTCTGGTTCTAGGGTGGCCCTACTATATTCATAGCCCACGGACTTGGAGGAATCATAGTCAAGAAGGTAAGCTCAGAAGATCCTATCACATCTTTCACATCTGATGTAACTTCTGGTCAGGCAGTTGAGCTGTACACATACTTTCTGGAGCACTTTGTCATCAAGGACCTCGCAGCGGGCATCATCTTCTTGGGCACTGTCCATCATCAAACCGATTCCGAAGGTGTTTTTAAGGCAGTGAAGGCAACAGTGACGGCCGGTTTAACGAAGGACTCAACGGATCCGCCAATGGATGAGATAAGGCAGTTTTCAGAAACTGTTAGGGAAGTCAACAACAAGTTGCCAACAAGACTATGCCCCGTTTCCTGATCCTTAACTGCCTTGCCAAGCGTTCAATCAAGCTTACCGCCGATGACGGTACATCTTCCAGAAAGCGAGTGCGTAAATTGTCGACTAGCTTCGCGTTGGTACTGTTGCTGACGAGTAGGCCCGATCGTTTCCGGGAGATGCGGTGAGCTGAACTCTGGCAACGTCAAGAATGTGTTTTTGGACTGCAATCATTTCGAGTTGACACGGATTCCTTCGCCATCAAGCCAGGCCCATAGGATTTTGACCGAGAACATTGATGACATGACACAAAGCATCTTGGCACAAGATAAGAGAAGGGTCATTTTCTCGTCACCACCGCCAGAGCCACTGAACACGGCCGGTCCGTTGCCACCATCGGCGCCGGGTCATGGTGGGTGCACTCATATGGAGGAGGGTGATTTAATTAGAAAGCACGAAGCTAACCCATTGTACCGTAGAAAAGCTTGGAAGGTCGTCACATATGCCTAAAGGTGGGATCATTCCTGGCCCACCGCAGCGGGTCATAGACACGGAGTCATTCAAGCTGTGGGCGAGGAAAAGAGATGCTGGTGAGTTCTCACTCAACTATCCTAAACTAGCCTGGGTTCTAAGGGTAGTTGCATAAAACGGAGCGAAGTATCGAGAAACACTTCTTGAAAAACTCGGCACATGGGACCAAACACATCTCGGCCATGATATCTATCCTATACCCGGAACATGCACCTGGATAAAATCAGACCCGACTTTCAGGGACTGGCTGAAGTCAAACAGAACCGATGATACGTACGTCTTTGGAGGATCCAGATGTGGCAAGACGTATCTGGAAAAGTTTATTGCCAACTACTTGATTGGGGATCGCCCTCGACCATCTCCAATATATGGTAACGTGGTGCTTTCGTTCTTTTGCAACGTGAGTGCAACGGGGAACAAACAACATCCAATTTTGGAGTACTTCATCAAATCACTCTTGATGTCTACCGTTTGGTTCGATTCATTATCCTCCCAGTTTTGATATCTCCAAGAAGATCGCGAAAAGCTTGATCTCGCTTCACTCTTCGAAATCCTACGCCAGTTCATGACAAGGCATCAACCGACCATGGGGCCTCCAAGAACAACAGCAGTCTTCTTGATCATAGACGGACTTCAGGACTGCGATATTATATATGTTCGAAATTTTTTGCATCTGGTTGGCAGCCTCGTCGACAGCCCTCCCTTTCGAGGACCACCGCCTCCGGGGCCGGTTGGCCCAGCCCAACACTTTGCTCGAGAAACCGTCAGGTTTAAGTTCTTGTTTACGCATTCTCCAAACGAAATATTCTCTCTGGCATCTTCTCGGGCAGTCAGAATCAGAATGACTGACGTAGATGTAGAAGAGAACATCAGCAAGTTCATCGATGTGGAGGCGGAAACAATCTTCAAGGCCAAGAAGCTTAAACAGTCTCCTGAAGAAATATGCTCATGGATAAAAGGCAAATCAGGAAACTTTTTCTTCTTTGCAAAATTCTTCCTGCAAAACTTCGTTGCGACGGTGGAGGATGCGGATGCCTGCAAATACTCCATGACCACAATACTGCTCCCATGCCTGGAACTGCTTAGACAGTACTACGGCTACGAACTCCTTCCGATGTTCCAGAACATCGACAATCAGAACTATCTTCTTTCGATACTACAGATTGTCATCAATTCCAAGTCATCAACCAGTACGGAAGAGATAACAGACGCTATCGCCTGCTTTCACGACGATTCTCGTTTGAGGCGTCTTGACATTCGCAGTGTTCTCCAGCAAAAATGCCCACGGCTTATCCATGTTGACGACAATTCCGAACTCCATATCACACACCAATCGTTCTGTTCCCACTTCATGTGTTACATAAACAAAGAACAACAACACGCTAATATGGCTTTTCTATGCCTAAAGTATCTTTCGCAGCCCATCTTTGGACGCGATTGTAATGATTCACCAACGGAGCTACCTAGGCATCACCCGTTCTATAATTATGCGGCACGTTGGTGGGAAGATCATTTCCGTCTCTCGGACAGAGAGGGAACGAAGCTGTTGTCCCAGCTTGGCTATTTCATCACCTCCCCATGCTACAATGCCTGGTCCTCACACCGGTCTTGGAATATTGCGATAAATCAATGGGCTCGCAAAACTCCAATGTACAATGCGATTATGTCGAATCCCTGGATTCCCCCGGCTATCACTCTCACAAAGGCCAATGCCGGCCATCTCACTAGCGAGCTTCAGGCAACTTACGGCATGGTTGAACCTAAGTCTAGGTCATGGAAAGACAATTCATCAATACTAGTCGCGAAATTTATGCACAGGTTTGATGTATTTCACGGCTTGAACAGACTGCTTGAGAACGCTCATCCCGAGCCGGACTTTTCTGTACGAGATGCGGCCGGCCACACACCTCTGATGGCGGCAGCGATGGTGCCAGACGGCTTGCCTGACATGATTAAATTTTTCCTTCGAAAGACTCAGGATGTCAATGAACGAAGCTTCGTCCACGGGGATCCAGCACTCTTGCTTCTCTGCAGGTTTCTGGACCTGCGTCATGACTTTCTCTTCGGTGATATGCTCTCCCTATTCCTCGCCGCGGGGGCAGACCCCAACATATCTGGGCTCGACGGAAATACATGTCTTTTGGAGGCATGCGAAAGGAATTCGGTAACAATGATATAACTATTGCTCGGCGCCGGCGCAAGCCCCAATGCTTCGACTATTGACGGAAACACCCCGCTTCGCGAAGCATTGATGAACTCAAATGTAGCAATCGTCAAAAGGCTGATCGGACGCGATGTTGACTTGGATATGAAGTTTCCCTGGCCGAGTGACCAGACGCCTCTGACATTTGTCATCATCAAACACAACTTTAACCTTTTCAAGCTGCTTTTAGACACATTGGACGACATCAATCAACTGGATGGCGCGGGATTCGCAGCCATACATATATTAACAGCACCGGACTATATCGAGTGGCTTCCTCACCTTCTAAAAAGACCTGATGTAGATCTCGACCTTCTCTCGAACGGGTTGGAAGACGATCGCAAAAGAGCCCTACGCCGGACCCCGCTAGGCTTCGCAATCTTCCATGACAATTTCAAAGCTGTTGAGATGCTTCTCGAAGCAGGTGCCAATCCTTGTCGCTGCCCGGGAACAACCGATGATACCCCAGTCTACATGGCCGTGAAGGTTGCTAGGACAACAAATTATAAAAATAGGTGAGTGAGCCATGATTTGAAACATGTCGCAATGTCTGTGAAGACTATCACATGTTTGTGTAGAAGACCCTAGGCTGAATTTATGACAGCAAGCATGACAAGAGCAAGTTCGACAAGAATGGCAACGTCGATATTTTGGAGTTGCTATTATCGTACCAATCCCCTATCAATACGTTGTTGAACCACAAGTCAAAGGAGTACGCAAAGTCACCGTTGAGATTGGCGGTGCACTTGGGGGACCAGAACATGGTCGAGCTTCTCCTACGACACGGGGCTGACCCCACACTGGAAGAAGCCTACGGACTTCTTGGTCCTCTAGATGCTGCTATTGTTCACGGCGATGAAGACATCACTATCATATTGGTCAAGACTCTTCTTGACAACGAATTGCCCCCCAGCATCAACTACCTGCCGGAAGACAATAACCATGCCGATCATGTACTCAGTGCAGCGAGTGAGCTGAAACCGGCGCTGGTCCAGCTTTTACTTGACTACGGCGCTGACATGAAGTGATTTTTGCCACCGCCTCCACGTTGTAATTCAACGCCACTGATTTGTGCGGTGAGAGAAAACAATGTCGATATTTGCAAGGTGCTCGTAGAGCATGAACCCGGCTTGGTCAACTGCCAGTTCGAAGAGGGACTTGTATGCGAAGCACCAATACACTTGGCCGCCAGAGAGGGACACAAGGACATAGTCCGCTATCTTCTCGACGTAGGTGCCACGCCCGATCTTCTCTCATATCATTGGCACGAAACACCGTTCTGGTCCGCATGCTACAATGGCAAACTCGAAATCCCCCAATTGCTCTACGACAAGTCTCCAAAGACCCTCGACACCACATCCTACGACGGCAGCACTCCCCTCATCGTCGTATGTGACACTGGAAACCTGCAACTGGTGAGATTTCTTCTCGAAAAGGGGGCCGACGCCAAAGCAAGGCGCTCCACAGGAGAATCGTGCGTCCATAGCGCGGTGTCGAAGGACAACGGCGCTGCGCACAAAATCGTCGACCTGCTGATTCAACACGGGCTCGGTATCGACGACGTTGTCAGCGCGATCGGCTTCACCGTCCTCGGCGAGGCTTGCAGAGTTGGCGATGCCCAAACTGTCTGGATGTTGCTCGAGAAAGGAGCAGATCCGTCCAAGGGGCAAAAGCCGCCCGGAAACACGTCCGGGGCCTGGCGGTCTGCTTTGCATGTTGCGGCTATTGGTGGACAACCCAAGATCGTCGAAATCTTGCTTCAAAGTCCTCAGCTGTTCTCGTTTGTCGAAAATGTCGATTATTACGGGGACAACGTCTTGCATTTGGGTTCCCCAGGATCTTCCGCCAAAGCCTACGAGATCACAGACAAGATATATAGAGCCTGTCAGAGGCTCGAGTCAGAAACGGGAATCGACCACTTCCCGGCAATGCTTGCCGTCGAGACCCGTGGTTTGCACACGCTTATAGACATTGCAATGGGAAGCCTCCACAAGCGCTTAAGTGACGAAGCTCTGGCAAAGACTGACGAAATCATCCGTCAGTACGTCGAAGAGCTGACCACGGGGGACCAGAGAACCGTTTTCCACCCCAAACACCTCATGAGCGATCTCTCTTTTCTTCTCCTACAACGAGACGGATACGATCAGCAAGCCGTTAGGCTACTACAGACTTTGACCATTGATGTGTCAATTAAAGAGCTGAAGGATCGTTTCATTGATACGGCGGCATGGACGATATGCTGCGAAGTCTGCGACGGCCCCGGCGGCCCCAACGAAGACGACGACGACGATGAGAAAGAGGTCATTTGTTTCTGCCGGTTCTGCCGCCTCATCGTTTGCCAAAGTTGTGTTGATAAGACTGAACGAGGCCATGGGATTGTCCCTATTCCCATGGTGAAAGATAGGAGGATGATGGATTTCAATTCCGAAGAGATCAATCGGGTTCTTAATATCCTGAAAAATTATTTCGTCATCCGGAAGAAGCCTGTGCTCGATATCAGTGCTTCGGCTGCTTCTTTCAAGGCGGACGCCAATTCTGACAATACGACACTCTCACTAGCTTCACTTCATGCTTTCGGATACCTCGAGTTCCGACGCCGAGCCTGGAGTCCATACTTGCCTCTAGCTGGAGTAGTATACAAAAGAATCAAGCCATGGGAGGCAGTAATCGAGGTTCCCAGACGAGACTTCCAGGAATGGATGTGGCACACAGAGACATTTTCATTCAGATTGCGTAACGAGATTTACTATTTCCTGGAATCTGGGAAACGAATGGCGTATAGTGACTTGGAGGCTATTCAAAGGGAGCAGGTCATTAGAGATGTTTCAGGATTGTTTACTCGGCAAGGGAGGTCTCAAATTGATGAGCGGGTTCCGACTCGGGCTAGAGGCCAAAGACAGACGAAGGAGTTTGACAGTCATTGAAATCAGGTGTGCTCTAGAGGGAGGTCCTGGTTTTGAATGGTTCAGAAAGCTACGGCAAATAACAGAGAGTGAATATAAAATTGAACTAGTTGTGCGCACCTGTCGCCGCTCCTCGTATCAAGTCAAACCTCTCAACACCCAGATACGCGAGCAGATTCTGTAGCTCGGCGATGAAAAGCTCAACTGTCCAAAAGTCTTCGTCGCCAATCTTAGAGGGGAAACGGGTAGATCCGCCGCAGCCTATCTGGTCGTAAAGAATGACGGGATTCTGAGTGAGGGCATGGTAGCGACTGAAGAGTGGGGTGAGGTATACATGCGGTATACCGGGGCCACCATGAAGAACGACGATGGGAGTGGCCGAGGAGGAAAGGCCACCCAGGACGCGATAGTATGTTTCGGAGTGACAGGATGGTGGAATCGAGGGGTGTGAAAACGGTACTTTGCCTTCTTTTGCCTCGAGAATAGTCATATTGGCCTGGTATCAGAGAAGCTGTAATGAGAAGCAATTCAATATGACAAACGATGCTGACAATGCTGACAGGAAATGAGTTACTGGAGTCAGGTTCGTCACCCCATGTGACAAGTCAGCTGACTTGTATCAAGCATTTCAATCAATCTTATTAGACGTGGTTTGAATTTGCTACCAGCAACACAGCGGCAATAAATCAATAATAGTGAGTTCTTCTAAGTAGAGAATAAAACCTATACACTGTTGTTAGAGGCAGGGATAGTATTAAGTAAAGGAGTTAGTAATAGGCGTAGTTAGGGTTTAATTATAATAATTATTCTAATATACCTCCTCTAACCCCTATCTTCTATAGAGTTTTCCCCTTTTATTATTCCTTTAGTAACTAGTTTATTTAGTCCTAGTCTTACTTTAGTGCCCCCCTAAGGCCCTGCTTTAGGCACTTAATATAATCCCCCCCCTCTAAGGTCCTACCCTTAGGACCTTAAGTAGGCTATCTACTAGTAGCCTCCCTATTAGCTACTTAGACTATTTAATAGCTAAGCCTTACGCCTAACTCCTAATCTCTTAGGGCCTTAAGCTAGCTACCTGCTAGTAGTCTTCTTATTAGCTGCTTAGACTATCTAATAGCTAAGCCTTACGCTTTATACTTATCCTTTAGTATTTTAAAAGACGTTTAAGAACACCTACTAGGCCTAGTAAGCTACTAGATAAGTAGTTATCTCTCTAGCTAACTATTTACTTTTAGCCTTACTTTTATACTATTATATTTTAGCTAGGCCTTAACTACTACCTTTTTAGTATAGTTTAGTCTTTTAGCTTAAAGTATAAGTCTTATGTTACCTTACTTAGTAAAAGACTACTTACTTTATAATAAGGACACCTTATTTACTTATAATACCTTTTAATACCTTTTATTAACTAGGCCTTATAGTATTTTTTTAAGTACTATATACTTTTTATTATTTTTATTATTATAATATCTAGCTTTTTTATTAACTATTTATTAAGCTTTAAGTTATATTACTTTTATAATAAAAAAAAATCCTTATTTTACTTTTTATAGTTAGTATTAGTAACCTTTTAGTCTTAGCTAGTTTTTCTTACTAAGGCTTATTTAGTCTTAACTTTATAAACTTAAGTTATTATTATAACTAGCTTTTTTTTTAATACTAACTTAAAATAAGTAATTTAAATTAACTTAGGTTTTTATTAATTTCTTTATTACTTATTTTTTTTTTATAATACTTTTATATTATTATTTTTTTTTATTATTACTATTACTATTACTACTTAGTAGTAATAGTAATAGTAATAGTACTAGTAATAGCACTAGTACTACTAGCTTTTTTACTACTACTATTATATTTACTACTACTTTTACTAATACTACTACTACTACTAATACTACTACTTTTACTACCCTTAAGAGCACTAAAGGCCTTACTACTACTTACTTATTACCTCTTTAGTCTATTAACTTTTTAAATAAAAAAAATAAAAATAACTATACTATAGTTTATTTTATTTTATATTACTACTACCTTTAGGCTATATTTATTTAGTATATAAATATAGCTAACACTAAGGCTAAGTTTTTTTACTACCTTAAGACTACTAGTAAGTATTTAACACCTTAGTACTTTTTAAAGGCCTTTTTTTACTTATATTTTAGTCCTAATTATACTATTAGCTACTAGTAATAAGTACTTTTAGTATACTAAAATATATAGTAAAAAGTATATTTATATAAGTATTTTTATATTATTATCCTTTTTTTACTAGTAAGAAGTACTTTAGTAACCTCTTACTAACCCCTTATAAGCTACTTATACTATAACCTTTACTACTTTTACCCTTAAGAATATTTTTAAGGCCTTTTATTATAATAGTACTATATATACTAACTACTACTACTATAAAGTATATCTTTTTTAGTACTTTATAACTACCTCCTAACTAACTTCTTATATAAAAAGAGGTTACTACTACTTAGACTATAGTTAAAAAAGCCTTTTAAAAAAAAGTAAATACTACTAAGGCCCCTAACGCTAAGTATAAGGCTAAGGCTAAGGAGGAGAAGTAGCTTTTTTATAGCTATAAGGTTATAGCCCTTAAGGCCTCTACTATTACTACTACCTCCCTAGCTAAGTTAGCTAAAGTAGCTACTATAGCGCTTTAGTGCTAGAACGTACTTCTTAAAGAGTAGACTAAGGCTATTAAGGCTTAAGGTGCCTTTTTCTTTAAGTAGGCTACTACTTACTCTTAGGTTATATATTATTTCTCCCTTTAGTAACCCCTTATTACTTCTTAGTTACTAACTTTTATTTTAGTACTTTACTAACCTTAACTTTTAGTTTAAAGGTAATATAGCCTTTAGTATACTTAGTAAAATTAAGGATAAAAAAGAGGAGTAGGCACTACTACCCTCTTAGTGCTTCCCCCCTTAGGCCCTTTTTTAGTTTTATTTTCTTTTTTCTAGCTATTATAGCTTTAAATACCTAGCCTTTAGGCTATATACTTTCTAGCCTTAGTACTAAAGAATAATTAAAAAAATCTAGCTTTTTAAGCTAAATACTTACTTTTACTTAGTGTTTTTTTTATACCTCTTTAGTAACCTCTTACTTATAGTCTTACTATAAATCTTTAGATATATTTCTTTATAGCTTTTATAAATTTTCTTTTTTATTATATTTTTTTTATTTAATAAGATACTACTTATTTTACTATAGTCTTTTATATACTACTATTTAGTCTACCTTATATATATTTTTTTCTTTTTTTTTAATTTAAATAAGCTAAGGCTTTACTAGTGCTCTCTTAAACTTCTTTAGCTAAGATAGTAAGAATATATTATAAATATAATACTTTATCTTTATATCTAGCTTATAGGCTTTCTTACTAGTAACTACTTATATTATTATAAAGGGTTTAAGATACTTATTTACTAGCTTTTTTAATAGTTATTTTTACTTAATAAATTTAGCTAATAATAAGACTTTCTCTCTTACTTTAAACTTAATATTTTTTTTTTTTAGTTATACTACTTCTTATAAGTCTAGCTTATAGACTTTAGTATACTAATAATAGTAGCCCTCTAGCTTCTTAGCTCCTTAACTTTTCTATAGGCTATAAGGACCTTTACTAGTTTCTATCTTATTAGTTTTATATTATAGGGGTTTTATAAGGCGTAACTTATAAGGGCTTCTACTAGTAATACCTTAGTTACTTTATATTATACCTTATTATAAATAAATTCTACTATTAGAAGCTATTTAACTTAATTATTTTACTTTATATTATAAAAGGCTTATAAGAAGTGTTTTATATTTTAATTTTATTACTTTATCTATTTATCTATTTAGGGGTAGTAAGTAGTACTAAGTTTTTACTTAATAGCTAGCTAGTAGTATACTATTACCTAGAAATAGCTAGTAAATAAGAATTTTCTATTTAATATTATTACTATAAAGATACTAAATCTTAAGAACACCTTATTTACTAAGAGGGTTACTAATTAGTCTACTATAATAGTTTTTTAGGTAAGTAAGTAAATAGTATACTTTATAAGCTTATTTACTACTACTAGAATACTATTATACGCCTTACTATTAAAGCCTTTTAACTTTAGTAGCTTTATAATAAAGTCTATAGTTATATATTTTTATAGCTAGCTAAGTACTAGTAAGGGTACTAGCTTCTTATATAGTAAGTAGTACTTTAGTTTAGTTTACTAGTATATTATATAAGTCTTTATTTACTTCTTAACGTTTTTTTTTATTAACTTTTAGAAATATATTTATTTAATATATTTAAGTATATAGTTTACTTTTAGGTAACCTCTAGCTAGCTTATTATAAAATACTACTAGTAACTTTATCCTTACTATATACTTATTAAAATAAATAGTCTTTTATTATACTATAGTGCTTTATTTTTTCTTTTTATTTATTAACTACCTAGTTATTACTACCTTTTTAATTAAGCTTACTTATTTATTAGTTATACTATAATAATTTTATCTTTTAAGTTAGTAGTAAGTTATCTTTAGTCTAGTAACCTAAGACCTAGTAACTTATTACGTCTAAACGTTATAACTTATTTCCTAAATTTACTAAAGAAATTTACTAAGAACGCGCTATATACTTCCCTCTCCTCCTCCTTAGTAGGCTAGTAGTCTAGCTATTATAAAAGCCTATCTACTATATTATCCTTTTTAAGCTAGTACTTAATCTTAAAGTTAAATAATAATAGATCTTATACTAGCTAGGCCTAGTAACTATTAAGTTAGGGCTTAGTAGCTAGGTAGTAGTGCCTTAAATAGTTTATTAAGAACACTATTTAATATTATATATATAGTAAGTAGTATTTTTAGTAAATTACTACCTTATAGATTATAAGTAGTTCTACTTTTAGTGCCTTATAATAAAGTTCTACTTCTTATAGCTTTTATAATATAAAGGCTACTAGGTGCTATACTCCCTTATAAAGCTAGTATATTACTATACTAATTATAAAGTTAGATATATTTATCTTAACCTATATAAGTAATTTAAGGTTAAAATACTAAAGGATTAAGGCCTAAGTAAATAAGGCATAAAGCTTATAAAAAGCCTCTTTTACCTCTTATATTATTATTTACTTTCTTACTACCTTAGATATTAGCTTATCTATTAAAGGTATATATACCTTAAAGTAGTTTTTAATAAATTACTAATAAAATCTTATAAACCTTAGGAAAACCTAGATCTCCCTAACGCTAGTAAGGAGTAGCTACTTTACTATTACCTATACTTACTTATACTTTATAGTAATCCTTTTATTAGACACTATAAAACCTAGGAACCTAATAGACTAGGTGTAAAAAATATACTTCTTAAGGTTTATATATAGCCCTATAGCGTCTAACTAGCTTAGTACTTACTTAACTACTTCTATATAACTTTCTTTATTTTTTATAAAGATTAAGATATTATTTAAGTAGATAATATATATAATATCTACTAGCTTAGTAAAGATATTATTAATATATACTTAGAATATTACTAGCATATTAACTAGCCTAAATAGTATAATATAATATTTAAAGTATTTATAATAAGTATAAAAGGCTATCTTCTATTTATTACTTACCTTAATTTTTACCTAGTAATATATATCCTTTAAGTCTAGCTTTATATACTACTTTACTTTTACTAAATAGTTAAGGATCTTACTAATAAGGGGTAGTAGTATATAATTCTTAATAGTTACTTTATTAAGCCCCCTATAGTCTATATAAAAATATAGCTTACCTTTTTTTTTAGGAATAAAGAGGATTAGTACCCCTACTAGGCTTATAAAGTGTTTAATTTAGCCTTTCTTAAGTAACTTATTAATATATATCCTTAATTCTTTTAGTTTTTTCTTAGCTAATAAGTAAATAAGGCTAAATAGCGCTTTTACCTTTAGCTCTAAATTAATTATATATAAGTAGCCTTTATTAGCTACTAGCTAGGCTCCTAGGCCTATATTAAATATATATACTTATTCCTTATAGGCCTTTAGTAAGGTAGCCTTTATTTCTTTATCTTATTTAGCCTCTACCTCTTCTCTTTAGTTATAATAAGGTATCTTTAGTGCTCTCTTATCCCCTTTATATTATAGGTAGTAAATTATTAGTTAATAAGCTAAAATAGCCCTTAACTTTTTATATACCTTTTTAATTTCTTACTTATTTTAAATAAGTTAGAGGTAGTTTTTTTTTAGTAAGTATATCTAACTAATTATTATTTACTTTATATTTAGTTATACTACTTATTTTTAAGAGATCCTTAGGATAGTATTATACTTAGCTATATTACTAACTTAGAAGGTATAGCTTTACGTCCTTAAGACCCTTATATTATTTATAACTTTTATTACTACTTTTTTTATTTTATAGTCTAAGGCCTTACCTCTTTATATACCTTAAAGCATTAGGCCCCTCTAGCTTACCTCTACTAGTACCTCTATATATAATATCCTTTAGTGTAGTATATTCTTATTTATACTAAGATTAATTAGCACTTTCCCTTTTTTTTATATACTACTTATTTTAGTATAAAAATTTATCTTAAAGTAGTAGTATAGTCCTTTATTTTAAGGGAGCTTAATACTATTAACTCTTATTAGCACTAAGGCGTATTATCTCCTTAAGTGTTATAGTTATTTATACTTATAGTACTTCTCCTTACTATACCTAGCTAACTAGTGCCTAGGCTTCTTATAGTTATAATAAATAGGTAGTCCTTAGGTTTTTTCTAGCTAAGGTGTTATACCTTTTTTTTTTTTTAACCCTTAGCTTTAATATAAGTATACTTACTAGTATTATAGCTATTAGTATTAAGTATATACTAATAGCTTTAGTTAAAGGGGTATTTATAGTTATTAGTTATACTACTACCCCTTAGTAGCTTTTTTTTTTTAACTTTACTTTAGCTATCCTCTTAATACTTTTTTTATATAGGTCTTAGTAAGTGTTTTTACTTTTTTTACTATATTATTTAACTTCTAGTAGGTAGCTAGTAGCCCCTTAGTAAGTATATAAGTCCTTAGGTCTAAAAGCACCTAGTTTAAAATATAAACTACTTACTACTTTTTTATTTAAAAGTTAAAGTACTTCTTCTTAACTATTTTATACTTATTAATAAATTATTAGTATAACTAGCTTAAGGCTTATTATATAGTATTTAGCTTTATAGTAGTACTAAAAGCCTATATATTATTATTAGTAATATTTACTTTTAGTTAGTTTTTTATAACTTCTTAAAGCACTTTACTAATCTTACTTTTATAATAAAAACCTATATACTTTTTTTATTTATATACTAAGTTACTTTTTAGTATAATATTAGTATATTTTACTTTATTATTATTAGTTATAAACTTATTTTTTATTATATTAAAACGTATTTCTAACTAAAATAAAAATTCTTATAGTTTATTTTAGCTTCTTTTTTTATACCTTAAAGTAAGTAATCCTTTTAAGAGTATATTAGTATAAAGTTACTTAGTCTTTAGTTAGAGATTAGTAGTTATTTTTATCTCCTCTTATATATCTTTTATAAATATACTACTTTAAAAAGCCTTAATTTAATTAATTATCTTTTTTTTTTTACTTTTTTTACTTTTTCCTCTAGAAAAGCCCTTAGCTCTTCTTCTAATAGCTTACTTAAGTTAATAGTATACTACTTATCTACTAGTATAAACTTAGTTATATTAGGCGTTAGTTATTTTATTATAGTACTCTTTTATTACTAGGCTATAGTTTAGGATCTAGTAGGCACTATTACTACTTTAGTAGTTAATATACCTAAAGATAAAAAGATATTAAAATATATTAGAAGTAAGGATAGTATTAAGTAAAGGAGTTAGTAATAGGTATAGTTAGGGTTTAATTATAATAATTATTTTAATATGCCTCCTTTAACCTTTATCTTTTATAGAGTTTTCCTTTTTTATTATTCCTTTAGTGACTAGTTTATCTAGTCCTGGTCCTACTCTGGTGCCCCCCTGGGGCCCCGCTCCGGGCACCCGACAACTGTGTAGAAGAGTTGATGACTGGGGCCCACCCATCAAAGTGCCAGGTTGTACTTTTCAGAAGTCTTATATTTAAAGGGAGCACGCGTGACGCAATATTCTGCGGGTTGGCTGGAGTCGGGTTCATTGATTGCCAACTTTCAAAATTCCCATCATGTACCATATACGTTTGTTCCAAGCCAAACTATCACAATATTCCATTGGAACTGGACAGAACTGAAAACTCCGCCGCAATCAGCTCATCCGGCAAACTAGCATGTGTCACTTTTTGGTATGGGAAAACAACAGGTGCAACGGCTGTGGTGAGTGCTTCGACCGCAAGCTAACATCTTGGAAATATGTAAAGTTAAGGACCAACCAGCCAGCCAAATTTCTAATGCCAGGGATGCCTTCTTGCCGAAATGTCGTGAGATAAACCTAACTTCTCGGCCGAGGATGACGAATATTACAACGACGATCCAGAAAATTGAGATTATGACGGGGCCAAGGTTGACAAAGATCATTCCGATGATTGGTGATGCGATGGCTTTGATACAGACAGTGAAATTGGCGTTCCAAGGAGGATGAGGATGTCGAAGAGTAAAATCAAAAGTCCAGGCTGGAACAAAGCTAGCAGTTAGTTGGAAAACGAACGCAGGAGCCGGGGAAGCAGAATAACCTTATTCAACTAGATACAGAACACAAACAATGGAAGGTGGTCAGCTCGTATGTTTGACGAACATTACAAGTTGATTGTCTTGATCCTCGACTGCTGGATCAGTTTGTAATATCGAACAACTTGCAAGCCCTAGTATCAGTGACTTCGATCATCTGAGCTCAAAGGCTGAGTGTATTAGAGAAGAAGCATGGGCGCTTTTGTTCAAATAGTCATATTGTTTCCTGAAGATTGGAGAGTATCTGTTATGAATTGAATTGTCTTGGGTGGCACGTTCATTAACTGAAAGACGCGACCCAGGAACGCCATTGTCTTTACATCTAGCTTACTGAAATATTCACATAGCCAGCCATTTGTGTCTTTGTCTATATGAATGAAAGGGAATCTACTGGATAATACGACGAACAAAGTAAGGGCACATTCTTGCAAGATCTGTAGTCGTTGAAAATCTACAAAAGAAGACCGATCGCATCACTCAAGCTTATTTCCAGTCATCATCGAAAGCTCATTCACTCATCCCCCTTTGTTTATAACCTAAATTACTGCACATTTCCTGTCGAGTAATCGTTCAAGCTCTCTTACAACAAGCAGAATGGGCTCCAAGAATATTGACAAACAGCCTCTCCTCGCTAAGCAGCCTTCCGCGGCCATTTCAGCAAGCCGTTCCAAGGCTCCGAGCACAACCAATCATCTGAAGAGCTTCAAGCTTGGAAGCGAGCATGACAGCGCTCTCCAGGATACTTCTGAGGACCCAGAGATCAACAATACCGTGGAGGATGACAACTTAGCTGACATGAGCTACGAAGAGCTCGAAAGTCTAGAGCACCGAATTTTCAAGAGAATGTACGCGGATCGCAACAACAGGATCATAGAGATTTTCTTCTCTCGCTGGGGCAACAAAATTCAGGGCAATAGGTCCAAGAAAGCTCGCCGGCAGGCTAAGCATCTCCGTGCGTCGCGGGAGGAGAAGATGAAGATGGTCCCACAGGAATTGCAAAGTCCACTGTTTCAGGAAGAGATGTGAAGAGTACATAGGAGTACGACAGTATAATTAAGCAACGGTGCTTGGTAAAATGGTTGCGGAAAACACAACAATTATCTTTTTTGCACCCTCCATGTGATGACCAATAGGAAAACGTTCATATCCTGAATCAACGATATACATATGGCTGCAGATCATAAGGATATTTCACCCATGCCATCTCCGCGAACCCCCTTGCGCCTCCTGACTGGTTGAGCCCACCACGAAAGTATGGGCCCCGTTATTGCCAAGTTAGCGCTCAGTTGGAAGACCGCTTGATGTTTTGTTTGTGCAGGGCTTTAACTTCCTCATCCAAGCCAGGGATTGGACCTTGAAACGGGATATTTGGCGCAACCTCGTTGATTGGAAGTGGCTTGACCTTGGCCCCTCTCTCAACACCGAACTCTTTCAGCCAAGCCGAGAATTGCGCGCTTGAAGAAACAAAGACAATGGGGCCCAGGCCAACCCAAGCATGGGCAGCTGCGCACATCGGGCAATGTTCGCCCGAGGTGTAGACTGAAGCCTTTGCCCGCTCCTCCGCACTCAGGTTCAGCTGCGCCCAGTGGGCAAGGGTGAACTCGGGGTGGAGAGTGCCGTCGCGTCTTCCATCTCCGGACTCGCCCGTGTTGACGCGGTTGCGGTCTTCTCTGATTATGCTGCCGTTTGCGCCGACAAGGACAGAGCCGAATGGGTCATCGCCTGCATCGAGAGCTTCCTTTGCGAGCTCGATGCAGCGTCGGAGGATCTTGGGGTCTGGATCAGAGGGCATTGTGCAGCTTCAGGCTTGGTACAGGGAAAAGTTGGAATCAGTTTGTGTCGATGCCGTGTGATCTCCAATCCGTAGAAAGGAGGGGATGGCAAGCTGATGTAAGAAGTAAGAAGTGGTGATGCAGGAGAAACTTGGAGTCATTATCTGGCGGGGCGCGGAGGAACATTGTCCCAGATAAGAAAAATTGCCCTCAGAATTCTTTCCAGTTTGTGCAGTTTTGACTCTCTTGAATCGGACTTTGGGAGGTATACGATAACAATATGAAATGATGCAACGATATCGGTGCCTGTCATCCTCGCGCTTCTGCAATAAAAGCTCACTAAATCGATGCATCCAAAGGCATTAGCATTGTGTGTAATTACTCCACCGACTCCTAATATGCTGTTCTATGCACTCTCTTCTATCTATCTGTTCTCAAAAAACAAGAACATCTTATAGAAGATATCTGTAGTCAGGGGACAAGTCCCCTAATTCGGTTTTCTCTTCTTCTGTCAACATAGACTCGCCAGCAGTTCTGTCCCTCTCTTTGTTTGCCGACCAGCAGGCGGCAGCATACGCTAAACAACATAAGACACTGACGATGGCGAAAGATATACTAATGCTGTACCCGGGAATGAACCTGGGAGCATCCTTCTTCAGGAAAGCAAAGACGGCAACAATGCCGCCAATGTTACCAAAGCCGACTTGCCAGCCACTTCCAATCGACCGCCGGTGATGACCACCAAGATTCATATTGAACCAGCAAACTAATTCAAGAGGTGCTGGTTAGCATGGCACTTCGCAACGGTGTTAATAGGGGAGGGGACGAACCAATGATGGGCATTGCCGTATAACTGCCCGAAGCCACAGCGTACAGGCCGAAGGTCTGCACAGGCGTGTTGTCATGGATGGAAATGAGAATCCCGTAGCCGACGATGGCCACACAGATCGCGGCAATGGCAAAGCCGAATCGATGCCGCGTCCTATCCGAGAAAAAAGCAAAAGTCATCGAAAGCACAAAGGCCACAACCCAAGGAGGTACGCTGTGCAGCTGCGTCTGGATGGGGCCATAACCATACGTCTGGAAGATGCCGGGTGCGAAGTAAGCGTATCCGTAAGCCGTGACGACGAGTCCGAAGTACATTAGTCCTCCCAGGATGACCTTGTAGTCCTTGAAGACTCGTCCGACATCGCGCAAAGTGATGTTGCGCTCGGCAGCAGGATTTCCCTGGTCCGCGCGCAGGCGGGCAGAGACAAAAGCCTTCTCATCTTCGGTGAGCCATTTGACGTCCTCGGGGAAATCAGGCAGGCAAAAGAACAAGAAGATGGCGACGACAGCAGTCAGGGCGCCTTCTAATATAAAGATATACCGCCAACCAGAGTAGCCGTTGATGCCGTTCATCTTGCCGATCGCCGCTGCGAGGAGACCGCCGAAGGCGCCCGCGAGGGTGGTGCTGTTGAAGAAAAACGAGTAGCGGCGCTGGGCCTCGTTGCGGCGGTACCACATCCCGATAAGGTAGAAAGCTACGGGAAATGAACAATCAGCCGTCGCACGCAGATAAAACGGAACCATTATAATGCGATTGTGAATGCGATCGCTGGGCAGAGCATACCTCCCGGGAACATGCCCGTCTCGAAAACACCCAGGAAGAAGCGCGTCGTGCACAGGCCGGCGTAGTTCTGCACGAAACCCTGGAGCAGGGTGACAAGGCCGAAGCCGAACATGTTGATGCTGAGCCAGACATGGGGCTTGAACTTCTTGAGGAGGATGTTGGAAGGGATCTCGAAGAGGACGTAAGGCACAAAGAAGACGACGAGGGCGCTGTTGTAGCGGGTGCCGGTGAGGCCCAGGTCCTCGGAGAGGCCAAAGACATTGGCGTTGGCGATGTTCACCCGGTCTATTGGAGCGCAATTCTGTCAGCATTGGTGCGATTCAAAAGTGACTCTCCCGCGACTGAGATCTGCTGTGCATCGGTTATCGGCCGTGCAGGAGACCCGTGCGAGCTTCCATCCAAGTCTCCGACTCTTCATAGAGCTGGTGAACTCTGATCGGATAACACAGGACACGGCGTGGTTTGCTGCTCGCTGGGACTGCAATGCGGCAACGGTATCACGGTGAGCGGGGGGGAAACTCACCCAGGAAGGCCAATAGGTACATGATACACAAGAACGGGATCACACGGAAGTCGATCTTGGTAATGAGCTTGGACTCGGTGGTGTGAGGGGGGCACTCGACGGGTGCATCGTCATCGTAGGCCGGGAGATTGACTTCCGTCGCATGCTCGAGGGAGCGCGGCGGCGACTCTGCCGGCTTCGTCTCCTTGTCGAACTGCATCTTGAAGGTCGTTCGAGCTCGGTACTCGTTTTCCTAGTTGTCTTTGACCTAATGCGACTAGAGGACAAGCAAAGACGCCTCGCTGAAACAGGGCCGACGAGGACTACACTGCAGGAAACAGGAGTAATGATGGAAGAAACCCGAGGATCACTAGGGTGGCATCCGGCTTATATTTCGTCTCATCGTTTCCGACCTATCCGTACTGTCACTATGACTGCTGTCCTTATTGTTAACAAGGTTTACTTGCCCTTTTTTTTTTCTTTTTTTTTTTTTTTTCCTTTTTGCGCCCGACCTCGGCGCGACGACTCACAGCCAAGACAGGGTCGGTGATCCTGCCGGCTCCGCAGCTAGCTCTTACAAAGTTTGGTCTGGGCCTGTAGCTTGAAGCTTCGACTAGGGGGTTGGTTGGAAAGGGTATCGATCATCCATGGCTTGCCTACTGACCCCCCCAACCTCCCAGTCGAACCCCGCGTTTGTTGTTTTGTTTGCTTGCAGGCGGGCATCTCAATAATCGGCATGCAGGCCATTGGCTCTAGCCTAGAGCGTTGGAGCCACACGGGTTCGGGAATGCGGGAGCTTATTCATTGAGGGCAATCAAAACCGGCCTTCGACACTCGTACCCGAAGCCGCCTCTCATCCGTCTGTTGGTCAGTCGGCTGCTTGACTATTCTCCGAATTCCTTGCTACAAGTTATCAGAGGCCAGAAATCGAACTCCACGTTGGACCGTCATTCTCAAAACTGCCCCGTAATACTCTACTATTCAAAGGGTCGCGACCTCCACCCCGGCCCGGGACCGGACTTGGCTCTACTCCACAACAACCGCCGATGCAGGAACTGTGAGTAATCTTGTCGATAAATTGAATTGTTTGTTGGTGGCTCGCTGGGAGCAAATCGCTCGCCTTTCTTCTTCATACTGCTCGACAGCCGACTCCGGAGAAGGTGTGGCCAGGGCTTTTTGGACCGGTGGACGCACGCTCTGCAGGCCAGTCTTGGTACCCCGCAGATTCCAAGCTAAGCGCCGGAGATGGAGACCTTTTATAGCTTCGGTTGGTGTGTGTTCAGTGCCTCGGTTCACGTCTACTTTGCATTAGCCCGTTGATTTATTTCTTGTTCCGTTCGGCTGACAGGCCCAACTAGGAAGCAGTAATGAAGAGAAATAAGAAATCTGCTGGGGCATTTGACCTTTTTTTTATTCCCTCTCATCTTGAAAACACAAGTTACTGAATCGAAACGGGGCAAGGGTGTATGTCATGTTGCGCGTGCAGCATGCAGCATGCGCGTGCAGGGGCTAGACTAGAATATCTAAGCTCAGACGATACCCTGTTTGTTGTAACTCTGTTGACAAGACAATCACTCGTTGATAATGAGCTAGGTAATTGATGAAGTAACCCTTAAATGCAATTGGAGATACCCTTGGTCAAATCGATGTATGTGATTACATGCTGAACCATCCGCTAGCTGTGAGGATAAAAGGCGCAAGTTTGTTTTCATTTGGGGGAATATGCAATGGAGTATCCATAAAAGTGACACATTCACCAACAAAATTTGTTTAGTTTTGAATGTCAACGCGGGAAAAGGCCACTTTGTCATGATTGCCTGTGTCTATCCCGTGACTGCCGCAGGCCATCGGCTCTCTTCGGTTTTGAAGACAGGAGATACCTGAATCTGGTAATATGTGAAAAACTGCTTTTGACGAAGGGGCCAAGTTGCTTCATTAAAAGGGGTTAAGTCTCCAGTGCCCGGTTTGACGTCAACTAGGAAGACTATAGAGGCATTTGGGTTCATATTGAAGGCATCAGTGGGTTAGTCGTAAGGCGTGTGATTTGCGCAGCGGGAGTCCGGATTCTCAGTTTCAAGAATCTCCATGAGTGTATCTAGATACATTGTTTTCAGCGAGCTTTTCAGATTTCTCGAATGAGCGTCGCATTTATAGACGAACAGCAGATCGGCACCATCATCGCCAAGCCAGATATCCGCCTTAACCTCTGTGCATCCATCCACGAGAGCAGAGAACAAAGTATAAGGTCCTAGATAGTTGTCATCTAAGTTGTATCTTTAATAAAGAGTGAAAGGTGGAGGTCGCCAATACGTCATTCCGCATCGTATTTAATCGTATTCTTCGACGTAACAGAAAGATGCTACCACGTTCTTGATGTATTCGGGCTTACTGTTTTAGGAACATGGTTTGCTATCGCAGCCTCAGTCGTCTTTAAGAAGAGGACATCATGCGAACGTGCAGTTATCACGGCGACGTTAGCCCAGTTGCAAGTTTGGGGATCGAGGCCCGCGGTGTTACCAGCAAGACAAGTGAGTATAGTGTCTCTTGAGAGCTGTCAAGATCTGTAGATCCCTTAGTTGGGCTATTCACAAAGGTCTATCGCAATACTATGCGGTTATACCTTGTGGGCCTCCCACAGCGATTTAAACTCGAAAGGCAACCAGCCTAGTGACTTCGAGTGGAGAGCCTTCGACTACAGCAATTCTCGTTTGCCAACATGTGGATTTCAAGGGAACCAACCTTAGAAGAATGTCGGGTGTTTATTCACCAGCCTCCCGAAGATCAATTAGGTACAGGAGCAAACTAAGCGACATAAAAGAGTGAAACTAGAAAGAATCGGAGATAGCTGCGAATTGTTTCCAATACACACGCGAACACGGTGTTAACAAGCTTCTATGAACGCCTAGTCGCGGGGTGGAGGCCGCAAAGAGCAAACTCTGCAATTTGGGACATCATTTAAGACGGTTGAGTCAGTCGTTAATATAGCCCTTACTGTGACCAGAACCAGGGTCGGTTTGAACCTTCTCAGCATCCATTCTCTATCATACCTGCCCATGTCGGGGTTTGTCCTCACTATCTTTGCTCTCTATCTGTGTTCACTCAGTGGGCGGCAGTAACGTTCGCCGGTCCATCAACGACGACTTCATGGAAGGGTGGCCGAGTTGGTTATGGCGCCAGGTTAAGGTCAGCTTAACATCTGTTTCCTGGTGGGGCAACCCGCGCGAGTTCGAGTCTCGTCCCTTTCATCACTGCTTTCTGTTGGTGTTGATGATATGTGTGAGTTATTTATTTTTAGCTTGTCTACGTCTATTTCCGGCCACCCCCCTTCCCTGCCTCTATAACAAGTCACAAGTGTATCCGCATGTGATAAAGAGAATGGTTGTCACCGAAGGATAGAGACATTTTAGTGTAAACTAGTAAGTGTAATGCATTTCCCCCATTGGCTAGACATGCACACAGGATTGATCGTCTCAACTAAATGGCCTCTGAGCTAAAACATACCCAAATGGCTTCTGAGCTAAAACACACACCAGACCAGTGACAGATTTAGAGTTGCGGGTGAACCGATAATGCCGCACTGCGTATTCACCTACGTCAGGCGCACAAGCGTGGCAGTGCATGATCAGATTTGCGCCGATCCGGTCAGGGGACATGTTGTAAATAAACCCCTCACGGAGGCAGCCCAAGTGTGTTGCAAACAACTTGCATCATTCACCAAGCGAGGCTTGGAGCATTTTCCCTAACAGTTTCAGTTTAGTTTAGATGTCGACTTCAACCTGGCCGTCTCACCAGAACGGGATAGAGCGTGAGTTGCATCGGCTTGTGCCTGGGCGGACATTAGCGGCTGGGCAGTGGCGGCAACACGGCGAGGAGGGCATTCGAACAAAGCGATAGCGTACGAGGTTAATTCGACCATCACTTCGAGCAGGCGCTACCATCATCAAATCCCGACTTCAGATGGAAGAAGCCGAATGTCCGCGGACCCCGGACTTGATCGACTGGAGTCGCCCGCTGTCGCCCTGGGCTGATGAAAACCCGGCGACGCGTACCGGTGATGCCAATGGCGGCATGGACCCCGACTTGGAGGCGGACCGACATGTTTCTGCCAGCGCTACAGGAACCGTGAGCACGGAAGTGCCGCCGTCTGTGTATTTCACGATACATCGGTGAGTCTGGTCTACCACAGCTTTTGCTCCCACCTAAATGACACGTACTGATCGCAAACAAAACTGCAGGATTCGGCGTCTCGTACTCGCAAGTATAGGTACATGGCTCTTATATCTGTTCTCATGTCATTTTCTAACAGATCCCAGATGACCCGTACACTCTGGACCAGCTCCGTGAGCCGCGGATGAACCTACTGGTTGTAAGACCTCTTGTGGATCGTTTATATGACCCCGACGACCCTGCTGTCGGTCTGTTTCTCCGCGGATAATGCTTCTTCATCGACACCTTTGGCTGACGAGGCTACAGTCTACTGCCTCTTCGCGAACCGGATCCAATTTCTGAGGCAACACACTAGCACCGCGCGTCAGACCGTCAATGTCGCCCGCGCTACCCTATGCGAGCTTGTCGCCAGTCGCGTGCTGCGCCGATATCATGAGGATCATCCCGGTCAGATAGGCCTCCTCATTTTGGCACATATACTTGTCGAAGGGTTTGATCCCTTCCAGGGCGCACCCGAGGAGGTTGAGAGCGAGTGTCGCCAGCTGCAATGGCCCATCCAACGACGCGACGGGCATGAGAGGAAGCTCACAACCTTGGAGCTGGCAATCATTTCGGAGAGCAAACTCTTTCTGAGTTCATCGGCATGCCAGAGGTTGGTTGACGCCGTTTGGAACGGAGTGGTAACCTACACCCCTCTGTCCTTTGTCGATATCCTTCCAGATCATTACGAATACGCCTCGGTTTCTCTTTATGAACCGCACCAGGCACCGCTGCTTGACGTGGGACGTCTATTGGTCCCATGGATCCGACAGATGATAGAGCTGTTCCAGTTCATTACCCTGGTCATCTTATACATATTGACAATGGTGAACCGGAGCAGTCCCACTCTTAGTGGGTGGGAATGCGTCTTTGCCATATACACTGCGGGATGGACTCTCAATGAATTCGCAGCCATCATCGAACACGGCTGGGTTGTCCACTCTCAGACCCTGTGGTCGTTCCTCGATATTACGTTCAGCCTCATCTTTAGCTGTTACATTTTCGCACGCATTTACGATACCATGGGCTATCAAGGGGTTGTTGCCGACGGATACGGCGTGCACATTCTCTGCGTTGCCGCTCCTGTTCTTCTCACCCGCCTCGCCTTCACCCTTTTACCTGACAACATTGTCTTCATAGCCATGCATGCCATGATGAAAGACTTTACTCGTCTGACTTTCATCTCCATTTGGTGTTTCATGGGCTTTTTCCTCGCCTTGCATTGGCTGGTAGGAAGCAACGATGACACGTCCGCTGTTGCCGGGGGAAAGGCTGCCCTGACTTGGTATGAGACATGCAAATGGCTCATATGGACGTGGTTCGGACTAGACGGCACTGGCATCGACCGTTCTGACGAATTCCACCCGATTCTCGGTCCGGCACTTATGATCGCATTTGCATTCCTCGGCAACATTTTGTTTCTTACGATTCTCGTCGCGATTCTGAGCAACACGTTCTCAAAGCTGATCTCCGACGCGCCCGCCGAAATACAGTTTCGCCGCGCCGTACTAACGTTTGCGGGCGTGAAGAGCGACTCAATATTCTCATATCCACCCCCATTCAACCTCCTTGCTCTCGCGGCACTATTGCCTCTCAAGTCGATGCTGAGCCCGCGGTCCTTCCACGACGTCAATACCTCACTCATCCGCGCCCTCAACGCACCGGCGTTGATGATCATCAGCGCTCTTGAGCGGCGTCGTGTAGCACACCCGCGCCGTGCAAGGTCGCAGTCCCTTCTCAACTGGAGCTTCAGTGGTTTCAACCCACATGGAGACATCCAGGCAGTCTTCAAGGTGGAACCGCCGCCGGCTGTGGAGCGGGAGCTGGAAGAGCTAGACAACTTAAGCGACGTTGGCTTCGCGGAAAGCGAACTGGGCGACAGAGAACCATGGGACGTTGGCCGGTCAATGCCGAGACGGCGACCGGTTAGGAGGAGGCGTCCCGCAAGAATGGGATCGCCAATCAGCATTGTGTTCCCCCTGCCAAGTGTGCAGCGTGCTGGCACAAATGAGTTTGAGCCATTGTCTGGGTCACCTGTAAGGAGGCTGTGAGTAAGCCTCAACGCCAGCATCTCCAATACGAGTCTTTCAGATGCTGTGAGAAGGCGGGGATAAACTGACAATGCTGTCAGGATGCATTAGCGGACATTTGTAAGTGCCTGGAAGCGAGGACCCGATGAAGATGGACTTTATGTATGCTACGTAGTGAAATATAGTAACATCTCAAGCAAATTTAAGAGGGGGATGATTGAGCTTGCTGTGACACAGCCTTGGAAAGCTGTTCTAGAGCCATACAAAGGCCTTGAGTGCTCGATAAATGATCGCATATAACTCAATCTGGGAGAGCTTTTACCTACTACTTGAGATGATCACTGGTCTCATTTCTAATTTGCCTCGAGAATACCTAGTTTGGCTCTCATACCTCGTGTCAGATCGGTGACACATAGCTACAAAGGACACGAGCACGCCATTTAGTCGAGTGATGTTTGATCCTATGCATTGATGTTTCACCTATTATGTCCACGGACTCAGACAGTTCGTCAGATCTCCGGAATGGCTCACAGCGTAACCCAAAATGAAAACAGCTGGCACCAGTCAAACAAAGTTTGCAAAGACAATCGCTTGCTCTTATTTGCCTTCTACTGGTTCTTTGAAGCGGAGACCAAGTTTAGCGTTGCATCTCGTTTTCACACAAACTGCCCCACATATATCCTGGCAACAATTGCCTTCGGATTGCACTGAGGACAAATTTCTTTCAGCCATGATCCGCACCGCTTCTTTTTGGAATTAGTATTGACACACGAGAAACATGAGAAAGAAAACAAACATCATCAAACAGCTTGCTATTCCAGACTCCGATACTTGCGATATATGTAACGGTCATCATCGAGGACATGGTGGCTCTATGTTTGGTGGCCTGTGCATCTACTTCCACCTCGTGATCCTACCAACCAATTTGAAGCGATCATGAACCCTGGTCTCTTAGGGCTTGGCTTGTTACCCTCTCATGTCCACATGTCTAAAGCATCGACGCAATGCTAGATCCCGGTGAAAGAGCAAACTATTAATCTATGGTTGGTAACACCGTGAAAATACAATTGGGACGATGTTCGATCGCAACATGTAAGCCCTTCCCCTACACTCCAACTACCGAGTTGCCCGACACAAAGACTGAATTCCGGGTCCTAGATGGGTTTAAATGACTGCAATTAGATGGGTTAAAATACGAGGCTCTGTGAGTTTGGCTCAGGAGAGAGGATTAGCCCCCAACATGGACCTGGAATTTGCAAGCCTTCGAGAAATAAATATTTGGGTGCTTTTCCTTACCCACCTCAATTTGCAGTCATTTGCACAGTCCTTACCAATCTGACTTCTGTGTTAAACATGGTAGCGCTTCTTCACGTCGTCGTCTTGGCCGCTCTGGCCGTCCTCGCCGCCGCTGTCCCTGCCAAAGATACTCCAAAGTGCTGTGGACGATTTGCGCGAGCTCGCCCTCCGGCCAAGTCATTGGTCGTTGATGCTTCAGGAAAACATCCTAACAGCTTCACTCACCTCAATGACGCCATCCTTGCCCTGAAGAACACTACGAAAGAGCAGACCATCTTCATCATGCCCGGTATATACGTCGAGCAGGCCCTAATTCCGAATCACATTGGACATCTTACTATTCAAGGCCACACCTGCGACGCTCGTTCTTACGAGGGTAATAAGGCCACTCTCACCAATAGGCTGTCGCGTACCATGCCAAACATTACGACTAATGACGCGACCGCCACTCTCCGTCTATGGGGAGAGAATATCAAGATCTATAACCTCAACATTGCCAACACATTCGGACGGGCCAAGAAGAACGGCCAGGCCCTCGCAGTCAGCGCCCAGAACACAAACCTCGGCTTTTACGGCTGTAAGTTTACCGGATACCAGGATACCATCTACGCAAACGAGGGGAGACAGATCTATGCCAAATCTTTCATCAACGGCGCCGTGGACTTTGTCTTTGGTACGAGAGCTTCTGCGTGGTTCGAGTCTTGCGATATCCAGACCATCGGTAAAGGCTACATCACCGCCAACGGCCGCGACACCGCCGACAACCCGTCTTTCTACGTTTTCAACAAGGCCAACGTCACCGGCACTAGCGGCCCAGCGTCCGTCACACTCGGCCGGCCGTGGCGACCATTCTCGCGCGTCGTTTTTCAGAACAGCGCCCTCAGCGACGTCGTAAAGCCCGTTGGATGGGTAGCCTGGAACGATTCTTCAAGAACAGACAATGTTTATTACAAAGAATATGAGAACACGGGTCCCGGATCCGATGGCTTGAGAGCTAACTTCAGCTCCGAGCTGTGTGCACCTATCAAACCAGTCACTATTCTGGGTAAGGGATTTGAAAAGGAGTGGTGGGTTGATATGAGCTACTTGTAGAACGCTTTAGAGGAAGTTTCAGGAGTCTAAAATACACGTTTCCTTTCAATACAATGAAACGAGCTTGAATAATCAGCAGCATTGTTGTTGTCATTCACGACTATACGTGAGTAAGGGGGGTTTAGCTCTTGTGGCTGCCCCACACCGCTGTGTGATACAAAACTGGGCATTCCAGCAGTTTAAAGCACCTACTAAGGCTCTTTTGATGCTATGTTTCATTTGGAGTTTGGGTATGTGTATCCTAACTCACAAAACCACCTATCGAAATGTTGCCGGCGGGCGGAATACGAGATCGCCCCAAATCACTTCCCTACAACCGAACTTGGCAACTCATGGGCTGATAAGATTAAATATCTGGTGACTCTTATTAGCATGATATGGCAAACCGCCAAAGAACGTATGTCTGTCGGGGACGTGCCAGAACATAGGAAGTGGCGAACATGCCAGCCATACTCTTTATGCGCAATGGTTCGGAGTAATAACCGGTTACCTCTTTCTTAGCTGAACTGATTCAGAGTCGAAACCTGTGAGTGATGGGTTAATAGGGAATAAATACATAAGGATTAATCACGGCATTAGGGTCCTGTTTGTCCTGTGGCGTACTAATCCAAGTACGAGCACAAACTGTACAGGTCGGATGATCAGCAAGCACGCCCATCACCGTCCAAACGTGCGCCTGGAATATTATAAAGCTCTTCGTTTGAACAGCTTCGGAGTCATGTCGCTAAAGCCACCATACACATTCTAGAATCTAATGTTGCTCAGCTCCCCTGAATGGTTCCCTTCATACAGACGGTACTGCCCTTCTCAACCAAAATCTCATAATTATTGTCACCCTCAGCACAAGCTGTGCGAATAGTGTACTCATCACCTGCATACACCGGCGACATAGCCCTGTAATCAACTTGCCGCACCTCCCTGCCACCCTGTCCGTACATGTCTCGCCAGTAGTCGAGCATGTTGATCAGGTTCAGAGGTCCATGGACTACGACATTGGGATGGCGTTCAATGTCCTTGGTCCAAGATTCGTTGTAGTGAATTTTATGGCCGTTAAACGTCAAAGCGGAAAATCTGAACAAACCGACCGGTGACCATCGAAGATGGCGGACCATGACACCGCCTTCGCCTTCCACATCGGCGACTGTGGAGGGTCCCGAGGCGGGCGGTCGATCGCTCCGCGGTGGCGCCGTATTTACGGCATGGGAACAATCAACCTCCGGGCGGAAGATCCATGACCTGGAAGATGTCAGTTTGCGTCTCCTGGTATCGTTCATGAAAGCGACGTACCGTTGATCCTTGACAGCTAGACCATCACGGCCCCAAAACTCCTTCTCAACATTCACCAGCACCATCTCATCACCGCTCCTGCTTCTCTTCGGCGTCGCTGCCACCAGCCGCGTCCGCTCCTCGACTTCTTCGCCCACCTTGAGCGCAATCCCCTCCGGAAACTGCATCCTCCCACCAGCCCACATCCGCCGCGTAAACGGGGTGGGCGCGTTGAAAGTTTTATCAGATCCGTCCATACCCAGCTCGCTCTCGACGCCGGCTGGAGTAAAGTAGACGAGGTGATAACCCGGTGGCAGCGGCGTACCCTGCACAGGCGCGTCTGCTGAGACGTCTTGTCCGGGATGCAGCTCCTTGCGGTTGAGGGTTAGGCTGAGGCGCTGAAGCTGGTTGGAGTCAAGGACTTGTTTGTGGACGACGCATTTGCCAACAAATGTGTCAAGGAGCTTCGAGGCGGCGTCCGTTGCGTTGATCGTCAGAAAGCGGCGGCCGGTGATGATGCAACGGCGGAAGACCGGTCTTATTTGGCGAGCTAGCGATACCATCATGAGAGTATTATTTGAAGGGCAGCGACCAGGAAGAGTGGTGTTAGATTCCTTCGGGGACGGCGACGCCTCTACTCATAGCCAGTGACTCGGGTAATTCGTTCCACAGCATGCACCATAGAGAAATGCCTGTAGCTCTAGCAATTTGGGGAAGCAAAGGCAGAGGAAATGACAGCAATGTGCCGCACGCGTGTTGGAGCGATGGCAGTTAAGGAACCTATGGACCGGAGGAGCGTCAACCCCCCAACATACTCTGTGGGGTATTAGCCGGCCTCTTCGGCTATATCCCTTTCGGCTTCTTCATGTTCCGCTAGGGTGAAGAAGCCGAGAAAGTGTGTGAAAGACCACGTGCTTCCTGACGACAGATAGGCCACGGGTACACGGAACACCCAAAAGGCGGATTTGAATTGTTTGATTGAGTTTGGACAATGGTAAACTGTCATCAGAGACAACGCTGCAGAAAGTTGAGCCCCTCAACTTGCATAGGACCATTGGCGTACAGTTGGGGATCTAGAAATAAGCCTAGGTCCTCAAGTGCATCCTCGCCCTCCCAGTTCGTACGCATGAGATTAAAGTATTCGCCTTCCATTGCGCCTGGTCTTGATTGACCAAGAGGATTCTGAGCAGCGAGTAAATCTTGCGCGGGGCTCATTGCTAATGTTTCAAAGGGGCCCAGACCTGTCGTCGAGGTGGTGTTGTTACTCGGTGCGGATGCTGCGCCACCGCCACCACCGTTGATTCTTTTTGCGATAGATTCGTCTAGGTATTGCAGAAAAATATCCAAAACATTATTTTTGATACGCCAATATTTCTGTATCTCATTGAGGCCAAGAAGGCACATTTGGGCCCTGTGTTCAGCTAGCCGCCGACAAATACCAGCAGCGGATTTGATATCGATGGCGTGTATGCAGAAAGCCGCGAAAAGACTGGCAAGCCTATGCGAGTCAGTATTGATCGCTTTAGAGCAGCTTCGGGACGCTTACAGATGCATCTGGCCATACTGCAATGTCTCTTGAGCCAGCATATCTTCGGTTATCCGGCTAATGCGACAGGCAGCGGCGAGTGCCGCCTTTTTGTCCCCCTCGTCTCGGTTGCGAAGCCAGCCATTGCGGTGTATTAGGATGCAAAGGTGGCTACCATCACTACATCAGTAATCTTGTAACACGCTTACGAGAATAAAAATGACTTACTTGTACGCCAGGTGGATCAAGCACGTTAAAACCGAAGTCTCTCCGTCATCCGGTCCTCTACGCATGTCTTCAGGAGGACTCTCTTTCCAATTCTCAAGCTGCTGCTTCAGTTTATGAATCCCAGCTGGTGCAGGTGGTCCTCTTCCAGGCGCAAAGTGACTGTCTGTGATCCTCCCAACTACCAGCTCGTCAGTCGGAATTCTGAAAAGGGTTTAAGTTGTGGAGATACGAACGTAGCCGCGCAATTTCCACCATTTTGATTACATAGTGAGCATGTTCAAGTTCTGAGGCACCTAGGCTGGTTACCTCTTGCACATCGGCGTCGTCTCCTAGGTCAGCGGCAGTGAGAGGCTCGATATCACAATCCTGATCGCGAATCCGGCAGGGCAGACCGAGTGATACGGATACTTGTCGTTCACGGATCTGAAATGGTTAATGACTATCTAGCATGGGCCTCTCTCGGCCATAGTGAGGTGAGGTGATGTTATGGACTCTTACGTAAATCGACCACCAAACTCGTTTTCTCATCCGAGCAAAATGGGGGTCTTTTGTTGTGAATCTTGTCCTAGAAAGAAAAATGAGCCTGCAGCTGTTCTCGCGGCTCTAGGTGAACATACGATCTATGCAGACCATGAATCTGAGCGAGAGTTAAGACAGCCCCCAACCAATACCTCACGTCTCGCCAATCCGTTGGTCCGCCTCTCCAGAAGCTACAGAGAAACAGCAATTGTATGAGAGTAAACTGATCTTTCTCCCAATTGGAGTGGAAAAGTACACGTGCTCGTGAGTAGGTCATGTTCTTGGCCTCGGACCGGTCCTTAAATCCCATGGCGACGATAGTCGCATTATCACAGTAGGTTGAGCCGATAAACAGCATGGCCTGCAGCAATAAAGGCGAGATCTCCATCGTGACAAGACGCCGTGCAATGTCTGCATGGTCGAGTATGGGGAAACACGGATGGAACCATTTGAAGTAGGCTCGTAGAGCTGGCAGGCAACTCTGCATGTCAGGAAAGGTGAGCGCACCCTCGTCGCGAAGATAACGCTCTGTCGCCAAGCTGATGTGGTTGGCGCTGGCAGGCGGTGCAACATGACCAGTATGCGTAGCCTGAGGGATTGGAAAGGTCAGACGACCCTTCAAAACTCCATCACTGATGGTCGCTTCAGCATTGATATTATCAAATGTCCCGGGCACAAGCGTGATGAAGTTTGAATCTCCAAAGAAACGACTGCCCCCCGTCGTGGTGCTGGCTGACGTCTCGGTCCCAGAGCCGAACGGCTCATGAGAGGGTGACGTGGTGCTTGGAGATGTTAAATTCGCTGGCACAGCGGAACTGAGTGCCAAGGGCGGATCTGACGAAAAGGCAGCAATGGCGGGCTCTGGGGTCGCGGAAAGGATCTCTTCCACCCGCCTCTTCTTGGACCTTCGCGGGTATCTACATTGGACTTTAGCCGACAATGTTGTGAGGGGGCCCGTGTGCTGGGAGGTCACGTGACCTCCTGGGCCCCTCACCTTCATCCAGCCTCTGCCTATAGCCTCAAGAGGAGGATTTTCCTCCTTACCACTACACACTACTACAGATTAGTAATATTACTATTTACCTTACTTTATTACTCTTATGCTCCTATAGGTTATAAAGCCTAGGCCTATATTAATTTTTTTTAAAAATTAATTAGTTACCTCTACTTATCTTTATTAATTTATAATTATTTACTAATTATTATAGTAGTTACTTAACTTTACTTACTATTTTTACTATAGCCTAAGTTAAGGATCTTTTACTAATTACTATAAGGATACTTTTACTTATTAACTACCTTAATCTATTACTTTAGGCGTCTATTAAATAGTAGTAAATTATATAACGTTTTAAATACGCCTTTTACTATAGTAAAAGAAATATATAAAGATTAATATATAGTTAGGCTAACTATAGTCTAAAGTAACTTACTTATATTACTATTATTATAGCTAATAGTAGTAATTACTAAATAGTCTTATTAACTATCCCTAAGCTTAAGAGGGAGTTAAACTAGTCCTTATAGATTATACTTATTAGTGCTACCTTTTATACTAATAAAGTTAAGAAGTATATTAACTATAATATCTTTTAACTAGCTAAAAATACTATAGCTTTTACCTTATAAGAAGCTAACTATAACGTTATATATAACTTTTTTATTTTATTATATAATATATTAATTAATAAGCTTCTTAATATAAGATAGTAAGATAATAGTAATCTTTATACCTTAATAAAGGCACTTAAGAAATATATTCCTAAGGTATTTAAAGATATAGTTAGAGCCCTTATTAATAAATTCTCTAAAGGTAGTACCTAAGATTATAAGACTCTTTATAATACCCTTAAATATATATAGTATTTATATACCTATATTACTAGCCTCTATAGTAAAAACTTTAACTACTATTAGGCTATCCTCTTACTTAATTATTTTAAGATATATTTACTTAATATATATAAGTACTATACTAATAATAATAAGAAGCCTAAGTAGGCTATAGTTATTAAGACTATTTATATACTTACTTAAGATAAAAAGTAAAAAATAGGCCTTATTACTTACTATAAGGCTATAATTACTACTACCTCTAGCACTAATAGCTAAGGCGCTACTCTTACTAAGAAGTTAGGCTATAATATTTACTTTTATTATAAGAAGGGTTATATTACTATAAAGTGTTAGACTACTTATCTAGAGCTTATTCTTACTAACTATATATTTTATAAGAATCTACTTACCTATATAGCTAAGTATATCTATAATAAGGATTATAAGGAGGCTACTACTTTTACTACACCTAATTCCTTTATATTAGTTTTTATAAAAGGTGCTTTAGGCACACTAGGTAGCTTCTTAATTACTAGCCTTATAATATAACTAAGTGTTGGAATGTCAATCCAGCAACATTCATACTTAAGGCCAATTCCGTCATAACTAAGTGGCGGGCCCGCTTTTTAGGTTGCTTAGAGGTTATGAGCCCAGATGCCTCAGTGGTTAGGCCACCACATTCATTACCCCACATAAGCTAAGGGGTGCGCGTTTAATTTGCGTTTGGCGCCGTAAGTCTTAAAAGTGCAGGCGCGTGCGACCGTGAGTCCAAAACAGGCAGGCGCACAGACCAGCCAGGTAAGGTCAATTCCGGAAATGCCCTTAAAGGGGGCTGTTGGAATGTCAATCCAGCAACATTCATACTTAAGGCCAATTCCGTCACAACCAAGTGGCGGGCCCGCTTTTTAGGTTGCTTAGACTAAGTAAGGCTATCTTTACTACTATAAGTAATAAAGCTATTACCTTATTTAATATTATACTAGATTTAAGCTACTTAAGCCTTATTTTTAACTTACTTTAACTTTTTATATTATATACTATTTATAATAACCTTCTTCTTTTTACTACTATAAATAGAGAGTAAGTGTTTCTAGAGGGATTTAGTACTATCTTCTTCTAAACTTAAGATCTAGCTAATCTATCTTAAATAATTAACTAGACTATTAAAGATATTAAGTATAGCCCTTACAGCCTAGCTAACCTTCTTAGCCTTAGTAAACTTTATAAGGTAGGTATTAAGTATAACTATATAACTACTAGTATTATTAACACTAAATCTAAGGCCTAATTAGCTGCTATTAAATAGATTTCTAATATCTATATACTTTATGTTATAAATAGGCTAACTATACCTATAGTAACTACCTTTACTTTATTAGTAGTTAGAGGTAAGTACTAACTAACCCTTAAGATAATACACTATTAACTTATTTACGCCTATTTATTATAGTTTATTAAGGCCTACTATTAAGTAGGTATATAATTTACTTAGGCTAAGATTAATACTTTTTACTATAAAGCCTACTACTTAGCTAAATCTATAAAGCTTATTAGCTATAACACTTTACTGCCTCTTACCTTAGTAGGTAAAAAGATTTATCTTAACTTTATTAAAGTTAAACTACTATTAAAAACTAGTATAAGATACGCTTTTTATTTTCTTAACTATTATAGTAGCTATTATTAGCTTTAACTCTTATAAGCTTATTACTATAAGGTTATACTTAATACTATTAAGAATTTTAATACTACTTTTACTAATATAACTAGCCTTACTATTAAGAGCTAGGTTTCTAATAACATACTTAAGCTAAAGAAGGTGCTTTATAATCCTTACTTTATAGGTATAAGGCTTAACTTTATAATTATATATACCTTATTAATAAATAGATTAATTAAGTAAGCTAGTTATATACTTATAGAGGCTGCCTATATATTACTAATTAATAACAGCCTGCTAGAGGAGCTTTAGGATTATACCTTTAACACTATAGTGTAAATCCTTAACATTTTGCCCTAATTTACTAAGGGTAAGATAAGCCCTTATAAGATTATTATAAAGGTATAGGTGGTGTGCCACACCTGTTAATAGACTATTCTAGTATTGCTAAAAGATTAATTAGTTTAGGCACTAAGTGCCTGAAATACACCACACATGGCCTTATAAAGGGTAACCAGGCTAACCCCCTTATAATTGCCCCCCTTCTAATACGACGCGTCCTGAGTCGCTTTAGGCCTATGTGCACTAGCGCCAGTAACCGTGCGCTAGAGCACAAGGTCATGTTAACCCCAAAGGCCCTAGGCAGCCTGGCGTCTGGCAACAGCTGCCAGACATTACCTCCCTGCACCTAGTCCCTCTGAGCCTAACGTAAGCTGCCCCTCATTCATGCCTAGCCAACTAATCCACTGATTAATGACCTCCAGCCCCTTAAGGCCTACACTAAAGAGAGTCTCAACAGGCGGGATTTAAACCCAGCCCCTGTTAACAGCCAGAAGACCCACTTAGTGCCTAAACAATTATAAAGGTATAGGTAGTGTGCTACGCCTGTTAATAGACTATTTTAGTATTACTAAAAGATTAATTAGTTCAGGCACTAAGTGCCTAAAATACACTATATATAGCCTTATAAAGGGTAACTAGGCTAACCCCCTTATAATTATTACTTATAAGCTTAACCTTATTACTAATTATAAGCTACCTTATATTAAACACCTTTATACCTTTAGCTATATAGTATATATATATAAAAAGGCTAGTAAGCGCTTCTTATATTCTATAAAGATAAAGCTATATATAATAAAAGGTTACCTTATTAGATATAGCTCTTTATATAGCTATATTTACTATATTTATATCCTAAGTAAGAAGTAAGTTATTTACTATTATAATATTTATTTCTATAAAAGGCCTAAAAAGACTATTCTTTACTTTATTAATAAAGTTACTATCTTAGTAGATACTAACTATAATATACTATTTAATAAGCCTAATTTAATAACTTAGTATATAGCCTATATCTCTAACTTATATTAACTTATTACTAAAAAGTCTTATAACTAGTAAATTAATTAATTTAATAGTAGTAAGTTAGATAGTAAGTATATTAATAATAGCTACTATATAACTCCTCTTCTAGAGGATTATTAATAGTAACTTATTTTTATTATACACCTTACTTAACAGACTAATAATATAAATACTACTAAAAATAAGTTTTATAATATAAAGTAATAGAAGGCTAACTTTCTAGCCCTTATTATAAAGGAAGATTAGCTAGACCTTATTACTAAGGCTAACACTACTTTAGTTACTAAAGAGGGCTAACTACACTATACTAGCACTATAAAGCCGCTAGGCTACTACTATAATACTACTAGTATCTAAAAGTATAATAAAAAGGCTTATCTTATTATAAATATTTAAGTTTATAATAACACTTATTATTACTTTATTAGTATACTTACTACTACTACTTTATTATATATACTACTACTTAAATATAATATTTTATTTACTATTAAGAAGGCTAAAAAAGGCCTATACTAGTAACACTAGAAGTAGGCTTATAATACTAAGATCTAATAATTTACTAATAAGGGGGTCTATACCCTTATTAATCCTCCTTTTAATATAAAGATTCTTCTTAGTAAGTAGGTATTTAATATTAAAACTAATATAAAAAATAAAATTATTAGATATAAGGCCTAATAGGTAGTCTATAGTAACTATAAGTAAGGTAAATAGTTTTTATAAGAGGTGTATACTACTATAGCTACTACTACTACTATATACCTCTTTTTTACTATTATTACCTTATATAGACTAGTATATAAAATATATAACTTTAATACTACCTTTTTTACTGCCTTTATACCTAATAGCACTTATATCTACATCTATTAACCTACTAGTTATACTATTAATAATAATAAGGTGTAGTTACTTTATAAGGCTTTTTATAGCCTTTATAAGGCACTACTATAGTAGTTTATACTTATTAAAAGTAAAATAAAGAAAATTAGCTTTTATTTAGTTAAGGGAGAAATTTATCTCTTTATTAATAAGGAGCTTAATACCTACGCCTTAATATATATTAATAATAATATAGTAGCTACTACTAATAAAGAGACTACTAAAAAGGTATATAATATACTTACTAAGGTCTACTTATTAAAAAACCTTAGTAAGGCTTCCTAGTTTCTTAGCTTCTAGATCTAGCGCTTTACTACTAGTAAGATCTTTATTAACTAATATAAGTATACTAATAGTATACTTTATTACTTTAGATATAGTAATTTTTAACCTATTAAGACTTTATTACCTACTAACTATAAGTTACTTACTATATAAGTAAAAGATAAGTGTTTTAAACCTAACTAATAAACCTATATTAAGCAGACTAGCTACCTTAACTAGTTAGCTACTAGTATATACCTAGATATTACTTTTATAGTTAGTAAGCTCTCTTAGGCTAATACTAGCTTATTATCTACCTATCTAGCTGCTATTAAGTATCTTTTTTACTATCTTAAAAGTACTACTTATTATAGTATTTTATTTAGTAGACTTAACCCCTCTACTAACGTTAGCCTTTATATAATAGTAAATACTTTTTTTACTAATAATTACTTATTATAGGTTTTTATAAGTAGTTATATTATTTACCTTATAAAATTACTAATTACCTAGAAGTTAAAAAAGTAGACCTTTATTACTTTAAGCTCTATAAAAGTAAAGTTTATTAACCTTATACTTACTACTATTACTATAAAGTAGATTTATTACTATACTAAGTAGCTTCTTAGCTAACTAATAAATATACTAACTATCTTTTTTACTAATAGTACTAATATAATAGTTAATATTATAAATCCCCTTAATAAAGTATATACCTAAAGTATTAATATTTAATATAAATAGATAATATAAAAGGTCTATACTTAAAAAAATATTACCCTCTAACTTATTAAGGGCACTAAGATAGCTACTAATAGTCTTACTAAACTACTAGCACTAACTAAATATAAAGACTTTATATAGTTACTAGGTATAGTAAATAAGTTAAATTAAAAAGCTATATAGGCTATTATAAAGGATATATATTAGTAAATTAATATTATATAGACTTTAGTATATAGATTAATTATTACTAGACTAATAAGATAATTACTAGCGTATTACTAAAGTTATTAAATACTTTAAAAACTCCTTAGATTTAGAGGATTTAAGATCAGGCTGTTATTTTGCCCCTATATACAATATTCATTAAGTTAGTAGAGCCTAAGGGGGAGTGTTGTGAGGGGGCCTGTGTGCTAGGAGGTCACGTGACCTCCTGGGCCCCTCACCTTCATCCAGCCTCTGCCCATAGCCTCGAGAGGAGGATTTTCCTCCTCACCACCACACACCACTACAGATCGGCAATATCACTATTTGCCTCACTTCGTTGCTCTTGTGCTCCCACAGACAATGACCTAGGATATATATGCAGGACTTCGCAAGTCGCCTGTGATGCCTCGCAATTGGAGCAAGGGTGTCGTTCGGTGACATTGCAGCGGATGCGCCGAGAGTTACATACTCTACAAGCGTGCTTTGCTCGAGCTTTCGTGGAGACCTCTGACGGCATCATGAGCGTGGCATTTGTGACTGATATCACGCACGAATGTGTGCATGCGGCAGGCTGGTTGAGCAGAATGAGTAGGACTGGCTGTTGCGATGGATTTTCGCGGTTGTCTTGATGCGTAATGCACCGTTTGAGGTGACGGCGGAATTATACACCTCGTTAGCGCCACATTTAGCTCGATGTCTGAGGTCTAACAGTTGAAGCGACCAGAAACAGGCGGCATATAAGATTCATTCCAGGTCTGTTCGCTCGGTGATTCCTCCCGCGAGAGCCAGGGAAGGCTACTTGGAATATTGAACTCTCCCCTGTAAATATTAGGGTAAATATTTACCGTTATTATTTACTTACGAATCCGGTGTGTGAAGAAATTCGCTTTTGAATCTTGTAGACTAATGAAGCAGCGTACATCTTATTCACCTCCATTTGTACAAAACACGGAGTGCGATAGGTCCTTGCTTGCGATTCCTAGCAAACTCCGTTTCCATTAAAACCGCCCGCCCGCCGCGGTTGAAGTTTCTAGTAGCTCCGCGGCAGTTGGAGGACTTTCTCGCTGATGTAAGATAAGATCATCTCACGAGAGACGGGCGCGATCCTGGGAACAAAGATTTCACGGAGATATCTTTCGACATCGTACTCGGCAGCATAACCCATACCACCGTGTGTGAGCACCGCACGCTCGCAGGCTGTGAACGCCGCCTCCGCCGCCACATATTTAGCGCTGTTGGCCGCGACGCCAACCTGGTCCTGGCGGATGCATGGGTCGTCCCGGCTGGCATCGTACAACCTCGCGGCGTGGTAGGTCGCCAACTTGGCCGCCTCCAGCTTCATGTACGCATCCGCCAACGGGTGCGCGATCGACTGGTTCTGGCCAATGGGCCTGTTGAACACAACGCGATCCCGCGCGTACGCGGATGCCTTAGCAATGGCGGCGTAGCCTAGACCCAGAGCCTCGCCGGCCAAGAGGCACCGCTCGGCATTCATGCCGTGGAGGATAATCTTGAAGCCTTGGCCCTCCTGGCCAATGAGAGAAGTAGCAGGTATGTGGTAGCTGTCAAAGAACACCTCGTTGGCGTCGACGGCGCGTCCGCCCATCTTCTTGATCTTGCGCATGTCGAGGCCCGGCTGCGACTTGTCGAGGTCGATGCAAAAGAGCGACAGGCCTTCGCTCGGTTTGCTGCAGTCTTCGTATGCCTTTGTGCGCGCGAGAAGGATCATCTTGGAAGCGACTTGGGCGCAAGTGATCCAAATTTTCTGTCCGGTGACAACATACGACCCGTCAGACTGCTTCTTGGCCATTGTCGCGAGGCGTAGGGTATCAAGTCCAGAGTTGGGCTCAGTAACGCCGAAACACGTCCGCCACTCACCGGAGATGATCTTGGGTATCGTGCCCTCGAGTTGCTCCCTCGTGCCGAACTTGGCCAGGGGCTGCGTCGCATAGACGTTGGCGTGGATGGATTGTGCGCCAGCCATGCCCGCACCGGACTCGCTGATAGTCTGCATCATCATGGTCGCCTCGGAGATGCCGAGGCCGGAACCGCCGAGGGATTCCGGGAGGGCGATGCCGAGCCATCCATTCTCTGCGAGCGCCGCGTGAAACTCCTTCGGGTCTTGCTCATTTTGGTCGTGTTCTTGCCAGTAAGTGTTGGGAAACTCGGAGCACACCTGGCCGATTGCTTCGCGGACAGTGAGTTGGTTTTCTGTGAAGCCGGTTGTCTCCATGATGCTTTGAGCCGGTGACGTCGAGAAGGCCGCAACTTTGGGTCTGGATGTTGGCGGGGCCCGGCGCGTGCATACGGTTGACGCGGGCCTCATAACATGCCAGAGGTTTCGTGTCAACGATGCACACATTATGGGCTTGTTGCTTAAGAATTGAAGACTTGACTGCGGTCTGTGGTAAATAGAGAAGAAGTGCCCAGCACCTAAGAACCATTATCAGTTTAAAGGACGACTAAGGTCGCGAACGCCAGCTAATGGCGGCCAAATAGATGCAGAGAGGTACGGTGTTGTTACCCTGACACCAAGGCTATTGACGCTAGGATTGGATACTAAGCTGGTTAGGGACATTACCATAAAGCCGACTCGGGGGGAAAGAAGCCGAATCAAGTCTCCAATCACTTGGGGAACCGCATGTTTGAGCCCCTCCACCCTTGACTAGACAGATGTAATAGCCAAACAAGAAATATCATAAATGGCAGCCCAGAGAACGGGAACAAAGACCTAGAAATTTGACTTTCTCGCTCAGTCGTTAGTATAAGGACTACAAGAGCCATCGGCGTTGGGCCTGTGACACCAGCCATTGAACAACACATCGTTTTGGTCCGCGTCCAACGGCATCCACCATGTCCCCCCCAAAAGCCGTGCTGGCGCTAGTAACCCCCAGGGTCGCAGCCATCAGAAGAGAATGGGGACCATCGCTTACACCACGACTGGTCCACGTATGCACGCCACTATTTCCCGGGCATATGCGTGTAAGCCTTCACATCACGACGACCTCGATACCGGCAGAGGCTAGACGGGGGAACCTCTGCCCCTAGAGGGCGTCACCGTCATCAGCCTCGAGCATGCCATTGCCGCACCCTTCTGCACCAGACAACTTGCCGACATGGGCGCCCGAGTTATCACGATTGAGCGACCTGGTGTTGGTGACTTCGCCAGGTCATACGACACCCGCGTCAACGGAATGGCCTCACATTTTGTCTGGGCAAACCGCTCAAAGGAGAGCCTGGCCCTGGATTTGAAGAATCCCAGGGATTTTGAGGTTCTCAAGAGGCTCCTTGTCAAGGCGGACGTGTTGATCCAGAACCTAGCTCCCGGAGCAAGGGAACGCCTTGGCCTAGGATACAATACACTCAAGAAAACCCACCCTTCTCTCATCGTCTGTGATATCTCAGGCTACGGTTCCGATGGACCTTATAGAGACAAGAAAGCGTATGATCTCCTCGTCCGGAGCGAAGCAGGCTTCCTCTCAGTCACCGGTAACGGACCGGAGCCGGCGAAGGCCGGAATGTCCATTGCCGATATCTCAGCCGCCATGTATGCTTATTCCAACATCCTTGCCGCTCTTATCAAGCGCGGTATGACGGGGAAAGGATCTCGGATAGATGTCTCCATGCTCGAAAGTATGGTCGAGTGGATGAGTTTTCCCATGTACTACACATACAACGACGCCCCTTGCCTCCCCCGCTCGGGGGCGTCCCATGCTTCCATCTATCCTTATGGACCATTCGAGACGGGAGGCGGTGGTTCCGTCATGCTTGGCGTGCAGAACGAGCGGGAATGGGCGAACCTTTGTCGCCATGTCCTCAACGATGAGACCTTGGCCAAGGACCCACGTTTCGTCAGCAACAGTCTCAGAGTGAAGAACCGCGATGATCTGAAGAATATCATCTGCGATGTCTTTGCACGGCTATTAGCTGATGAAGTTCTCAAGAAGTTGGATGTCGCGTCTATCGCAAATGCCAACGTGAACGACATGCAAGGGGTGTGGAACCACCCGCAACTGAAGGCTCGGGGACGATGGACAGATATTGAGACGCCAAGTGGAACAATTCCGGCTGTGATCCCGCCGGGGTTTGCCACGGTCGATGGTTCAAGAATGGTTAAAGTGCCTGGCCTCGGAGAACATAACGAAGCGATCTTCAAGGAGGTGGGGTTTGAAGCTTGATTTTGACATGTGCTTTTTCGGGCATTTATGCCAACATAGTACCTTCAAAGGGGTCCCACGCGTCCATGCATGATGGCCAAGTTTTTTACAATTTTCATAATTAAACTCCCATAGCCAAGCATCGTTGTATGACGTGTGATATTTGATTAGCAGCAATACCAAAGCTGGGACTGCACGCACCTAGGCTTGGGAAAACTATCTTGTCATATAAACCTACGATTCCAATGTGTTGAGTGGATTCTGTACCATCTACCAGCATACCTATCATTGATATATTACATATGGATTGTAAAAGTACACACTCTCTCCTACACTAATGTATTTCCATTGAGCAATTGTATAACAAATCACAAAGTCAATAAAATACAAGGGCATTAAACCCTCTGCGCCTGATACCAATTCCTAGATGTTCTGATGCCCTCTGATCTGCTTCTGCTTCATTGTTATTCAGTTTTCTTCACTAGAAAGCGCGTGAACCGTATGTTGATTAGAAAAGACAGATGGTAACGTAGTCAAGCCTTCCTCTCTCGTCAAGCTACGTAATATTCTCTTGCCCCCCCCCCCCCCCCCCCCCTCTTTTGGCTCTCATCATCACTTGCCGTCAGAGTCTTTCGTTTCAGGCTTTGGCCTCTCAGGCATACTCTTGTTGTCCGAATCCTTCTTCTTGGATGCTTCACTGTTCTCGACTACCCCCTCTTCATCCCGCTCATCTCCCTCTTCATCCTCATTCCAACCCGGTATCAGTCCGTTGTCGGCTTCTCCCTCCTCGTCCGGATTCCACCCTTTCAGGACCCTTCTCGCCGCCTCTCTTCCGACGACCGGTAGCCTCTGCACTCCGTTCTTACGTGCCGCGTCGGGTACCAGCTTCGGGTCCAACAAGCCAATCTGAACGAGAACACTGGCCTGATCCCAATACACATGCTCGTGGTAAAGCTTGCCTCCTCTCAACCCGACGATACTGACTACGAGCACTTCGACCCGCTTGTTCGTTGCTGGGACTCCGGGCAAGATCCACGGCATCTCCTCGGTGTGCTTGAAGCGGACGTGGACCTCATCGACTACTCGATCGGTCCCAGTGGTGCGGGAAATCAGAGTTAGTTTCATTGACCGGGGGTTGCTGAAGAACTGTGAGTAGAAGCGCTCGAGTTCTGATGCTCCAATGCCTCCTGTCAGGGTCGGCATATGAGTGACGTGCGGGCTCTTGTGTGTCGTGTACGTTGACATGGTTTGGCTCAGGTTTCGAGTAAAGAATTTGCCTGTGCAAGTTAGCTCGATACCATTATTTTTGCCTCGTCCCTTCCTCAATACTGACCCTGGACATTTTCGTCCAACACCACTTCCAAGTCAACGTGGTTGTTGAACGCTTTCCTCGCCGCGCCTAAGCTCCGGCTCCACGCTAATTCTGCCGGGACTTTGTTGAATTCGTCCAGGTCATGCTCGGCAAAACCGGGCTCGGCTTCGTAAGTGTAAGTCGGGTATGCGAGCCGCAAAGTCCCTCCCGTGCCGATGCCGGCTTCCACTTTCTTGCGAGTTGTGCGCCGCCTGCCTTGTATCCCTACCATCTGGGTTTGCTTCGTAATACCAATCTCCTCGCCGGCAGCAAGATGAACGAGAGCCGATATGCTGCTGGGAAAGTGTCCTTTAGGATCTGGGATGGCTGTCGGGTAGTATGCGATGAGCAACCCTAGCTTGAACTCGGGGTTGTTATCCATGACGTGGTAGTGCTCCAGGCAGACAGCTGCGGCATCACCATATGCTGTACAAGTGTTAACCTGTTTGCATCACGTTAATCCATTGGGGACTCTTCACTAACCAATGATTCCAAAAGTCTCACAGGGCCCCAGTTTCTTCTTGCTCAACGATCGGAGCTTGCCCCGGTACTTGTCCGCGCTGTTTCCCATCGGCAGATATTCGACATCGAAACCCTCGTCGCGCCATTCACTTAGTGTGATTTGGTCAAAGTCCTCATCTTCCGCAGTTACGTACAGCTTCGGTCGCGCGCGAGGGAAGTTCCGGGACAGAAAGTTGGGATCTCTGTGGTTGGAGCCGGTAAGGTTGTCTGAGACGATGCGTGCATTGCGTCCTTCAGATTCCGGCACGGCGGCCTTGACCAGATTCGGTATGTCAATATTCATGACGGAATTGTCTTGCAGCTTCAGCTTTCGAGGAACAATCGAATTTGTGAACTCACAGGTTTGTCCTTTCTGAGTCGAATTCCATCTGTTATTGATGGTATGAGACAATGGCCGAGTTCACTTCACGATGACGTCATATCTCAAATGTGCTTGGTCTGGTCTGTCTATGATATCAGCGGGGTAAATTCCAATGCTGTATTGAGTGGTTCCAGCTTGTCCGATGCCAGGATTATGATTGGACAATCTGTTGATCATCCCAAGTGCGCTGAGTCCCTTGTAGCACGTTATACATCTCACCTGACGTACCCCCCCCCCTGGCTGACCTGACCTAGGCCCACTTTAGAAACTTATCTAAAGTTTTGCTATTGATAGAGGGTAGGTTAGGTTAGCTCCTAAGTGTGGGTCTAGGCCTATATAGCGACTTAGGCTAGGTATAGAGATTAATCCTAGACTATTCCTATCTACCTTAAGTCTACTTTAGGCTATAGTTTTATTAATATAGACGTTAAGATAATTTTAGTTTAGATATACTAAATAAAGGATATATCTCTTAGCTACTTTTTATTTCTTTAGCCTTTACCTTTTATTATACTATTAATTAGGTGTACTACTACCTTTTATTATACTATTAATTAAGTGTAATACTACTCTTTATTACTTTATTAACTAAGTGTATATAGTCTAGCCTAAAAATACTATACCCTACTTATAAATTAATTTAAAATACTTCTAGCTTATTTCTAAACTTTTTTACTTTATATCTTTTTTTATTTTAATCTAAGTTTAATCTTAAATAGCTTTATTTTTATATAATACTACTATTAATTTAAGTTTAATCTTAAATTACTTTTTATATTAAGATTTTTATTACTTACTTACTTTATTAAGGATTATCTCTAAATTAATTATAGCTTAACTACTATACTTTACCTTTAAAGCCTTATAGCTTTTACTAATTTTATAGTATATATATACTATACCTTATATTAATTATACCTAAAGGGCTATCCTATTTAGAATAAAAAGGTTTATTAATTATTCTTAAAAAAAGTATTATTTAATTACTAATATTTATTTAAAGATAAAAAGTTTATTATCCCCTCTAGAGAGGTATTTTACTATAGCTATAATATATTAAAGAAGGGTTAGATTATATATTACTAAGATAGTATAAGTCTACTTTTAGATTTATTTAAAATTAATTTAAGCTTATAATATAATAGCGTAAATAGGCCTTAAATAACTTTAACTTATATTAGTATATAGCTACTTATAGTAATATCTACTAGGCTTATAGTAATCTAAATACTATATACTACTAGGATCTTACTAGTAAGTTAAACTCTAAATTAAGGGTTAATTAATTTCTACTTATTCTCTAAAGATTACTATAAAGAAGTTAATACTTATTACTTTAAGAGTATATAGTAAGTATATAAGGATAATAATTAGACTACTAATACTATTCTTTACCTTTTAAAAGAGGCCTAATTAAAAAAAAGTATAAAGTAATTCTAGCGTAATACTAGCTTAAGTAAAAATAAATCTAAAAATAAGCTTTCTTTTAAAAAGTAGTAAAAGAAGTCTAGCTATAAGAAGAATTAAGGCTTATAAAATAAAAGAAATAGAAAAGAGGTAACTACTTTAATTAATCCTAGCCTTAATAAAAATTAATTTATAACTAAATCTATAGTTAATCTTAGCTTTAAGGTTAATTAGTTATTTATACTAAATTAACCTAAGGATAATCTCTAATAGAAGATTAAATTTAAGTAGCTATAGCAGCCTAAGTAGTATATTATATAGTTTAATAAGGATAAAGTCTAGTATAGCCTTACTAAGTACTTCTTAGCTATTATTCTTATAAAGCTAAAAAAGGGAGCAGCCTAGTATATAAGGAAACTATACTTTTTTTAAGATTAATTCTAGATTATTACTAATACTTTATAGCTTAATCTTAAGGCTATAAAAAAGTAGCTTAGCCTTACTAAGTGTAGTAACTATAATAGTAAATATAGTAAGATTTTATTATAAATAATTAAGAATTAATTACTAATTATTTATAAAGTGCTTAGCTAAGAAGCACTTTAAGCCTAATAGTAAGGGACGCTACCTTATCTAGGACTATTATAGTCTTAGCCTTAAGCTAGCTAGTAAGCCTAATAGTAAGGTCCTAGAGGCTAACCTAAAGAATAAGGTAGGGGAGATCTAGAAGTAAGCTAAGATTAATCTCCTAAGGTAAAGTAATATTTATTAGATATAGTAAAGTAGTAGGTTAAGACTAATTAAAGTTTAATTATAGATTTTATATAGCTATTAAAAGTAAAAGAGGATTAAGGACTAATTATAAATTAATTATAAATTTAACCTAGCTAGTAATAATTTATTTTTACTTTAAAAAAATAATTAGTAATATATTATAAAAACACTTTAAAATTAAAGTAAAATACTAAATAGGGATATCTATCTTAGGCTTTAACCTAGCCTTATTTATCTTACTTAGTAAAGCTATAATAGACTTTTAATAAAGAAGTAATATATTTATAATATACTTAAGGTTAAGTATACTATTTACTTAGCTAAAAATATCTAGCTTCTTATAAATAAATACTTATTAAGTAATATTATAACTAGGTATACTAAACTACTTTTAGTATACACTAAGTTAGAATAAAACGTCTTTAATCCTCTTAATACTAATTAATTCTTAATTAGTATTTAATCTATTTATAAGCAGAGGATAATAATCCTTTTTTATAATTCTAAAAGTATTACTAAGAAATAAGGTAAAGGTTTTTACTTATTTCTTTTTATTTATAGTAATAGTAATTACTATATCTTAGAAAATAAAGATCTTTAGTATTACTATAATAAATAGTAGGCTAAGGTAGCTAAGGGTATTAGTTAATAGATATTAAGTAAGGATTATCTAAAGCCCCTTAGCTATAGAGCTAAGGAGAATATACCTTTTCTCTTACTAAGTAAGTAAAGCCTAGTGCTATAGTTTTATAAGAAGCTCTGTTTTAACTTCCTTAGTAGCTCTTAGTAAAAGTACTAAGTTATATAAAATTACCTTTTAAAAAGTAAGAGAGTTAAGGGCTTTTTAGTATTATAGGTTAGGTGCTAAGTATAAAAACTAATTATATATTAGGGTTTAAATAAATATATCTCCTAATTAAACTAACTAAAGAGGTTTAATTAATCTTAAAGTAATTATATATTATTCTAAAGAAGTTTTAAGATTTATAAAGGTAGTAAGATTAGGGCTTTATTAGCCTTATAGGTTAAAAAGGTTATATTACTTTATATTTATATTACTATCCTAAATTAATCTCTAAAGGATCTAGGTATAATATTAGTCTAGGTTTAGAAATACTAAAGTACTTTTAGGTTTAGCTTCTTTCTATTTTAAAGTATAAGCTAAGAAATCCTTAGTAAAGCTATAAATATTAGTACTTTATACTATAATCCCTATATAAAAGCTAGTATTTATAATTAAACTATTTATAATAGCCTTATATATATTAAAAATTATAATTAAAGTAATTACTATATTAGTAAGGCCTTTATTAGCTATATTTATAAGGTTAGCTACTTAGGGTATTTAAGTGTTAGAATTTAGTAAAGTTTAGCTAGTTAAAATAGCCTTTTTCTCTAGACTACTTAGAAGCTCTAGAAGGCCTAGTGTTTTAAGAGGGTTTCCTCCCTAGCGTTTATAAGCCTTAAGTTTCTAAAAGAGGTCTAGATTAAGGTATTATCTATTAATTAAGTAGACCCCCTTATCTTAGGTAAGTAAGTAGTTAGTATTAGGCTCTCTATAGGTAACACTAGACTAAAGGTAGTAAGGATTTTTCTTATAGAGGATATAAAAGCTGTCTTTATTTATAATTAGTTCTTATCTATTACCTTTAGTGTGCTAGCGCTTACTAGCTATAAATAAGGTCTTAGTAGGCTAGCGCTTAACTATAGTAAAGGTAAATATAGTTAAAGTAGTAAAGGGGTTTTTGTCACAGGATAATACGGCCGACCTTGGACCTACTTCTTGGCCTTGCCGGTGGATCTATTGGTTAGGCTGATATCCTACCGACCGGTGGGTCCTAGCGGGTGCCCCACTTGTCCCCACCTGTCAGCAGTCTATAAGACCGGCCGTTACCAGCCGTAGCTCCTAGCTCCTAGATAGTCAACCAATCTATCACTAATCTAACTGTATTAAGTAGTAGCATAACTACGTTACAATCTATAGGTAATTTACCCTCTGCTGCTATTAATTAACTTAATAAGAGGCAAATACGCTAACTACTATCTAAGAGCTATTTAATTAGTTATCTTAGAGGTAACTAATCAGAAGCCTATATTTCTTTACTAACTAGTTACTAATATGCGCCCACTAGTAGAGTTTTTTGCCCGCTAGCCCAGCCACAGCTAACACCACTGTCGCTAGACCTCCTAATCCAGCCGGAGCCGCTATCCCTCCAGCTAACACCCTTACGTTTAACAACCTTACTTTTTTTACCCTTCTTTTCCTCTATTATACTCCTTTTTACCCTCTTTTTTACCTGTTAATCTGTTAAATCTACTGCTGCCAGAGCTGCTGTTAATTAAAGAGCTTAAGAGACAGTAAAATTGCTAGCCTAAGCCCTGCTAGAAGTATAATACTAGATTTCCCTTATAATCCACGCTTTTTTACTATATATACATAAATAACTACAGCTAGTAACACTACTACTAAATTTACTATTAAGACTTTATATCTTAGAATACCTTTTTTTACTATCTACTAGACTATAAGCCCCTATTACTATTACTATTAACTTTACTATTACTACTGTTAATATTAATAGTCTTATTACTACCTTTTATAAGTAAGTAATCTATATTACTAGTGCTACTAACCCTCCTTACTACTATAAAATTTAACCTAGCTATTAAGGCTCTTTATAAAAAGGCAGCTATTAAATAGAGAAGTAATAGCCTATTACTACTACTACTATTATTACTAC